CTGTGCGTGCGGTTGGGAGGGCAGGAATGTGATCACAAAGTAGGGGTGCTGCAGTGGACCCTTACCCAATGCTTGCTCCACTGAGCATTCTTGTGCAAAGGCCGCGACGGTAAGCACCCAATCTGACAGGAAAAGTTTTCTTGATATGCGCTGGAAGTAAGGGAACAGCGTGTGCGGTAAGCCAGTTGTATGTACCGTTGAGTTTTGAATCGGACTGGTAATGACCCATGACTTCGCAAGAACATTTTGAGGGAGCATTACAGTTTGAAGATAATAGAAGGGAAAAAGAAAAAAGGAAGGACAAAATGACTTCAGTCGACGCTTGACAGTTGCCTTGTTCGGTATCGCTGGAGGTGAATAAGGACACTAACGTACAGACTTGAATTCTCGGATCAACACGACCATCGTCCCATCTCTATCCAAAAAAGACTTTGTCTCTCTCACTAGGGCCTAGTGACGGCTAAGGCTGAGACTATACGTGGATAACCCGAACTTCCTCCAAAAATTTCCGATTGGTACGAGGGAGCTATTGACAGGGCTCAGAGGCTTTTAGTTCTCGCGGGACCCTTCCCCATAAGCGTACGCCAAGTGGGACACCTTATTTTGAGCACGGCAAAAACGTCAGGCGTAGGAAGAACCAGAAAATTCTTGCTGAACCCTGGACATTCTTGCTGAAACTAATGAATGCTCAACTAACGGCGTCTTCCATGTTGGATTGGTACGCAAATTTTGACAGAGGCGGGTATAATGCGTCAGAGAGGGTTGTGGTACGGAAATTGCAGAGCGGAGATGATTACGAGCCCAAGGTGGATTGCTAGTCTGCGTGAGCTAAGAAATGCATTATTAGAAGCTGAACCGTAGCGCTGATGTCGTAGTACGAGCAAGTCAGGGTGCAAGTGGTCTGCTAGAGCAACGGAACATTGTGGCGTTTGAAAGTAAATAAAGAATGTTGGCTTCTAGGAGAATTCGAAAGCCACGTATATTATTGAAGGCGTATTTAGAGGTGTAATATAGCTGCGGGAGATGCCGACCTATAAACTTGCCATTACTTAGCTATAGAGTGTCTCTAGCGGACGAGTAGTCGTGAGCTGAGAGCAATAGCACTGCAGCGGGCGGGAGCTAAATGCTGACGAATTTGCCCGGTCTATTCGTCCGACCTATCAGACAGTGCACTACCAACTGAGGCAACTATAGCGCAACCGGCCTTGAACTGAGAAAGCTTCGTTGAGTCCCTAACCCAGATTTTTGCAGGTAGAACGTGGGTAAAAAGGCCCTTTCCGCGAGGAATGCTCTACTCCTTGACTCCTTGAAAGAAACGTCCTACAACTCACGATAGGAACGTGGCGGCGATCTTCAGGGCAATTGCCTGTCAACGTAGGGAAGGGTCGAAGGGGGCACGTGGATGAGCAGGAGGACGGAGTGCATGCAGCACATGCAAACAGCAGGCTGATGGGTGGGAGCGAGGGTGATGAGCTAAGAGCGGAGGATTGAGATCTTGGGTTTCACGTGCGGACAGTGCGTCATGGTGCTGCTTCACGTGCCGAGATCTCTCGTATGCACAAAACCACGCAAGAACCAGACGTTGCCGACTCACCGTCACCGTATCCATGCCACGGGAGCCTCAGGTATCCCAATACCACGGGCTGCAATCAACTTCGTCTTCTTCATCGCGCAAACTGCAAGTAGAGGTACGATCTGCGCGCGAGTATCCACCATGACGCGCAAGCCCGGGTGGTTTTTGCGCGCACACCTCATCGATGATCCTCCTGCAGAGCAATCCAAAGCATCGTCGTCTTAGCATGACGCGGGAGGCAGCGTGGGAAGCTTATCCATGTCCGCCCACGAGCTCCCATGTGGGTGATCCTTCATCCTCTAGCGTGCTTCTTTGTCCTTTGCCTTATCTGCGCGGCCGTCACGGGCGAAAGACCCTCATTGTCAGCCACAAGCGTCGGGCCACTCGCCTCGAACAAAGGATCGGCCTCCCCGAGTCAGAGGATTGCGAGTTGGAGGGGCCCATGGCTGCGGGCCGCTTCCATAGAAAGGCCGTCTTGGCCCTTTTGCGGTCCCAGCGGAGGGGAGAGTGGTAGCTTCGGGCTTCTTCCTCCTTTCGTGGGCCGTGGTCGCGGTTCACTTGGACGAGAAGGGATAGGCGTCGAGGTGGGATTATGTGGGGTTGACTGGCGGCGGAAAGACAAAGTAGAGTTTCTCGGGCAAACGGTGGAGCTATGGCGCGGTGGCTTGTTCGCATTCGTGCAGGGTCGAGGGTCCTGCTCTGCCTAGATCTCTCTGTGCTGGAGAATACCGGGAGGGAGGCCAGCAAAGATGGGTCATCACAGCAATTAGCACGGCCCAGTCGTCCAGCGGATCACGACAGGGATAGAGAGTAGGCTCCATCGGAGACTCGGCACGCTTGGCTTTGGGGGCTCTTTGCCATCGTTACTGTGGACCATTCCATAGCGGGCTCTAACGTACCAGACGGGAGAAGAGAGAGAGAGCCGTTCACAGGCCTTTGACGGAGGAAACACCATGCTGACGGGCCAATCAACTGGGGCTTACGGCATTAGCGGCGGCGCGAGCTGGTTTCGTGCAGGGCAGATTCCTTTACCAGCCCCCAACGACCAGTTGTTATCTTTGGACAATGGGCCCCGTTGGATGGAGGCCTTATGGGAAGAGCCGGGGAGTTATCGTAACGCGTGTACCACCGGTGGAGGGAGGCCGGCCGCTTGCGGTGGTGGTGGTCAAAGGCCGCGCGGTACTCCGTAGAGAGCCGTTGCGACGACTGTTGGTGAGTCGGGATAGCGGTTGCTGGTCAATGCCTCGCGACGGCGTGATTTGAGAGTGACTGCTTGCGGTTGCACACTCACATGACTTTTCAAGATGCGACGGATCAGCGGGAGCGGTGAGTCGCAGGAAGAGGTATCTGCAGATACCCGGTCCAAGAGGGCGCAGCGAGGCTCCCGGAGCCTGGACGAGTGTGCTTACCCGCTGCCCGATGCAAGCAAGCCTCAATCTCGCATCGGCTTGCCGCACATCTGATGCAGCGTTGGACGGGGCTAACCTTGCGGGAGGTGCACCGGACAGCAGAGCCGATGCAGCAGGCAGCAAACGCGGCACGGATTGCCAATGCATATTGATGAGTACGAGATGTGAGCAGTCAAAGTTTTCCCTCGGCATTGCGGGCGAGCAATCGAGATGGAGATTGGCCCCTTGCGGGCCGGGGCAGTGGCGAAGCTTCGCGGGCGGAAAAAAAGCTCGCTGCTGTGCTCGCTGCAAGACACGGCGCTGTGGCCAGCTCGGTCGATCAGCCGAAAGGCTTCTGCATCATGTGTGTTGAGCAGAGAAAAGCCCCAACGTCCCGAAGGGGATGTCTGAGGGAGCTCTGGGGGGAAATGAGGGCGGAATGCCATGCCCGATGCGGCGGGGATGGTTTTCTGGGCTCGAAATCGCGTCTAATGCCGTGCAACAGTGGGCGTTGAGATGCTTGCCGTCGTCGAGGTGGATTGGGCGACTGACGCCTCAGTGACGCGCCCGAAGAGGGAAGGACAGGTGCCATTGGTGCGATTGCGGGATGCGACGCATGAACCGGCGGTTGAGCTGACCTGCTTGTGAGCGTCAGACGCTGCTCACGGCGGCCATGGCGCGTCCCGGGGCATTGGAGCACTGTGTGGGACCGAGGCCTTATCAAGCTCGGGGTGCAACCTGGAGGGCGTTTCATGGTGGGCTGGAGAGGTGCAGCTGGAGATCGACTTCTCAGTCGATCAGCCGACATCCAGACGCGGCTTGGCAGGGCCTCGCGCGCCCGGTGGTACAAGCTGGCGGCCAGACGCGCCGTGGCAGATGATGCTTATGAAGGGACGCGAGCTGGAGAGCCACGGTTTTAGCTTTCGGCGAAGTGCGGAGGAGCGTTGACAGCTGCAAATACCCGTCGGCAACCCGGGCTAGCTGGCGCCGCATGCAGGGGCCAGAGCAGAGCAGCGCAGAGCATCTCAGATGCCTCCTCCCACGCCCCACCGCGCACCGCCGGCCAGCACCGCGCCGGCACCAGCACCCGCCGCCGCCGCCAAGCCAGCCCCAGTGACAGACAGGCAGACAGCCGGCCAGCAGCAGCGCCGCCCCGGGTCTCCGTCCGCTGCCCCCGCCCGCTGCCCCCGCCGCCGCCGCGCGCGTGTCTCGCGCCAGATCATGCATTCTTGCCGGCTGTGCGCCCCCAGCGCGAAACATCCAAAACACCGCGACTGCCGAAGCTGCCGGGCAGTGGTTCGCGTCGCTTGCCGCGGTGGCCAGTGCAATTTGCCAGCAGCTGCGGTGCGACCATTTCCCAAAGCGGCCTCCCTCTCTAGGGTCCGCCGCATCGAGCACCCACCCACCACGGTTGCTGCGATTCGCGCCTTGGACGCTTCGGGGTAGTGCGCGCGGCCATTGGCTGTGACGAATCTTGTACAGCAGCACAGCAGCCTTGGCGCCGTTTGGTCGAGCGGTCATTCCAGTGCCTGCTTGCGCGACGGCGGAATGGCCTGGGCCGGTGTGGGGTGCAGAGCGTTGGCCTGCTGCGAGTAATAACCCGATGGCTGCATATCAGACTCCAGGCAGGGCGCCTCCCGGCCCTAGCCCAGCACGGTACCCTACCTCAGCTGTGCCTTAACCTTATCCCATTTCCAGCAACACCTGGGAGCGGGTGCGCCGTTGCTGCTGCGCAAAAGTGGCGCCAGAGCCCAAGGTCTCATTCCATAAAAGGGTTGCAGCGACTCGCTCTCGCACAAATTCTTCGTCCGGATTCGCGGGCGCGCCCAGCTGACGATCCTGCAAGGTCTAAGTGCCTGAAGACTAGTTAATACCTCGACGCTGCCCCAGCCTTCGACGGGGCTTCCACTGCTCTTCGACCTGTTCCTGGCCCCCCTTGCAGCTCCCTCGTTGGGAGTGCGCCACCCACGAAGAGCCGTTTGGCCACCATTCCAACGCCCTTTGCAAGTCGCGTACACAGTCGCGCGCCAGCTGCAACCATGTACCACCCCGGTGAGTAGTTGCAATGACTTCAACGTTCAAAAGCTCCACCCAGCCCCTGGCTGCCTGGCCCTTACGTGTCTCTCCCCTCTCCCTATATCATCATAATTATCCTCGCTTCCAAACGGCATAGCCATCATTCCTGCCAGATGTTGATCCCCACGAGCAAGGCTGACCAAATATCAGGCTCAGCCTTCCAGGCCTCCTTGCCAAGAAGAACATCGGTCCAGGTCCTCAAGATAGAAGGAATGGACATGACCCAGCCGCCACACTACTCCAGCTCGGGTTACCACACGCCCTCCTCTTCCACAGCCTACGACGGCCGCCGCGACTCCATTGCCTCAATGCAGTCGTCCGCTTCGTGTGCTCACAGCTTCTCGAGCAACAGCTCCTCCTATTACTCCACTCAGATGCCTCCCACTCCCCACTCCGCCCGGGAAGGCTTCGAAGACTGGATGGTCGTCCAGCAGAATCCCGGCCTCCCCTTTGACCACCAGCCAGCCCACGACCCCCATGGCCATGAAATGGACGACTTCCATCCCGAAGCCTGGCCCAATGCGATAGGCCTGCCCCCGAAGCACAGGGCCCTCGAAGCCGAGCCTCCAAGCCGGCCCAACAGCTGGGTCGTGGTACCACCGGCCATGAACCCTGCCCTCAGACTACAGGTGTCAGAAGGTGACGGCATGGTCCTGCCCACGGCGCGCGATTTCCCCTCGTTCTGCGAATCTCAGATGGCCCCCCAACATCCGCGGACATTACAGCCGCCCGTCGAGATCTTCAGTTCGTCGGAGATTTGGAACGCACAGCACCCTGCTGCCACCACGTCGAGCTTTGGCATGACGAACCTGACGGCTGAAGCGTACGAGCCGGCGCCTGTGGCAACAGGCTTCAACCCGAATTACGAGTGGCCGTCAGTGCAGCCTGAGGCGGGGTACGACCTCCCCATGTTCCCCGAGCCGACGTCATGCCAGCCGGAAGACACCATCGTGGACACGGAGGACAAGTACAACGAGATGCGCTCCGACAGCTTCGACGACAGCTTCGGCTCGTACGACGGCGGGTACAGCTCCTCGACCAGCCCGTCGTCGCGGTACGGCCACGGCGAGGAGACCCTCATCAAGCAGGAGGGCGACGCGGACTACCACCACCAGCACCGGCGCGACTCCAAGCACAACCTGCGCGACCACTTCATGACGCCGGTACGCAAAAACAGCAGCGGCCGGCGGGACTCGAAGGTGCGGGCGGGCGGCATCACGAAGCGCAAGATGCGGTCGAGCAACCTGATGGAGTCGTTCGACGCGCACCACAACGGCTGCCAGGTCGAGGTCAAGTACCAGGCGGGCATCCAGGTGGACCCCAAGTCGGGCCGGTACTGCTCGGCGTCGGGCGAGACCAAGAAGCAGCGGTGCCGCTTCGAGGGCTGCGTCAAGACGTTCGCCCGCCCCGAGCACCTCAAGCGCCACGAGAACACGCACAGCAAGGAGCGCCCCTTCCCGTGCGTCGTGCCCCAGTGCGGCCGCCGCTTCAGCCGCAACGACAACCGCAAGGCCCACTACGAGACGCACCTCAAGGAGGCGCTGCTCGGCAAGAAGGCCCGCAACGCTCCCGTCTCGTTCGAGGATCTCTGCAGGTACCTGCATCAGTCCGAGCCCGAAGAGGAGGCGCGGAAGATGATCGAAAAGCTGCAGAACCCCAAGTCCAAGATCAAGTCGAGGGACTGAGAGGGAATGCGGGGAACAGGGCCGGCGCGGGGGCGAAGCAGGCGAAAAGCAACGTTTCCTTTTTGGGATGTGGTGGCATCCTTTTTTTTACTCTTTTTCATTCCCCCATTTGTACCTGCTGCTCCATTCTTTGTTTGGGAGCACGAGAGAAAGCACGAAGAGTGCGGAACGAACATTTCGGGTATCCTGACGGTCGTCTTCCACGTCGGTGTTTTGCATTTTTTGGTCCTGAATATTCCCGTGCGTTCCCCCTCATCTTGGGTGCTTTGGTCACGTCCATTAATCTTGTACTCATATTTTTCTGGGTTCTTGGCGGTGTCCTTTCTTTCCCCTTCGACTCATCTTTTTAACTCCAGTGTGCTTTCTTTTTTTCTTGCCCCCATCAGGCGGGGCCGGTGGTTGATAGGAGTACGACGTAGACGGTCTAGCTGCACGCGATTACGAGTGAGTGGCATGATTTTTGGCGACGACATGTGATGAAAAGACGACGATGATGGTACGCGGCATGCAGGGGAAATGAAATAGGTTCCTGGTATTTCTTTCATGGACAAAAAAGGAAACGCAGCGGGTGATAGCTCGGTAGCGAGAGAGGAGCGAGTGGGTGTGAAGGCACGTCACCGCCGTGTCGCGACGCGGGCGGCATAGCTTAGAAACAATACCCAGCACGAAGCTTTAGGATTCTCAAATGTATCATGTTCGACTGTACCCGTGCGCCGGTCCTTTGACGATGGGCCTGTCGGCTGCGGATGCCGGTGAGGGGCTGGGGGGCTGGGAGATTGGGGGGCATCGTGTGTCTCGGGCGACGTGCAGAAAGAGAGAGCGGGCGACGTCGCGACTGCCGCACGCATGACCCTGCGCCTACCCGATGACTGGTCCGCCTTGCCACTCTCGGCTTTTCCGAGCCACCACTCCAGCGAACACCAAATCCCCACCAACTCTCACCACATTCGCCCTCTATCGTCTGCACGCCAGCAAAACAGCACTCGGCCCCCACAGAGCCTCGCAAACCCAAAACGCAAAACAACGAGCAGCATGGGGCTCGAACCCACAACCTTTGGTGTATCTGCAGACCGAAAACCAACGCGCTACCATTGCGCCAACCGCCCGGCATTGACTTACGTAGTTTGCAAAAATGTGATATATTCAATCAATGGTGTCGCTGACGTCATCGGCCAGTGCTGCCTATGCTAGTCACCGAGCGGTAGCGTGCTTGAGAAGACGAGTAAAAAAGGGCGTCTGATGAGAGCCATTCTCAACGTGTCAGCACGTCATTCCCAATCCTCCCTTGGGTCATTGAGATCTACACTGAGGCAGGCCGGCGGGTCGCGCGCTGGGCAATCCCACCGTTGCAATGCAGCACTCACTCATTCCAGCAGCGAACGTTACAATCTTGTCAACCACTGCGGTTGTCATTTTCCAGGCTCGTCACCACCCGCGCCGCCGCCTTTGCCCTGTTTTCTGCAATGTGCAGGTGCCTAACGCTGCTCTCCCGCGCCCGTGCGGATCGTCCCAGGGTACTTGCTGCTGCTGCTTTCCCTGAGGGCAAGGGTCCCCGTCATTGATTGTCTTCAGGGACCAATGCGCCGTCGCACATGCTACTCCAGAGACGATGTGCCTACAGGCATTGCTGAGAAAGCTCAACCGGGACCGGTCAGCTCTGATCGCCTTCGCCCTCAGCCCACAGCAAAGTCGTCATTGTGTTACACCCGCCGTGGGCCTGGGACTAGCCTACCGCCGGGGGTTGGGCGGGTAGCACGGCGGATGCGCTTCACAGCAGCGCAGCGGTGGCACCCAGGCTCATGAACCAGCATCAGCTCTCTCTCACTTTCTCTCTCTCGCGACTCAAACACCGGTCTCGTCTTTCCCCCTTTTCTCCGCTGCACAAAAGGTAGCAATCCGAATGTGAGCTATTGCTTTCCCCCCACGCGCCCCCTCTTCTGCATCCACCTTCCCCTTTTCTCTCGCGCGTGCTTTTGTCTCTGATCTCTGTGCAACCGCTGGTTGTGTTCGCTGGATGGTAAGAAGCAAATGCGGCGCTCCTTTCATTTACCGCTGTCTTAGAAAAGAAAAAGATAGCTCCGAAATGTCTGACCAATTTTATCTTTCTTGCGTCCCGCGAACCCGGGTTTGCCCCATGCAAGCCTGCTGATCCCACTTGTGCGTCCTGTCTGTCCGAACTGTCTAGCTTTTTTTCCCCTCTCAAACGGTTGTCATCCGTGAAGCCATTGTCTCACCCCGTAATGCCTGATTCTCCACACGACTTACCCCACTACTACCTCTACGAGCCACGCCTGCGGCCGAGTTGGGACGGGACCCGAGTTGGGAACGAGGGGATGGGAAGATAACGGCGGCATTCTCGCTTCTTTCGCTCTTTCTCTCAACGCTTAGGTAGCAGTCCCACATGCCCTCCCCCACCCACACCTCATCGTAGTTCATTCCTTGCTTCCAACGGTCGGAAGCAAGCGAGAAACCATTGACAATCACCAAACTGCTGGAAGTCTTTTTTCTCTGTTCTTTCTTTCACATGGAAAGCAGCCCAACTTTAGTTGTAGTAATCAAACACAGTTTTCATTATCAAGCTCCCCTCGTTCCAACCTCACACTAGCCCTCTATCAACCCACACTCTCCCCATCTCCGATTATTGACCCCATTCCCTTGCGATCCCTAAGATGGAAAGATTGGCTTTGCCCCTTTCTTTCAATCGTATTTTCTGGCGATCGCGTGGCGAGACGCGTTCTGTGAGATGAAGTCTGACGTCCGTCACAAGAGCAACAGTTCAACGAGGACGACGGGGTAAGCATTCAACCGAGTCGAGGCCCTCAATGGATCATCGATCAAGATCGCCCCCAGCTGTTCGAGATCCGATCGAACGCCTGATCCTCTTTCTCTCTCTCAGCTGTCGTTCGCGGCTGGAACTCGCGCCCACGGTCTCGCCACCACCACCAAGCCCCGTGATCCGCGACAAACCCTCGTGACCCTGACGCATGAAAACGCCTAATCTACCCAGAAAGACTAACGACCTAATGATGCGTACACAACGAGCGAAGTCATTGTCTGTGAAGTTCCCCCCAATCTCTGAGACCCTGGTGTGGGGGTTGGTGCGTTTCGTGCGTTCGTGCGTTTGGGTGTAGGCTTTAAATGAGCAACGCGCCGTCCCTTACTTGCCCGATCTCGCATCGGCCACCAGTTCGGCGTACGCGCCCGCCCGCCCGCCCGCGCGGGTGGGCGTTAAGCAACGAGTTTAGCTTGGGGGCGCTGCTGTCAACCCGTTTCTGGCCAGCGCCCCCAGCGGCTGCTCCCTTGTGGCGCGCGTTCCTCCCTGGATCATCCCGATCTCGGGACGGGACGGGACGGGGGACGGGAAAAAGCAAATGAGAGACTTGAACGAGCAAAAGGAGAATTTTTTGCCTCTGCGCGAGCAGACGCTTGGGTGGGGAGGCTTGGGGGGGCTTGGGGAGGCTTGGGTCTGGAGAGTTCGCCACGCCTTGCGTCAGTTAGCTCCGCCCCACACCTGTGGCGTTCAGGTCCACCCACTCCTTTGTTTGCTGAGAGAGCGAAAGGCTCTGGGCCTTTGTAGAACGTTGGATAGTGGAGTCAGTTTGTCTGGGACGGTGGTGGCGAGGATTCGTGGCCTTGGGTGAGTAGGTTTTCTGTCGAACCGGCCCGTCGCGGTCGTTGAGTTCGTCGTGGTTTCGAGTTTTGCTGTGTTGGTCTGTAGAATTCACTTGGCGTGCATTGGCATTATCAGCGTAAGAGGAAGCAGGTAGGGGGGGGGTTGTCACTGCTTGCTTAGCCATACCAATGACAGTACGCTTCTTGACATCTACGGCTACAGCGTGGGCTTAGCCACGTATCGGTACTGACAGGAACCACTGGCAATTTGAGGGCAGAGCTTGATGAAGAGCCACCCGTAGTGACAAGCAAAAGCCACTTACACCAAGTCGAGGCTCAAGTCTATGTTTTGTCGCATATGATTCCCCTATATTCTGCGGCTCAAGCTGAGAGACGAGAATCATGATGAATTGATGGTGGTCGGATCGAACTGGCCGATCCGATTGCTATCTAGAGGTGTCCGGGCGCCTTCCCAGGACGACCTGGGAAGTGACCGTGACACTATACGCTTTCGTTCAATGGAAGTTGCTCATTTTTTACTTTTGAGGTCAATCGCATCATGTTAGCGTTGAGGATTGAGATCGTTGACAAAATACTTGGCAAGTTTACACCCGAAACACCTCTGTAACTTGCAAGGAGAGTATCGTTTGAGCAAGCGAGGTGGTAGATCAGAGGTAAACAAATAAGTGCGATACGACACGAGTGTTCGTATATGAGAGTCCTGGGCTATATTACTAGACACAATCACGGACAGAGAAAATGTTACTTGAGAAGAATATTTTTGATAATAATATCCAGGGTATATTGGTAAAGAGACAACTCCTTAATGCCTTTGACGAAACCAAGGACTCACCTGTAAGACTTACCGCAACCCAGCCACATAGGACCAGGCCAAAAAAAAAATCATCGAAGATGAACGCTAAACAGCAAAATGCCGTGCAGGCTATGCCACATGCCATGCAACAAAAGCACGAAGAATAGACAAGAAAGGGATGAAAGCATGTCATATGCCATGCAATAAAGACAAAGACGGCCAAAGAAAAGATGGCGCCACACACTTACTCATCAAACCCGAACAGGTCACCAATGGACCCCAGACTGCCAACAGACGAAAGCCTACTGTCGCTGCGAGTGCTGCGACCGCCACCGCTGAGCTTCGAGCTGCTCCGCGTCCGCCGACGCTTCACCACACCGCCGTTGTCCACACCCTTCAGGCTGTTCAGGCGCGAACTCTTCCTCCGCACCGACGGCGGCGTCTTGGGCGTCTGCACCGGTGCAGGCGACATGGAGGCAGAGGACTTCGACCTGGTGATGCGCGTGATAGCATTGACGGACACTGCCGAAGAGCCACCACGCTTCTTGGAAGGAATGGTCTTCGGGCTGATGTGAGAGGACTGAGAGCGGCGGGGGCGTTTGGACGGCGACGAGGCGTCGTCTTCGACGAAGGCGACAGATGCGGAGCGCTTGGTCGGCTTGGAGAGGGAGAAGTCTGGGTTGAGCGGGAAGGAAGTCGGGATGGTGACGGACTGGTGGCTGAGGCCATCAATGCCCTCCTCCTCCTCCTCCTCCTCCTCCTCCTCCACCGGTTGCTGCTGCTGCTCGAAGAAGATCGGGGGCTGCTCGAAGGTGGTAGTAGCATCGGCCAAGTCGCTGATTGGCGGATAGTCGGGCAGCGCATCCGTGGTCTGGTCAGTGGAGTCAGCAGCGACGACGACCGGGAAGCCATTGAACATGTCCTCGAGGGCAGGGTCCACTGCATTGGAGTTAGATGCGGAAATTTCAGGGTCGTAGAAAAATGTTGCGGCATCGTCTGTAGTAGTTGTGAAAGTATTAGCAGGATCGCCGCCAGCGGCGTCCGCGGACGGTGCAGCAACAAAGACGGGCGTCGGGTTGAAGTTGGCCGGGTAGTTTTGGTTAAGCGTAGATTGGGGCCACGCGTACTCCGGACGGCCGTAACCGAAAGTTGACACATCGGCGCCGTTATAGCTGGATTGTTGCTGTTGCGGCGCGAGTTGATTGGCCGGCGCGTAGCCCGGGGGGACCACTGCTTCCGCCACACCGCCGCTGGGGCCGTCATCAGTCCGGCGCTTCTTCCGCATCCCATCTGGAGAGTCGGGCTCCGAAACGTAGTCGGCGTCGTTATCGCCAGAGGAGGAGATGGAAACCTGGCGACGTTTGTTGCGCTTCTTGGGTGCAGGTCGCGGCTTGCGCATGCTGACCTTGGCCCTGACGAGCATCTCCAAATCTCCGAAGTTGACGTTGATCTGGGTCTCACGCTGGACACGCTTCGCGAGCGACTGCTTCGCGGAGCGTGCACGGTTGCCCTCCTTGGTCTTTTGCATGCGGTAGTTGAGCATCAGCTCGTGAGACTTGGCGTCGCCTGGCTGCATGTTGTGGGGACGAGGGTATCCATCGAACCCCTTGATGGTCGAGCGACCCTTGCGGCAAGCTTCGATGAAGCGCTGAGCAACAACACCCTCCTTGTCAAGCGAGCCATTCCAGCTCATGTTGGGCTCGTTCGGGAGCTTGCGCGTATCCTCGCGGACCTCAATGTTCTTCAGAGTGCAGATCTCTGGAAGATCAAGGAACATCTCGAAGCAGTACAGGTGGAAGAAGGCGGCCATGTAGAATGGATCGGCCCTATTGTTGTACTTTGAAGACCTCTCATCGAAGGCGACGCGCATGTGGCCGGCCTGGATGGTGCCGTTGAGGCCTTCCCTACGAAGAGGGCACTCCTTGAAGCGGCACTTGGAAAGTGTGGGGGTCGGGTAGCGACGGCAAGAGTCCGCAGGAGTCTTCTGAATCCAGACGCGAAGAATGTTGTCGGCAGACTTCGGATGATGGTGAAGGAAATCATTGATCTCGTTAGCACTGTACTCCAGCTTCTTCAGCTCACCATGCTCGAAGTATTCGAACTTGTAGTTGGGCGAACGCCATGTTCCAAAGGGATTCTTGATGTTCTGCTTGTACATCTGCTCCGAAGCATACTGATTGATCTTACCGGAACGGCTGGTCATACCCATGGTCGTCGTATTGATACGGTGCCAGGGATGCTTCGGGTCGTACTTGGGCTTCTCCTGAGTGAACTTACGACTGGCCAGCTCGACGATGTCGCTGAGGCTAGAGGTCGAAGACCGACGGTTGGAGAGGCTGCTGAGCCTAGAAGCCGTAGTCGCAGGAACAGCGGGAGTCTTGAGAGCTACCGAACTAGATTGAGTAGGATCAGCGAGTTCCACGGGCATTTCCGGCTGAACATAGTTGAGAGCAGAAGAAGTCAGAAAGTCAATATTCGAATCATCTGCATGGGGGATAGCGTCGAAACCAGAAGAGTTGACGAGGCTGTCTGAACCTGAAATGGCGTAGAGGGTGGGGTCAGGATACGCGAATGCTGAGTTATTACCTATCATCAACTGGTCCTGTGTTGAAGGGTAAGTGAAGTTGTATTCGTCACCCAGGCTCTCCAAGTCCTTCCACACATCATCGTCCATGCTGAGCGAGATCCTGGAATCCTGTGTACCATTCATGCTGAAAGAGTTGAAGGCTATCGTATCTCCGGGATACGGCAGCGAAGTCTTGGAAAGTGCAGAAAAAAAAGGTAGATGATCGCGTTGGTCAACAACGTGAGCCAGTTGCAAGCGAGCGAAACGGATGTAAAGCTGGACGTTGGAGCATTGTCAAGGCTTATATTATACTAGGTAGCGGTTGGATAATGGCATTGATGTTCTTTGAAGTCATTGTCCTCTCTTCTAAGATTAGATACGCCATGAGGACTCGACAAAAAAGTCGAAGGTGGCCAAGCCTGAAATTCTACGAGTCTTTGTCCACCGTCGACAGCGCGTGTCCATTATAAAGATACAGCGCGTGAGGACGTGTCGGACAAAGAAAGCGGCTATGTTTAGCCGCAATGGCTGAAAAGGCGCATGTTCGCACTTTTCGACATGTAGCCCAACTCCATCACCGGGCTAGAGGCATGCTGCGAGGACTCAAGGGCATTGGCCCGGACCTTTGGGGCAGAAAGTTGGGTAACCTATTGGAATCATGTTAGCCATCTGCAAAGATGTGATGCAAACAGTATTCCATGGTGTAATTGAAAAATCAGAAGGTCTCCAAGCAGTTCCTCCACATTGTAGGTTCGGAACAGGTCTGTTATATTTTTTGCAATGGACTCATCATTTAAGGGGAAGGGTAGAGTGGAAAAGCGAAATGAGCGTACCTTAGTGAAGTCAAGCATGCAGGCTAAGCTGCGAGGTTAGCTTGAGCTCGACGGAAGCCGGGTCGGTTTCAGGAAAGCTGCTGCCTAGCGGTGCAAGCAGACCGAGGCCGAGCCTCCCGATGTTGATCAAGCCATGAGACCGAGGGTGTATGGTGTTCTCAAGTCATTTTGAGATGCGTGCAGTGAAGATGGCGCAAAGTCGAGATCATGTCTGGCTTTGTTCAGGTGTTGTCGAGGCTGTGCGGAATTTTTCTTTGTAGCGGGCAGCGGCGAAAGGTAGGGCCGATGGGAATCACGTGCGCTCGGGCCGAGCCAGGCGAAGGCGACGCGCCCGCAGGAACCGACAACTTCTCTCTCCTCTGCCGACCTACACAACCCTGCCAGTTGTGTTGCGCGTTCATGCACGCCGCAGCGCAGATCGTGAGTCACTGACATGGTATCACCGAGGCCGAGATGGCAGATGCGTAGCACGACTGGGCTCGGAGTTCGGAGTCGTTTGCCACGTCTGCGCCACAGCTCTCCTGGCGCTCCTAGCGCTCAAGCCCCCGCGCCACATCGCCGCGTTGCTTACCCATCTCCAGCCAAGTGCCAACCATCTGGCGAGCGTGCGTGGCACATGGCAGCCTTTAGCTCTCGCACCTTCTTGTTCCTTCCCGCGTCTTCTCCTGCTTAGGCATGAGATGTGCGGCTCGGTCCATACGGATGCCGAATAATTCTGCTGCCTGGAGCGTCGAACAGTGGCGGGAGCATACGTACGCGGCCCTGCCTATACTGACTATACACAGTATTTAAGCGCCCTGGAATCCCCACCAAGATGCCCATCATCTCATCATCACTCATCCACTTCTATCAATCAACATGCCTTCAATTCGGTACGTAAATCAGACTGCTCCCTTTTGGGACTTTGTCGCCAGCCTTGAGAACCAAGGCCCCTCCAACCCCTTCGCCGGTCCCTCCAGGGAAAACCACGAGAGCTCCGACGAAGAGGGAGCCCCTCGCGGCTGGGGTCGCGGTCCCTGGATGGGTCCCGGAGGCCCACGTGGCTGGCACCGAGGCCCTCCTCCGCCGTGGGGCCGCCATGGACCTCACCCGCCTCCTCCTCCCCACCCCGAGGGCCACCCTCCGCCTCCCCACCACGGCGGTCCTCCGCCTCCGCCGCCGCCCCATCACGAGGGCGCTCCTCCGCCGCCTCCGCCCGCGGGATCCGACTCCGAAGATGCCGCCCAACAGCCTCAGGAAGGTGAGCCGCGCCACGACGGGCCACCACCCTACCCACACCACCACCACCAGCGTCGCGGCCACTGCGGCCGTCGTGGCGGCCGTCCCGGCAGCTTTGGCGGACGCGGCGGAAACCCTTGGGGCCCCTTCATGTTCGGCGGCGGCCCCCACCACCAAGGTCCCTTTGGAGGATTCGGCGGCTTCGCCGACCTCGCCGACGCGATGCAGAAGCACTTCTACGGGGACAACAAGAACGAAGAAGGAGAGAGCGGTCAGGGCGACTTCCAGCCCGAGGCCGACGTCTTCGACACCGAGAGCGCGTACGTGATCCACGTGTCCCTTCCCGGTGCGAAGAAGGAAGACATCGGCGTCAGCTGGGACGCCGAGAAGAGCGAGATCGCCATCACCGGCGTTGTCCACAGGCCCGGAGATGAGGACTTCATCAAGACGCTGGCCCTGAATGAGAGGAAGGTTGGGCCGTTCGAGCGCAAGATTAGGCTTGGCTCCCGCGCCAACCCGGCGCAGGTTGACGATGATGCCATCACCGCCAAGCTGGAGGATGGTATCTTGAGGGTCGAGGTGCCCAAGCTCGACAAGGACTATGTCGAAATCAAGAAGGTCGACATTTTGTAGGATACATGTACGGATAAGGGAAACGGAAAAGAGAAGGAATAATGGGTCATGTATACCAGGCGTTTAGGTAGTCTTTTACTTGCTTGCTTTCACGAAAAAGAGAAAACAAGATAAAAAATTGATTTCCGTTTGGAAAAGAAATTAAGCTTACCCCATGATGCTTAACTGTGATAATCGCATGGTTTCAACCCGGTGAACCTAATGAGGACCAACAAGAAGATTGGGATTTGCGCCCGATCAAAATCTTGGGAGAACGTCGCAACAGTTGACCAGTGCAGTCGACACCGCCAGACGCATGCACGAAAAATATGTTTGCCCATTTTGCTGAGAGATTGTGACACCGGGAACATGGAATTTAAGAGGTGGTACATTTAAGGCTGACCCCACTACGACTTGGCGTAATTCTACGCCAAGGACCTGAGCTCCACGTTGCTCTGGAACTTCCATCGTTCCTTCTATAATTTTTTTTGATTGGAACGTACTGCAGCGTTGCGCTTGTCAAGGGATGCATGAGGACAAGACAAGTGGCAATCGCGCATTCCAATTGTTTCGTTTGTAGGCAAGCGCGTTTGCCCAAGCCCTCGCTTGCCACAATTGATTGCGGGGTTGAGGTTGAGCTACATAACGTCATAGCCGGGCAACTTTGGAAGCTGCCTCACACCATCTTTCAGCTTCAATTGTAACCACAACCAACTCTCTGCACGCACTCTACATTAGACACGAGCAGAACCAAGCACTCTCACAATGGCCTCACGCATCCCTACGTCCACGTCAGTCGTCGAGTCGGCCGTCATCGAAGCTCACCTGAGCAACGTGTGGCACCTGGTCAAGCTCCAGGACTTTGCCAAATTCTGGACCAAGCTCGACAAGAGCGAGTTCGTCAAGGGAGTTTCCCCCGAGACGGACGTGTTCAAGTGGAGCTTCAAGGATGGCACCGTGCTAGAGATCAAGCAGGAGGAACATTCGGTAAGGGCCGGTCGGGTGAACGGCGCTCCTCTGCGGTCACTAACGCAGCGGCAGTCGATTGATCACTTCATCACCTACTCGGTCATCACGGCGGCTCCCGAGCTGAGCTACTCGTCGGCGCTCAGCACGATCCGGCTTTTCCCCATCACGTCGGGCAAGCACGAGGGCCACACGTTCATCCAGTGGACGGGCAATTTCTCCAGCGATGCTGATGCCGGTATGTGGAGCACAATTTCTGCGAATTAAGGTCCGCGGGCGTCGGCGCCTCCAGCTGGCGCAGGCCCAGACCGCCTTCGGAGAATGGCTGCTAACCCAGGAAGCAGGAGTCATCGAGGACGCCAAGTTCAAGCGGCGCGAGGCTCTGGCGGACCTTGCCGCGGCGGTGTCCAAGGGCACAAAGTAGGGAGCTGAGGCCGATCTCAATGGGGCGTGAGATTGGCGGGCACGGTTGCGCGAGAAACGGCGGTTATGGTGAGCGGATGGCGAACGGAAAATAAAGTAGCTCTTGCATGACGGCCTGCAGCAGGATTACCGGGAAGTCGAAGAAAAAGTACACTACTAGGCAGTGTATATTAAGCGTTGATGACGTACGCAGGGCGTTGAAACAGAATCGCACTGTGTTTGTGTCTTGCGTAGATTGCCCCTGGATGACGAGTCCTCGCCCCCTTGGCGCCACGACGACTCAGCAACCTTAAACAAACCTTGTCTGGCGATGATGCTGAAACAACGCGAGGATGGCTCGCTGATCGTGGTGCGTCCGGTGTCGGCTGGGCCCGGCAACGGCGGCCGCCTCAGGCCAGCACGCGCCTCGTGAAACCCGTCGCCGCAGCCACCAAACATCGTCCCGCCGTCGGCCACCTACCGCCTACCGTCCGGCACCACACCCTGCGGCAGCTCCACCTGACCCTCCAGGCCACCACGATCTGTTTCTCGAAGATGTAGCTCTGCAGCGGGGCGCGCAGCTCCTGGCCCTGCCAAAATTACCCCGGATTAAACCACCATCATCACCCTGCATCGCGTGCCAGCATGCCGCCAATGGTGCAATTCACGCCGCAATTGCTGCATTCTTCCATACAGCTGTATGGCCTCAGCGGTCCGTCATTCCTGCAATCTTCGAAACGGCCGCCCCGCTGAGTAGCGCGCGCCGGCGCAGACGCGTAAGCCTCCGGGGCAGCGAGGCGCTTGGTCCACAACTCCATCACTGTGGGCACATGTGCGCAACGTCGATCTTCCAAACACCCTGTTTCCTCCCGCCGTTCTAAACGCGGTAGCCGATCTGCGACTGCAAGGCCCCGAAACATGGGCGACGCGGTCCATTGGTGGACCCTATGGCTCGATCAGGCCCCTATTTTCCACCACACTCCAGCCGCTCACCCGCTGTACAGCCCAGACTACCCCAATAACGCCCTCTGTTATGCTGCAACAGGCGGCGTCGCAAGCCGCCACCCCGGCCTTCTGTCCACATGCGGACAAGCCGCTCCGCTGCCACTCCCGCGACTCTGTATAAGAACCTCGACCACCGCCAACTCTAGCTCACCACTCGCAGCAGTCAGCTCATTCTCTCACACCAAGTAGACCGGTCTCTACTCTGCTTTTTTTGCTCTCACCAATTGCTTGACGCAATCTCGCTCACTTTTACTCGTTTTTCTGCCCTAATACCACTCTACATCCTCCCAAAAACCAAAAACACAATCCTTTGAAAAGTCAAGATGCTCTCCAAGTACGCTATCTTTGCTCTCGCCTCGAGGTAAGCCTTTCTCCCTTCCATACTCTCCCAATCTCGCCACTGACGCCCACCTCAGCGCCCTTGTGGCCTCCGCCCCCGTCGCCCAGCAGGAATCCGGCGAGTCCGGTCAGCAGGGCGGCCAGGCCGCTGGCACTCCTCCCGCCGGCGGTGCTTCCGGCAGCTTCCCGACCCCCACTGGCTCTTTCGGTGGCTTCGGTCAGGGCGGTCAGCAGACTCCCGGCGCCGGATTCGGTGGCCACGGCGGCCACCACACTCCTGGAGGCTCTTTCCCTAGCGCTTTCCCCTCGGGTGGCTCTTTCCCCACTCCCGGTGCCGGCAGCTTCGGCAGCTTCGGCGGCCAGGAGAGCGGCTCCAACTCTGACATCCAGGCGGCTCAGGCTCAGCAGAGCGGCTCTTTCCCTACTCCGGGCGCTGGTGGCCAGGAGGGTGGCTTTGGCGGCTTCGGCGGCGCCCAGACTCCCGGCGGCGCTTTCCCGACTGCCTTCCCCTCGGGTGCTTTCCCTTCGGGCGGCTCTTTCCCCACTCCCGGCGCTGGTGGCCAGGAGGGCGGCTTCGGCGGTTTCGGTGGCCAGCAGACCCCCGGTGCCGGCGGCGCTCAGCCCACTGGTTCTTTCGGCGGCTTCGGCGGCCAACAGACTCCTGGTGCTGGCGGTGCCCAGGCCACTCCCGGCGCCTCCTTTGGCGACTTCTCCGGCTTCCAGAAGCGCCAGTTCGACGGCGAGCTCCCTGCTAGCTTCTCGGGTCTGCCCCAGGGCACTCCCACTGGTGGTTTCCCCGGTGGCTTCGGCGGCGCCACTCCCCCTGCCTTCCCGTCTGGCACTCCTCCCGCAGGCGGCTTTGGCGGCGCCTTCCCTAGCTCCTTCCCCACTCCTGGCGCCGACTTCGAGCAGGCCGCCAAGTTCGCCCAGAAGGTCGCCTCCAGCTTCGGCACTCCCCCGTCCGGATCTTTCCCTACCGGTGCCTTCCCGTCGGGCGCTGCCCCCTCGGGCACGCCGCCCGCTGGCTTTGGCGGCCCCGGTGGTCCTCAGGGCACCCCGCCTGCCGGTGCTCCCTCTGGCACTCCTCCCGCGGGCGGCTTCGGCGGTCCTCAGGGTACTCCCCCGGCTGGCGGCGCCCCCTCTGGCGCTCCCTCCGGCCCTGCTCCCTCGGGTGCTGCTCCCACTCCCAGCTCTTAAGTTCCTCGCTTGATATGCTCGGCTCGACAAGTTTTTTCTTTCATGCAGCATTTCGGAAGTGATGGGATGGGGAAGAGAAGGACGATGATAGCGGTTTGAAAAGAGGGGAAAGAAGAAGAGAACAAAAAACAAAATTCAGGGACCTCCTCTTATTTGGTGTCCACGAGTCGTTTGCTGCGATTCACTGTCACTCTTTTTCTTTTCCCACTTTTCTCTCTACACCACTTCAACGCATTTGCTCTCTCGGGCCTGGTTTTTCCGAGATGGCTCCGGGGCAAGTGTGGGACCTGTACTTGTAGATATTTTGGTTTTTTTCCCTACTAGTATATACAAAACTTTCTGGCTTCGGCCACTAAAAATTCTTCGGTCTCCCTTTTGCTGCTTGTGATTGAACTATTAGGAGCTTCGACCCTTCGCTAACGTCTTAAGGATTGGTTAACCTGCTAACAGGTTCCGTCCCATTGTTACCGTCTTTGCGGATTTGTTGGACTGTTAGAAACGTCGGTCCCATCGTTACCGTCTTCGCAGATCTATTAAACTGGTAAGAGGGTCTGCCACATCGCCACCGTTTTTGCGGATTCATCAAGCCGCTAAGAGAGTCGCTACCATCTTTACAGATCTGTCAAACTGCTAACAGATTCCGTCTCCCCGTTACCGTTTTTGCGGATCCGTTAAACTGTCAAGTATACGTCTCCTCGTTACCGTCTTCGCGCATCTGTCAAACCGTGAACAGGTTCCATCCCCCCGCTGCGCCCGTCAAACCGTTAAGAGCGTCGTCCCATAGCAAAACATGGCGTAAGTATTTCTCAACTTTCCTGATTCACAAATGACGACATACGTAGGTAGTTGAAGCTATCATCCGGACGTGCATGTATAATTGTTAATTCGACATTTGCGTCCGGACGATAGCTTCAACTACCCACGATATAAGGTATTTATTTCGTCTTTCTCTTCTTCATTTTCATGAAAAACAACATTTGTAGGTAGTTGAAGCTATCGTCCGGACGTGAATGTATAATTGTTAATTCGACATTTACGTCCGGACGATAGCTTCAACTGCCCACGTGAAAAGCTCCGGAAATGTCGAATTCCTTTGTCAGCTTCCGTGGCGCCTCGACAGAGGTCAATGGTGCAATCAAGTTTCGGTGAGCGGCATACCATGTGGTTCAGCACATGGCATGCAGTCAGGCTTCATCCTGGCGCGTGCGAGACGAGCGAATGGCAGCCCCACAATTCACCAGCCCTACTCCGCGCCCCTGCCGCCGCCGTTCATGCACGCCTAATTGCTGCACAATCCCCGCCTTTTTCCCTTTCGTTCATTGCTCCGTCCCCTGCGGTCATCTTGTCGGAGTTTGCCATTATCTCACGTTTCTTCTTTCCTTCCCCTGTCTCTCGCTCACGCCGTCGGCTGCAGCAGCAATCCGTACCTGACGATCCCCTGCGTGAATTTCTTCCCCTCGAAACCGACCCCACTTCCCAAAATTTTTCCGTTCCTGTTCGGCGCCGGGCTCCTTTCCGCGGCGCCCGCACTAACAACTCCCCCCTCGTCTCGATCCGCGTGGGAAGAAGATCTTTTGTTTGGGAATACGAGAAGTTCCAGACTTCCTCGACACTCTTTTTCGACGTCAAGTCTTTCTTTGCACACAGCATTCTCATCGTTCGCCTCTTGCAGCGATTGTTGTGTTGTAGCATTCACTGTTTCAACCTCACAGCGTCTCGCGTCCGCATGTTTCGCAATCATAGACACATTGTTTTAAGCGGGGCGGGGCCTGGATCGCAGCACCCCCCTTTTGGCTGCATGAGCAAAGAAATCAACGCTGCATCTCACCAGCCAGCCCATCATCAGTTCAGGTCCCCACCATTCAGCCAGTCAGCCAGCCACGATATCTGCGATCCAGTGTTCGACGGAAGTTGCAGGCGCGGGCAGCGTTCTCTTCACTGTCATTGGTCGATTAGGGTTTTTGTACTGTGGTTCGAGCTACTGCACGTCGCAGGACCACGTTGTTACTGGCTGACCTCTCTTTCCTTTTGCCCGACGTCAGCAATGGCGTATTGTTCGCTATGTGAGGGAGCTGAAGCTCTTGTCTGGATGAATCTGTCAACCGGCTTCCTGCGCGTTTGTCTCCGTCCGGACAATGACCTCAACTCCCCCCGCGGACCCCGGAAATTCCGTAACAGCCTTCGATCGAAGCAACGGGTAGGAGTTTCCGATCTCCTTATGTCACTTTATTTTCTTTTTTTCTTTTTCCTTTCTTCCCTACTTTCCCTTCCCTATCCCCTGTCAACTTGACTTTTTTGTCGCAAGGAAGAACAGACACCTACGGTCGCGGGGCGCGCAACCAAGCTCTTCCGCTGACTCGTTCCGACCAACCGGAATCGACACCCGCTTCCAGGTGCCCTGGCAGCCACCCGCTGTCAGCCCCGAACTGCCTGTCCTTCCCCCCTCGGACAGATTTCCGTAAGTGACGAATGCTGCAGATCGTTTGCAGTTCGCCTCGCTGCCCAAAATGCCGGCCGGTCTCCATCACTCCACAAATTTTTCCCATCCGCACGCTACTACAGCGCGGGTGTGTCAGAGATATGCATCGTTGCGTAAGTTGGGTTGCCGGGTGTTCTGGAACGTCAGCGACGGATGGACATTGCCGACCGTTGATTAGGCGCACCCCTCCTCCCCTCCAAGCCAACGGGGTTCCACTTTTTTGGTGGGCAGGGGATCCGTGTGTTGTTCTCGTCATGGAAAATAGGTGGGCTGCTGCCTCTCAATGACGCATTGGTTGCGGAATACTTTGTGCTATATGTATTCTACGTATTGTGGGGTTCAGTGTTCTCTTAACTACACTTCAGGGTCATGTAAGACGGTCATGCGTTCAGCAATGCCTCGCCATTTATTCACCGCGATTTACGTACGCCATCCTTTTGCTTCTCTGCAACATTTGTTCTGTGCGACAACTGCATAGTATTTCTAGTAAATTAGACAGGACAATCACGTTGAGCCACTTGAAAGGGAGAACTTTATTGGAAAATTCAGAGGCTGTTTCGCATTGGGGCGTCCGCCTTTCTGTAAATGAGTAGAAGATGTTATTTAGGAAAAATCCCATTCCGATTTGTGCCAGCTGTTGAGTGTCAACTCCAATCGCTAAAATCATTTTCCCCCAGGAACGCCGAAATGCCATACTTTTGCAGGCCCTTTCCAGCCAGAGTATCCAAATGCAACTTTTTTTTGTCCCCATGGTCAGGATGCATTTTTGGAACTTGCCCATTGAGATGCGCATTCCAAAACGCCGGCATTGTCAATCCCGCATCGAACCCCTTTTAAGTGCCAAATTGTCCCTGTAACCAATCTTCTCCCCGAGCTCTCATGTAAATGGTACCCTGGCCATGTCTTAGGCCTAATCAGTCCGCTTTCGCTTTCTAGCTACGAACTTCCCGTCCTCCTTGTGACTCTCCAGAAATAGCCTTAGGCCCTCAGTCATTTCTACCTCCACGTTGTCTTTCGCCTTTATCTTGTCCGTTGAACTGCGTAGTTCCTCCTGACTTTTGCGTAAAGCCTCAGAAGTTTGGCGTTGGTCCCCTTCACGTTGGTGTAGATCTTGTCGAAGAGCATAGTTCTCATTCCTTAAGTCAGAAATGATTCCCTGGCTAGTGTTGTGATTGGCCAATTCCTTGGTCTGATAGTCCAGCTTGACACGTTCGATCTCCTTCTCCTTCTGATCGAGCTTGAGTTTGAGTTCTTTCTTCTCCTTGTCCGCTTCTTTCAGCTTCTGTATGAGTTCTTCCTTTTCCGTAAGTGCTTCGTTAAGTCCTCTCATAATTTCTTGTACCATTTCGGGCAAGGTTTGCTGGTTTTCGTCTTCCGATTCCGACTCTTCCCAATCGAAGGGCTCGATGAATTCAGGAATGGACTCCTGATCCTCCTCGATCTGGGAAAAGTTAGTAATAGGGTGTGGAAGGGAGTATATTATTACGGAGGTTGTGACTTGATTGTGTACTCCTTGAACCGCCTGATCCTCAGCCGCAGACGCCGTCGTGTTCGGAATGGCATTCATGATTGGAGTGGTATTCGTACTTGGTTCAGGTGGGAAGATTTCAGCAGTTAAGAGGAGATTCTAGCACTTAAGATCCGAATGCACTTCAGAATGTAGTGTAAGAGTGATGCGGTAGTTCTGGACAATGACAGGTTTATGTAGGCCGAGACCAGTGAAAGCGGGCACATGAACCGTAACCCGTCTAGACCTAATCTGGACATGGGCATACAGTTATAGCAGGAGCTGGGTCTGTTCGATTTATCTACACTTCTGGTTGGGTTATCTGCTAGTATGGAGTTATCTGCAGTTCTACTGGGGTTTCTACACCGTTGGTAGAGTTAGAGTTATCTATACCTACGGGAATTATCTGCAGTTTTCGGAGTTATCTGTAGTTATCTGCAATTTTTGCCAAATTTTCCATGATTCTGACGAGTTATCTACAGTTTTACCGGGTTCTCTACTGTTCGTACGGATTTGTCGATATTCTACAGTTTGCCTATATTGTTACAAGTTTAACGAGTTATCTGCCGTTTTAGTAAATCTTTTACGATTTTGATGAGTTAAATGCAGTTTTTCGAATTTTCTACAACTTTAACGAGTTATCTATACTTAAACCAGACTTTCAGCCATTTTAAGCACTTAAGCCAGGTTTCTAGCCAGGTTTTCCGTTATTTAGTGCACCTAAGCCAGATTTTCCGTCATTTTATATACTTAAGTTAAACTTTCGACGATTTTTATAAGTTATCTGCACTTAAACTGCGGGTTCTGTACTTAAGCTGCGGGTTCTACACTTATAGAAGGATGCTGTAGCCGATAGCTAGCGCGAAGAATAGCAGGGCTTAGAATATAGAGTGATTATGCCCCAGCTCTACCTTAAAAAATAACATATGGGGGTATTTGAAGCTATCATCCGGACGAGAATGTCAAATTAAAAATTCTACATACACGTCCGGACGATAGCTTCAGCTACCCATGACATGTACTTTTCCTTCAATCCACGCTAGCCTTCAGCTGCGAGAGAGGACTATAAACTGCGGGTTCTGCACCTAAGCTATGGTCGACAAGCGGTGGGACACAATTGCAATCTGTGATCAACAACCCGCAGTATGTTGATCTAAGATCCGAAGAGGAGTCGGATGACTCTGATATTGCCCCTCCCACGGGCAAAACGACCAAGTATGGATATCCGTGAAAATGTAAAGTTTGTTTACTGAAACAACGTATCTGTTAGTGTAAAGAGCATCATCAGGAGAAATCCCACCAGGCACTCGCGGAACCGACAGCCTTTGAGCATCACGAAGGGTAGCAACATACCCACTTCAATGTAAGTCACCAACTGCGTCCTGACATCTCAATTGTACTGACTTTTTCACTTTGTATAGTAACGCACTCCCCCAACCCTACCCAGACGTCCCTGCAACAGGCATGCACGGTCATGCACACACGCCAGACCATTGGGCCGCCATCACAGCCACACATCCGATATTTGGGGAGGCACAGTAGGGCTTGAAACCAGCAGGGAAGGTGACCTGGCCTGCGCAGAGCTCCCTCGCTCGTGACTTCACCCGGGTGAGCAGCTGTCTCCGAGGACGGGTCTGTGCCTAGGACGATCCGCACGTCATACAAAGTTGTTTTGAAGTCGTCTGGGACCTCTACACCATCTACGCTAATGATATCAAGAAGTGGGACCCTCTCAAGGGTGAGACGATTTTTTCACAAGAACTCGCAGTTGAATTCGCAAGATGGGTTCGTTTTCGAGCATTGCATTTATATCCAAATGCAGGAACACAACAATACGCCTCCCAGCTTCGAAATAAGCTATACGTGTCCCTTCTGCAGAAGAAAGGAAACAATGACGCTGAGCAAGAGCATGACACTCTCGCTGGGTTGTGGTCTGGTTAGCAGGGATGAATGGGTCGCCGCTACAGTCTGCCAGATGAGTGGTGCTATGAAGTGTCGTAAGTCTGCAAACTTTAAAATTAGAACGGGACGAGCTCGCTGATATCAGATCTCAACAGGGAACAGTTGGTGCATTGATGTAGGCTGCGTTGTTATCGAAGAGGACAATTTGGCCAACGGGAGGGGCAAAGGATGCATAACGCAAGGGCGCTGCGTTTGCAAGCCAGCAGAAGAGGGTTCATATAGGGAAGATTGCCTCCTAGCACGTCACATGACGTTGGAAGAGGGACGAGCAAAGACCGTAAGCTCCAAGCGCGTCGTCTGGAAATAAACTCTGTGGCTAATATCTGCGCAGTTGCAATTGCTAAAGCAGAGCAATATCGATCCGGACTCGAAGGAAAATTACTACGCACGAATCAGATCCTACACACCTCGGCTGATCTTCAGAGCGGATTCCTGAGTGGTCGGCAACATTCGATGCCGAAGTTCTCTCCAGCGCGTTTCGACTCAGTAAGGAATTTTCACAAGGTTAAGCTATGTTTCTGGAGGGAATGCAAGGGAATGTGCGGTGATCAGCGAGACATTCGGTGAAGGTGTTAGCATAATATTACTTTAAGGGAGATGTGTATGGGCAAGCTTTGCTCTCAAACTCTTGATAGCTTTGTCAAGCCATAGGCTGGCAAATAGCGCACAGAATGCAAGAAACGAACGAGTCCTACTGGCTAAACGCAGTACCGTAGACTTTGACCATACAATTAGGACTCGATGGAGAGAAGATACGTTTCCACATTGGCCCTCAATATTGGGCAAACTGGATGCATTCCCCTTAAAGAATAAAATAATTCACACCTACAGCTATCTGGAAGGAGGTGTTTTGTGGAAATTTCGTGCCATTGAGGGGACATTGGCTGAACTCTGAGCCCTGCCTGGGATACTGTACATTCTAAATAACTGCCCTTGAGAGCATGTGTGCAATGTCTCCTCCGAAATGTGCGAATTGATAGCAACAACCTTAAATCTTCGATTCGATGCCGTGCCGCCGTGACTAATAGAACATCAAACCAGACTGTCGTTCCATATGCAAGTTATTCCTCCATCATCTGCATATTTTGTCAAATCAGCTCACTTTGATTTTTTCATCTGAAATCCGAAGGCCTCAAGAGTGGTGCACTGGGTAGCGTGTTTTTTTTTTTTTTGCTCATGTCGTGGGTAGTTGAAGCTATCGTCCGGACGTATATGTAGAATTTTTAATTCGACACTCGCGTCCGGACGATGGCTTCATATACCCACATATGTTAATTTTTCTAAGGCAGAGCTGGGGAGCCCTGCTATTTTCACTTTAGCCATCGGCTGTAGTACCCCTCTGTAGTAGTTAGATGGAAACTTGGATTGAAATTCGAAAGAAAAATAGAATTCAAACTTACGGCAGCGGTGTGAGCCACTGTACTTGTTGCACACGGCCATGATCCACTCCTCCCTGGACAGGAGACCACATCCCGGGAGTATGACAAAGATTGCGTTGGGGCAAAACTCTCCCGGCTCATTGTGCCAGGGGCACATGAAACTGGACTTTGAATTCCGAGCCGGATCGGTTCGTGCGACTTGGTTCCAGAAAGTAGCAATGCTCGAACAATGTTGTCTCGCTGTCGAACTCCATGCTGGTGTTCTTGCCGAATAGAGTCTCTCCGTTTGTGACATCCCAAGTGCACAGTTCTGGGTTGAACACCTGTAGAATTAGTGTTGCGACTTTGGTGCACTCCCGGATGAAGCCCGGGTCGTCGAAGGCCGTGGCCACTCCACGCATGCAGCATTTTGAACTCGTCGGCGGAGCGGAGTCTTCTTTCAGCGGTGTGACGCGTCCGTTGGAGCGGATTCCCCATGTGTGCTTCCCATGCTTTGGGTGTATGCTTGTGGCCGCTTGCTTTTGTTCATCCGTTGTTGCCCATCACGGCATGTCCGTTGGAATAGGCGTTGAGACGGGATTGTTTGCTCCTCTCCTGTAGTTACTGTCAGTAAACCGCATCTAACCAGGTGCATGAGGTCTGAGTCCGTACGCAATCAACTCGAGACGCGTGGGCTGTTCGGCCTTGGCGATGCCATTCCCGGGGTCGTACCGGCTCTGCGCGACTTGGTCGTGCTTTCTCTTGTGGCGAAGCCGTTGTCGTTGCTGCAGTATCGACTCTTCTTGCTCGATCTCTTGTAATATTTTCTTGATTCGGACTTCCTCTCGTGCAAGTTCGTGTTCTGGGATCATTTCGTAGTCGCTAATTTGGCCTTCCGTATCGTTGGAAGTAGACGGTACGAAACGACTGCACCGGAATAAAAGACGAGGATATCCGTAGATAACGGTACGGCTGTCAGTGCTGGATAAGTAGGATTGGATGTGGAGAGAGCGGTGCGCGACGAGGCAAAGTAGAAGATGCGCTCCCGAACGGCGGAGATGAGGCCTGTGCTTGTGCCTCGCTCTTTCCTCTCGAGGAAGGAACACCAACGTCGCCCGCCGAACAACGTCGCCTGCCAAGCCGCGCCACCCATCCTCGCTTTTTTTGTTCTTTGTCCTTGCAACGCTCGTGGAAGCCATTGAATCAAGTCTGCAACACCAAATGTTGGGATCCTCTGTAGATACAAGCTGGTTGCGTTGTTATCGTTGTGGGCAGGGAGGCATTTCCACTGCGAAGAGTGTGATTCCGGGAAGATATAGCGCGCATTCCTAACGGTCGAAGTAATAGGAGACGGCGGCGGTGGCGAAGATGAGGGTCATCTATCGAGCGGCCTGCTGGCAATACGACACGGCGAGGAGAGCGGCGCGGCGAAGACGAGCATGGAGCGCATGTCGAAGGCAAGGTCTATAAGTGCGGGACGTAGGGAAAGAAGTACGAGAGTATGGAGCCGTTGCTGAGGCAGCCGAAGATCCTGGTCATGTCGATCCTGTTTCTGTAAAAGCACATATTATGTATGCAGATATTCCCGAGTGACCCACCCAGACCTGGGATCGTGTGGGCTTGGCTACTCAAATATATGAATTAGTGTAGATGGTATCAAAGTGTCACTAAGACGTTTGATATAAGCTGCTGCGCTGTTTATTATTTGAAATGCAGCAACTAAGTTTGAAAAGAAAGCCTCCTCCACTAGCCTAATTAAGACAGACGAAGAGCAATATTGTCCTTCGTGTATGTCTTTTATATGATGAAAATTCCATCCCACTTGGAGCTTGTTGAGATTTCCAGATAATCTCAGCTCTGTCTGTCCAACCTCTCATGTGAGGAAAGAAAAGAGTTCCCGTAGACGAGTCATTTTCTCCACGGTTTGCTGATCCTTCAGCATCAGCTCTGCCTTGACGACATCTTTGATGCTCTGCAAGATGTTCTGGGGGTCTCCTGAACCTTTAATCCTACCAATCGCAGACACCCAAAGGTTTTGGCAATCCTCGTAAGTCATAGTGCTGTTGCCTTCCGAATGCTGTGTGTCATCAGCCAAGCTGGAAAGCAGCTGCTCGGCACCGCGGTGTCTGGATTCGTAGAAGCGAACTTTCCAAGAGTTCAGCAAAGCTTGAGCTTCGATAGGCAAATCGCATAAGCTGATGTTCCGTTGATCCTTTCTCGATTCTGCTTTCAGCGGGAGAATCTCAACCAATTTCAACGAGATACCGATCCCACGTAACTGTTTGCACACCTCCTCAAGCCATTTGTATTGGCACATCGACATATTTGGTGAAATGAGTCCTTTCGTCGCGACATCTCTGAAGCGTTCCTGAAGCTTGTTTGCTTCATCGTTGGTTAGCTCTGGCCACTTCGCGATCTTTTCCGCGTCCACTATACTCCAGCTTGAGCTGAGGAATTGAGTGATTATAACCTCAGACCAATCGTTCTGCACTACACTCTCTTCCGCCATGGTGGTATCGTGAAGGGAGGAGTAACGGTCTTGATCTCCCGAAGAATTGCCTGTAGCTGAGGCCGGCGTTGAAACTTCTGGTGAAGCTAATGAAGCCACCGAAGCGACTGTAGCTTCCAGTGAGTTGGTTGCGAAGGCCGGCATCCCCCTTTCTGAGTCCAGCGCAAAGAATTCCTTCCAGAGCTTTTCAGCATTGAGGGCCATGTCATCTGGGATGGAATCCAGAAGAATGCGCATTCTTGTTTCTTGAAAATTATGTCCTGAGTTCGAGTGCTTGGAAATATCCCATATGCCGCTGTTAATTGCCAATTGCCGGACGATCGCGTTTCCTGTCTCAATCTGGTATCTGTTCGTCTTGGTTCCTTCAGACTTGGGTTTGCGCGCTCTGATTCCGAAGGGATAATGCTTCTCAAACTCGTTCATGAAGATTCGATCCATTGCAGAAACTGAACCGTTCTTCTCCACTACCTTCCAGCACTCGACGAAGTCCCCCCCCCCCCCTTGATAAACCTCAAGGCCGCATACACCTTAATTCTTGTGCCATCTGCTTCGGTGACATACCCGATGTGAAGTGCGTCCCGCTCCGTATTGCCACATCGGATCTTCGTCCAATGTATGATGTCGGCCGTGGGAAGCTTCCAGAGACTCTGACTCAGCTCTGACATTAGAGTTCCTTGCGGTGAGTGAGAAACGTCACCTCGTGATCCGTCTACGATGGATAAATCCTGAGAGGACGATAATTTCAACTTCTTTGCTGAAGATGAAGCGAAATGTGCAAGCCTTTCCCTCTGGGATGACTGCAGGTGTTGTTGCATGGGCATGTTTTTCGCAGTCACTCCATCAAGAGAGCTCGATGAGGTTCGATTGTCTGATGCGATTTCCATCTCGATGTGACGTGAATGAGAAGCAAGAGGTGGTCTGCTCATGACTGCAGAAGATTGAGGTGGGCCGTGCTGTTGAGAGGGTAGGATGTGCTGCTATACCGATCTGATAGTATAAAATTGGGAATGGTTTGAGAGGAATATGGCGTGTTGACTAAGTGATAATTTATAAGCGCAGTGAGGCTGTACTTGGGCTAAACCTATTTCGAACATCAACATATATGTTTTGGCAGGTGCGATGGAGCAACGTGCATGTGAAAACCGAGCGCACGCAAGGTTTTTCAATAACCGACTCAACGCCTGCCTAACTAGGCTGTCACATGTTTTCGTGACACTTCACCCATCATCGACACGTTAAAAGGCTTCGAGCCGGTCACTCTCCTCCGTTTCTCTGTCATCCTCTTTCTCACGCCCACTCTCAGCCCTCAACACTTCCTCCTGGAAGATTAACACCAACCACATGGATCTTCAACCAAGATGGACACAGACGGCAATGAGCGTGCCTCATGGTGTCGATCCAGTTGCAACAGCGCTTAGGTCGTTTCATACCCACATCATGAACCTACAGCGCCAGCGTCTCTTCGAGATCGCCGTCGGAGGGATCCAAACAACTAGGGACGATGGTACGATCAAGCTTTTGCAGAAGCTGGTTCAGGAGTACGACGAGCTCGAGGGCGAGATCGATAACTGGAAGGCCACAGTGAACGACACACATGACACCCTAGGCGATCTGAACTATCATTTCGACTTGGGCCAGAGCCATCGCGAGATGATTGACGACATGTGCTATCTTGAGCGGAGCTCACAAGAACAATACGACAGGCTCCGCAGCATCAAGGCCACCAAGAGAGAGGAACTCGAGGAGATCACGAGGGTTCGCTAGTCACAGGCGTACCAATCAATCCTCACAGACAAGAAGGTAGAGAGCCTAGAGAGCATGACCATCGATGCCGTGGAGGCATGAAGAGCGATATCTGATGCCTTCCGGAATTCATTTGCAAAGCACACCAGTCCGTTAGAGAGGAATTTGACACCGGAGACATCATGGAGCAGCTGCGCAAGCATCTTCGTCATTCTCACGATGTTCTTCCTCGCGTGGTCGACGAGGCAAACTTCCTGGAGCTGCGTACCCACTACGATGGATGCTTGCGAAGCATCAAATATCTGGTTATGCGACCAGGTGCTCTCCCCGTCCAACACCACATCCCGCTCCCTCGCCACAAAAGCTTTTTTCAGGAAGAAGGAGAAGAGCCGGAATACTTGGACAAGGCAGAAATCCCACTCAAATTCCACAGCTCAGAGTGATTGAGCATCAAAGCTGCATTGGTTATTTCTTGAAGGGCTTCTGAAGGGAAGGGAGGGGTGGGGCATTAATTTAGCCAATACTGGTTACATCCAGTGAAACGACGGGTCTACAGCAAACACGCACGGCCCGCCAGCCTACATGCAAAGGGTTTTTACAGAAATCCAGCACTTAGACAGAAATCATTGTACAAAGTTTCATTCACCGTTTGTATTAAATGTGAAGACCCTGTAGAACAGACATTTCAGGCGAAATGACAGTGACAAAAGCTTAGGCGTTTGAGCAGAGACCCAGAATGGTCGGTTGAGGTAGTGAAGCATGTCGAAGGAGGAAGGAAACGGCAAGGAGCGCTGTTGGTGGTGCGTTAACAAGTGAAAGAGGAGAAGAGTTGATTGCTACCACTATGAAAGCTAACTAAGAAAGCACTTTTGTTTAGCCGTGTTCTTGCTAAAGAAGTCGCTGCAGGCAAGCAAGACAGCTGAAAACTGGTCAGCCAAGGCTAAGAAACCACTAATCGTCTGATGTTGCCATCCGAAATGTCTTTCCCGTCCGTTCCTCGCCGGTCATAGGAAAATCGTTATGAAGACTAAGAGCCCAAGCCTACCACTCGATATTAAGAGGGTTTCTTCCCTTCAGGTCGAGAGACTTGCTTCATCAACTCCCGTACGATCTGCTTATCTTCGAACTTCCTGGCCGCCGATACCAATTCACCCGCCGCCCGCTCAAATGCTCGGAGGTCTCCCGAATTCTTGAACTTGCCAATCAACCGCACGTATATCTGTTCGAACTCTGTCTCGTCATTTGGACCGTCAGCTGATTTCCGGTCAACTTGATCCATGGAAGTTTCTGCCCGCTGTTCATAACTGGTATTGGGTACATAGTGCGGGTGGAAGTCTACGATCCAGGAATAGAGTAGGTTTATGTCGACAATCGGTAAGCTCTCGAGATCGACGTCTTCTTTTTCTTGGTTTGCATGGAGTTTTTTTTTTCTTTGAGAGTAGCTTTGATGTCCATGGTGATGCCGGTTGAATGCAGGTGAGTGCTTGTCTCTTCAAGCCATCTGAAACCAATCATGTCTAAGCTTGTTTCAGGATTCTGGATGGCATAGGCGATGAAGCGGTCGCAGAGTTGGTCGCGCTGTTCTGAGGGTTGTAATGGCCAGCGGATTTTTGGGGACTCTTCAATCTTCCACTCCCACTCAATAAAGGCTTTGAGAATCATCACCCTTCTCATCTTTTTGCCGATGTCCGCTAACTCCATGGACTGGTATGCAGTTGGAATGCGATACGAATCCCAAATAGATGGCACCTTGTCTTCTGCATTGGATTCCTGACTTGATTCCAGTTCTTTTCTGGCACTGGTGCCACTGCTTTCTTCCTGATTGTTTCCCTCAAGAGAATCTTCGAAAAAGTCTCGCCAATTCGTGTCACCTTGCTCGGCTTCCTCATCCGAGATATCGTCTACGATCTTGCGTATTTTCTTCTCGTGTGTCTTCCTCGACTTATCGGAATAACGGGAAATTTCTGTGACCTTGCAGTTCAACGCCAACTGCCTGACGATAGTGTTGCAAAAGTCCCTGAGCGATTTGTCATGTGTTTGGCTGGACTTCGATGATGCCTTCTTCTTGTTGAATGGCCATGGCCAAGTCAAATGCAGAACATGCAGGTTGTCAATCTTGTCGGTTGTAACGAAGCCTCCATCTGCCAGATCGACTTTGAAGTAGCTCACTTCATCGGCGCGATTTGTAGAAGTCAATATAGCGTAGATTTTGCTTTTTTTTCCGTCTGGTTCAGACTGGTAGGCAACGTGACACCCTTTCCTGTCGGGTTTGCCTTTTGTGGCGGGTGGAAATTCCACCCAGTGGACAAGGTCCGGAGATGGGAGCGTTTGCAGTATTTTGGCGTCAAGCTCCAGTTTTGCAAGACTCGTGACCGACTTCCCTCCTTCGCTTGGACGATCAGAGGTGGGGGGACCTTCACGCGACGGGTGCGATGGAGGTGTGGAGACCCTTGCGGGAGTTTTCCTGGCTGAACGTGGGTTCGGTGTACTCGGCATTGTTACGGGAGTTGAGGCGCATCGGCGTACTAAGCTAGATATTCAAGTTGCTGGGGTATGGTTGCCTGATGGCTCTGATTGTGGATATGAGAGCTTGAAAATGCTCGTCGTTTGATGTTGTCGAGTCAGCTGAGATTGAAGCAGTCTCTTAGAGTCAGCTTATGCACTTGCACAAGAAGCGGCGGATGCGGTGACGCGAAAGTCGACGAAGGTGTAAGGGAAGTGCGACGTCGGTGGTGTCGGAAGAGACTGGGCTGTGCGGTGAGCGGAGCAGCAGAGACGGTAGCTCGAAAGTTGACGAAGATGGAATGAGGGCGTGAGGTCGAGGTGACGGATGAAACTGGACAGTATGGTGAGCGAAGCAGTAACAGTGACGCGCCGACGGTGCCGTGTGAACGGTGGAGCATCGGTGAAATGTCGATCATGTGATAGCGTCGTCGCCTTACCTGTGCCTGCCGCATCGGGCGAGTTGGAAAGTACCCTGCGTCTGGGCGATGGCTGTCTCCCGATGATGCGGGATCTGTGTCACGGTCCGGGGTTTGACAGAGAAAAATGTCGGGTTGCTAACAAGAGGTTCTGTGAGGAGCGAGGGAGCAACGATGGTGGCAACCGAAGTCATCGCCAGGCCATGCAAAACCGGTGAAAAGATGACCCGGCAGGTCAAGTCGGGTGAGCACCAAGTGTCGCGGTGGTGACATCTGCTTGCCTCTAAATGATGGATGGGACGATATGATAATGGTGGTTGGGGCATCCACATAGCTAAGATGATGGAAAAATAGGCACTGATGCATTGGGCACCTATGAAGAACGGGCACCCAGGGAAAACGGGCGCTTAGATGGCTTAGAATGAAAAACTTAAGATAGCTCGGCCTTGGTTTTCGATTTATATGATCTAAGAGCGTCGTTTTCAATTTAAGAGCCTCGGTTTTCAATCCATCGGTCTAATTTAAGGGCGTCGGTTTCCATCTAAGGGCGTTAGCTTTACTATGAGGACGTCCTTTTTCTTTCTAAGCACCTGTTTTTCTTTCTTAGCATCTATTTTTCTTTCTAAACCCTTCTTTTCTTTCTAAGGCATCTACGCTTTTTATTCTAAGATATCTAAGCTTCTTATTCTAAGCACCCGCTTTTTATTATAGGCAATCTAAGATCTTCATTTTCTTTCCAGCTATCTGGGTTTTTCATTCCCTCAGATTGCATAAATCGAAAACCGAGGCTCTTAGATTTCACCGGTGGATTGAAAAACATGGCTCTTAGATTACACCGATGAAAAACGAGGCCCTCAGATTGTACATATTGAAAACCGAGGTCCTTAGCGTGCACTATCTTAGACACCAACGCTAAGACTGAGTGGTTAAGAGGCTCCGCTATTCGACTCTTTCTCTCTTTCTCCCCCTCTTTCTCCCTCTCTATCGCTTCTCTTCGTAGCCTCATGATTTCACATGCATACTGCTTGATCGCACCTTCCAAAGTCATGACGGTGCTCAAAATAGGTTTAGCTCCACTGCGTCTTATGTGATCATTCATAGAGCTAGCTTATTTAAAGGCCGTCACCATCCACCTTCGCAACAACTCCTCTTAGCCTCAATCCATACGTCAACAGCAGGAAAAACCATCATACTACGACCATGGAGGACATTGAAGACCTTGACGAGCAGAACCTTGCCCGGGTAAAGAGACTCTAGCTACTTCACTTTCCTTCCTCATATATGACTAACAGCTTGTCAGCTTGAGGAAGCGGCGCGGAAGTTTCGAGACCAGCGACGCGAACTCTCCGAAACGAAGACGCAAAACGAAGTACTGAACGATCAACTCAAGAAGGCCAATTCGCGCATCCAAGAACTTGAGGAAAAGCTCGAAAAGTCGTTGGGTGAAGAGGAGCGGAAAGAATATTTCGATTACCTGTTCACTACTACCGTGCTAGGATCGCCTCAGGAGCTCACGAAAGAGCGAGATGGCTTTGAGCGGGAAGTGCAAGCAAAGAACAAGGAGATCAAAAGGCTTGAGAAGAAGCTGAACGATTCCAAGGCCAAGGGCTTTCAGGAAGGATCGAAGAAGTTGCAACTGAGATCCAAGCGGATGAGGGAGGTTCTGGATGACTTCTCGAAAGATGCGGGTGCTTCGGGCCTCAAACGAAGCAAGACAGACTAGGCATGCAATTCTGCTAGTGCACCACAAAGCATTCTGGGAGCAAGATTGAGTGGAAAGATGAAATTGGTAGCTGGACTGGTTTGGGATCATTGCTCATTTGGAAAGGTCGATCACATGGCTTGACTGCATCAAAATTTCTGGAGTTAGATTGGTTTCGGAAACATGATTTGGTACTTGGATATGGGGTCTTCTGGGTTCAAAAAGTCTCATCCTCTTCTCTCACCGCGCGTCCTGTGTGGGAAAGGAAATTGAGTGGTATTTGATAAATTACATCTTTATTCTCCACGAGCATCCCTGGAAGCCTTTTATAAGCGTGTCTGTGGGAGTGAGTGTATGTATCCTCGTGCTAAGGGGCTAACACATTTGCATTGATCGCGGGCCTCGTCCAAGTAGGTGCAGAAATGATTGAAAAAAGAATCGTTTGAGGTTCTTCCCTTAGCAACGCTCTGCTAAGAAGCCGCCGAACCAGAAGAATCCTCGAACTTGTCCACCATCGTCGTCCAGAGCTTCTGGAAGTATCCATCGCTTGCGTAACCGTCTCTGCTTGACTCCTTGTACTAGCCTATCACGCTCTCGAGGTGCTCCTCCGCAGTCAGCGGCCTGAATGGTGGGAAACGCGGCTCCCAGAAGTCAAGTAGGGCCTGGTCCACGATCGACAAGTCGCGTAGCTTCAAGTTCTCCTCTTACTTGTTCCAGTGTTCCTTGAGAGCCAATAGTTCCTTCGTGTCTGACGAAATGCCAATCTAGCGCAGCTTGGCGCTCACCTCTTTAAGCCTTCTAAATTTCTCAATACTCAAGTTGTGTTCCGGGAATTCATACATGCCGGCGATATAACGGCGGCAGAATGCCTTTCTGTCCTCGGCTGAGAAGGTCGGCCATGGAATGTCTATGGCCATTTCAAGGCACCAGCCGCACTTCACGAATGTAGAAATGAACTTGACGCGGCAGATTTCCTTTTTCCTTTCTTCACGTGTCATTGACCGGTATTCCTCGGGGACATTGGTACGTGTCTTCATTCCATGGCGTAACATTTGGAAATTGCGGCAGAGTGAATGTCGCGGGTTCTGGGATCCGGTCTGTTGGGGGGCCGTTGGGGGTTCAGTTGGGGGTGCCATTGGAGATGATCGGTGTTCGTCGTCGAAAAATTCACACCAAAGACGTTCGGCTGAAGCATTTGTATCGTCTGACATGGCAGTGCGGAGAGTGCTGATACGCGAAGTGTGTGCATTTCTTCCTGATGAAGAATACTTCTGGATATCGGGCAATATCCCACTGTTTAGAGCAAGCTGGCGGACGGTGCTTCTGGCTCTTTCTGTCATATACTTTGAAGTTGTTGAGGACTTCTTCTCGTTCTTCTTCCTTGCTGGTATATTGAAGATATACGGCAGTTCGGTGATCTCTAATTTGATCGACTGTCTGATCGAGGCTTCACCATCTTCAACGGTCGCAGTGTGGAATTCCACTTTATCCACATTCTCGCTGATGCTCACGCACGCGAAAACTTTGTTTCGCAAGCCATCCTTACCTTCCACAAACCCTATGTGTAAGGCATCAAGCGGCGTCGTGCCGCTGGTCTTCACCCATTCAACGACGTGTGGAGGAGGGAATCCCCATTCCGCCGCCTTTTTCGAAGCCGTTATCCCGCTGGATGGTGGAGGTGAGAGTGCTGGCTGGGATTCTGACTTGGGCGGGGGAGACTCTGAGCTATGAGAAGACATCTGTGTACTGATAACGTCTTAGATGACTTTCGTGTTCATCCAGGTGAGTTGCAATCCTTACCTATGCAGAGGAAAAGTCGTATCTCCAATTGGTCACGGGATATGTAGCTGTTGTTGCCGTAGAGCAAAGGTGGAATGGGGTTGAAGAAGCAGAAAACTCTTAGTGCATACTTTAAGGGTTTGGAGGGTGGAGGAAGAGTTGAGGCGGCGCAGGTCGCTGACGGGGTTTCATAAATGTCAGATGAGACGTTATTCTGAAATAGGACAGTTGTGTCCCGTGCTTCTTAGCCGGGATTACCATTCGCCGAGTAGTATTAGGGCAGCAGCGGCTCGGAAGATTTTTTTTTTTTTGTAAAGAACGAAACAGTAGGTATGCGGCGGCAGGTGACGATCAGGTTGCGAACCGATGCCAAGCCGGCTCAGACCCAATGGCAAGTGAGCCGAAGACCCAACTGGGATCCGTCGCTAAGTCCAATTAAATAGTTTTCCAGCAACCTGACCCTATTAGACAGTCTGTGTAGCAGCTGCCGAAGACGATAGCGCTACCCGTGAGCCATCGAGGACGATAGCGCTGCCCGTGAGCCGTCAGAACGATAACGCTCTCCTGGGCCTCTATCGTATCCGCGGTCGTCGAGGACGATAGAGGCTCACGGGCAGCGCTATCGTCCTCGACGGCCGCCGTGCGCAGTTACCTATTCCATCTTCATCGGCGGGGGGGATCAATAAAAGTCCGGGTTGCTGTCCAGGTGACAAGAGTCACTGCGCCTGCTTTTCCTGACCAGACCTTTCTCGGATCTTCTTCCAACTCCACGGTCTTGCTGCCGACGATAACCTCACGACAACTTCTTCTACATTCTCGCTGTCGACGGTAACGTTCTTCATCTCCTCGCTACCGACTCCGCGTGCTCGTTAACCGAGCCCCATATTAGACATGTCTTCATAGGACATGGACCTGTACTCTTTGGGGACATAGTACGCATCTTCATACATGTTCGGCTCCAAAGCCAAGTTCGGAGGCAGGACTGGAGGGGTGTAAGACTTCGAGGTGGACGGAGCTTCTGTCGGAGCTGAAGGGCCCGGTCCGAGTGCTTGAGGTGAGCCGGAAGAGTTGGTGGTCGGGTCCGGAGTGGCAGACGATGACGTCGAAGGATGGCCTTTGAGGCGCACCTTCAAGGGTTCCATGTTGGCAACAGGATGGAACGTAGACTGAAATGAGAACGCTGGAATTCTGTAGGCGGGCGAGTGCCGTACCCAGGAGGTGAGGTAAAGGTGAGGTGGTGTGTCTTGAGGTTGGTGCGGAAGAACGGTAGTATGAGGATGTTTTATAGAGGTTGGTAGGCGTAGAATGGGATGAGCACGGTGAACATCTGACTCTGAAATTTAGAGAGCGAGCGAGGTGGGAAAGAGCAGGTGCCTACGTGACTTCTTCATCCGGCTTCAATCACATGATAAGCCCACCCGGTCATTTGCTTGACTGCTCCGTACCTTCTCGTTTATCGTGGCAGCTATCTGATTAGGCTTACCGTGTCTTTCTCTGGGCGGCCATATCATCGCCGCCGTTGCTGCTGCTCCTTCACTCTTCATCCAACTTCTGAACATCGACCCGTCTGCGCATAACACAAACCATCTGCTGCTGAGCTGTGTCGCTTCTCTCATCGCTGACACTCCGTAAACTCATCGCCGGCAAGCTCTTTCCCACACCGTACCAGCGAAGATCCCCCAACAACTACATTGTAAGTGAAGCGTGGCATGTTTCTCGATCCTCACCCCAGTCTCCGATTCTTATTCAAAAGTAATTTTTAGGTTGACACTTCACTCAGCGTCCTCGCAAAGGTCCTGATATCGACGCTTCTCCTCTCTGTGGGGAATGAGCTAAGTATGGCCTTCCTATTCTACAATAGCATCTTAGCAAGTGTCAATTGTTTTAAGAAAGTTGGCACCTGCTTAAGCACCATTCCTTAGGAGTCAGAACTATCTACTAACACTCGGACTTTTTTTTTTTTTCAGTTCGGATCCACCGGTCCAAATATCCCTCAAGATGGACTTTTCCTTATCTACGTTCGATGGCCTAGAGTGGGATGACGTCAAACTGAATCCTACAGATAATGATACGCATCAGTACTATCTCGGGGCATCGAATTCCAGCACAGCTATCGGGAACACCGCAGGAAATTCTGCAGCCATAACTTCTATGAGATCAGCAGAACAGACTCAGGACAAGAATCAACAGTCAACGATGGCCACGCAAGTCTCGACCAGCCACAGAAACCCCTCTCGTGAGGTCTTACGCCTAAAGATCCCCAGCAAGTATCTTTCTACTCTCCCTAGCGTTTCCACCCCGCAACCTGGCGCAGCTGGTAGAAGGGAGCAGCCAGAAACAACAAACAAGAGTCTTACATTCAAGCCCAACCCTGAGAAAACCTCCTCATTGAAGCTTGAGTTTGGACCTCCCGCAGATGGCAGAAGGAGTGTTCCAGTAACGTCCCTATCCGAAGTCACAACCAACAAAGCTGCAGCGATGCAGAGTTCGAACGGCCAAAGCCTGCAGATTCCGCCACAAGATAACCCTAGGCTCAGCGGAGGCCTGGTCAACGCCATAAAGACCTTTCGAACAACTGTAAGATTAAGGCATCCAATCCAACTTTTGAGCGCTTACTTAAATTTGATAGGCAGGCAAAGCCTTAAAAAGGCATCAAGAAGGCGATAAGGAATCCGAGAAGGAGCTTTCCGAGAACCACAAGAAAATCAGTGGATTGCAGGCCGAACTTTCCGAGTGCAACAAGAAAATCATTGGGTTGCAAGCCGAGCTTGAAGAGGAACGTCGTAAAAATGCTGATCACAGGAAGACAGTGCTCCAGCTGCAAGGCCAGGCACTGGCTGATAAGGATACGCATGGCGAACGGGAAAGAAAGCTTATGAAAGAATGCGAAGAAAAAGATGCGATACTGGATCAGACGAAAAGCCGACTGAGGGAGGTTGAACAAAAGTTGAAGGAGAGTGAAAAAGAGATAAAGGAGGGGATGGAGCTTATGGAGGAAGCGACAAAGCATTGGGAGGATGGTATGGAGACTTTGAGCTCTAAGCGGCGGAGGACTCAATAATGAGCTTGGTCAGCAGTAGTTGGGATTTTGAAGGAGAAATCGGCAAACTACATTTGGCAGGAAGGCGGTCTGCAATGCCTTAATCATGACACCAAGGCAAGAGGGCGCGTCAGGACGCGAATTTTTTTTTTTTTTGGAGCACGATCACCACATATTGACGCGCTCACCTTGGGCAGGTTTTCTGACAGCGCGTACTCCATCAGCGTTGGAGGGGCTAAAAATCTTGAGTTTCAGAGAAAAGTCGATAATTTTGAGGCTCACTTAAAGCAATAGACAGACCAATTGAACATTTCAAAGCCGATCTGTCTTCGTAGGACGGTGTGACTTGCAGGAGATTGACTAAATAACAGGCTTGAAGCACCCCGCAATTCTACTGATCCCAGTAATCGCAAATCCGGCCCAAGTTGACTTTAATCACCTACGGCAAAGTAATGCGGGATGTGAGCAACGGAAATGTAGTTTCACATCAAAATTACAAACCGGGGATAATAGAAAAAAGAGACGAGTCTTGTCACCCCGGCTCATATGGTGTCATACTTTTTGGCCCCCAATATTTACCGGCAGACTCAGCCTTGCCCCACATACAAGCAAAGCCAATCTCGTGCTCTCTCTCTACGGTCCCACCGCTCTTTCAAACCCTCGAAGTCATCCCTCACCATTCGTCTCCAAGCTTTAGCATTGTTTGTACCTAGTCCTTCATAGGATCATGTCCGGCTCTGCCACGAAAACCATACAGGCGCGCGTCGCAGATATCAGATACTGCTCCGATAAAGGATGTCCAGCTCAGCCATCACCGCATCTTGCCGTGAATTTGCGGGAGGTGTCACTTCAACGCGACAAAGCCACGGCAATCTCATACGTCTGGGGAGAATTCAACCGTGAACAGACGCCAATCGGGCACATCGCCGGTAGCGCCCATAGCACCATTTCCATGAAGCTTGGTAAAGAGTGGGTGATCAGTGATGTCATAGACCGCCTAGCCGAGCTCGCAGGGAAGAAGCCCATCTGGATCGACCAACTTTGCATCCCGCAGAATCACGAAGAGATAACCAAAACCCTGGCGAATATCCCTTCCATCTATCGCACATTCGACGTCGTCGTCTTGATGCCAGGTCATCCCTGCAGGTGCCTTGGGAGGCTGATGCAAGAGATCAGCAGAATTGACCGGACTCCATCCAACCCGGCCGCTTCAAAAGCTTTTCAACAATGCCGAATGGAATTCGAGCCTTGTCTGAACATGATCTCGACCTGCTCCTGGATCAAAAGGGTGTGGCCGCGGCAAGAGCTGAACTACTCGGAAAAGGTTCGTTGTGTTTGGGCTGCGAAGGAAGAATCGCCTTGCGTAAGTTTACGCGCCGACGAGAAGGATACTACCAACCTCACTCCATTCCTCGCACGGATGTATGAGCGGCTCGTAAGAGAAAACTATCCCCATGACGGCGCAATGCGATCACTCAGTGCTTATTCCGAGGAACTTGAAGTTGAACAACTGGCCGAATTGAAGCTTTACGTTGAAGGTCCCGGCGAACAAAAGGTAGCAGAAGCAGACGCTGTCTACCGCTTCTTCTCCGGAGAGGTCCTTGAAAACGGCATCACCAGACTCGACGATATGCCTCATCTGTCCAAATTTGCGCATAATTTGATCATGTTGGCATCGAGGCACGGAGGACCACGCCGCAAGGCTACTAAGCCACAGGATTATGTCATTTCAATTTGGGTGGATTGCCCGGGATACACGATTCCCCGAAACTACAAGGCAATGGATTGCCCAAGCCTACTCCAAGACGCCCTGAGCCAAATGAACGACACGAGCGGAAGGTTCCTACTGAGCACAGCTCCACTGGGACTGTTTGAGTCCGAACAGAGCGGGTCAGCACTCTGGCAACCATCGCGCTATCTTCCGTCAAGTCATGTAGATGACTTGTCTGACATTTACAACGTTCTGGTGAACACTCGCCTGGGGAACCTTATACCTTCTTCTCAGAAGGTCCCCATAGTCGTAGACGATACGCAAACACTCCCTCTCTCCGCTGGAGCGAAGACCTTCGAGGCGCTCTGGCAATCGTTCCCCCAGCAATCACCGTCGTCGTCGTTCATGGAGTACTTCAACGCCATCTCCAAAAACTGGGCCGAAGTGACAGTGGGTGGTATCATGGATTCGATAAACGAGCTGCTGTCGCCCTACTCCGAGGCCGAAAGAGATAGCAACGGAAAGCTTCATTTCGTCGTTCCGCCCGCCGACGTTGTGAGGATGTTTGTTCTCTTGCAGCTCTTCAGGCGGTTCCCCGGGGTCAAAGCCTCAGAGTTCCCTCAAGCAGCGCACCAGCCTTACGACTTCAACAACTTGCATGTTGGCGCTTATGAGCTGGTGAGCACTGCACTCTATCTCGACCTGGATATGTGCTTCGACGAAGGCATGCAGCTTATGTTCTCCGGAACCGAGGGCCACGCCAAGAGTGTGCCCAGAGTCGGGTTGTGCCGACGAAGTGTTGATATCGAACGAATGTCGGAGAAAGCGATGAATCCAAATGAAAAGCAGGTGTTGACTGTTCGGATGGATTCAGACGTCACAGAGTCATTGCTTTTTGAGGCTGAGATGGTAGGCAAGGTGGATGGTTCGCCTGAATACCGTGTGTTTGGCGTCTGGGTTCCAATAGAGCCTGGCGATGAGGGTGATTTTGGCGCTGCTGCTTGGTGTCCCGAAGGCCGAGACATGAACGCCTATCTTGTTTAGCACTAGTAGCATCAGACCGTGAATGCCTGTTGACTAGCTGTCAACTGGTTGTCATGTTAATGCTTCTTGTTCATTCTGTCAATCACGTACGACCATAGGTTGTAGAATGCAGGGCTTCCCGTCCGCTCAGCCGTACTTAAGCTACAAACCGGCCGATTAGTACTCAAGTGGGTGACCATTGGGGAATCCCGGCTGTTGTACGTTTTGTAATTTTTTTACCTGTGTGGGTCTGTGCTGATATTTTAGAAATTTCGTCTACCCTTAACTACGCGACTGCCGAAGCAGCCAACGAATCATTGAGTAAACCATTCACCCAGCGTGAATTCACCGCATCCTCATTGTTATGCATATCTCTGCACCCCACGCTTTCGCCTACTCTCCCACTTTCTTTAATTTCTTTTTTTCCTCCCGTAGTCTCTTTCCTCTTGCTTTCTTTGGAGGCACGTTGGCAGACAGGGATCAAGAATAAATAAGAATATAGTGTTCCTCTAAAAAAAAAACTAATCGATAGAGAGGAGGCTTTCGCAAGCTCTCGTTCGCTAAGGTTTTGCCTGCAACGCTTGGCCATTGGCGGGCCTCTGGCTGGGCGCTGTAGGCTTGTCTCCTCCGTCTCCGATACCCTATCACTGCATCTATATGGCTCTGGCGTATAAAACATAGATACTCACACCATAATAAACCGAAATTATCTGAAGCAAGTCTTATACCTATAAAGAGTGTATGAGTGAGCCTAATTAGAAATCCCAGACGCCTAAACCCTTTGTTGCCAGCTAAGGGGGAAAAAAAACGGCTATTGGATGCTGCTATCAATTTTTGATCTCATCTTCTCTTTTTTGCTCCCAATTGTCCCAGACAATCTTCCTACCGAGCCCATTGGATTTCCTGTACCACGGCATATTCATTGGTGGAGGGGATGCTTGCGGGATCGCAAGATTTCACTGCTTCCCCACCTATGGAGGATTGAGATGAATCCCGAGGTTCTGGGGACTCATCGCTGTTGTCGTCACTCACGCTATCAAGCGAAGAGCTCCCGTCAGTGACTGAGACGTCTGAGTTGAGCCTTGAACTCAGACCATCCGCGACGGATCCTGGGTGGCTTCTACCATTTCTGGGCGGCAGAAGACCAGCGGGTTCTTGAGGATTTCCCGTCTCTCTCGGTTGGCTGAATTTGCGGGGATAATCGTCCCATTGCCCCTCAACCAGCTGGAACTTGCTGGTGTTGCGAAAGAATGACAGGAGCTTCTCGCTGTTGACCTGCTGCACGGTGCATAGGTACGCGATCGACTTTTCCGAGAGCATAATCTGATCGTGAGTGGATTGCTCCAAAACTTCGCGTAGGACGGCGAGTTCGGCGTCAGCGGAAAGCGCATTGACCAGGAAATCTTCCGTGACCAGTTGCCTTCGCCCCTTCAGGATCTCGCGCAAGATGTCCAGCTGCTCTCGGAGAGGTCTTTTGTCGATGGCATGAAGAATGGGGAGCAGGTGTTCCGTCTTCACCACGAAATGTGGCTCCAATGAGATTCGTTTGAATACGTCCAGGGTAGGGAACAATGGTGGTTTCTGGTTTTGCAAGGCCCACTGAATCGAGCCATACTCCAGGAGCCGGTCCATAGTAAGACCAGGTTGTTTCGCGAGTAATACGGACATCTTGGCTGCATCGTTAAAGGCAGACTGCCAGACCAGACCGGTGATGGGAAGGTCAGGTCTCTTCGTCAACAACAATTGAAGCGCCTCTGCATTAGCTTTCTCCAGTGTCCGGCTGGATAGGGGAAGTGATTCTTCGCGCAAGAGAAGAAGCTCCGTGACTTTGCTGCTCTGTGAGGCGGCTTGGAGTAGCACCTCTTCTGTAACTTGCATCGTTCGGCCGGATTCCAGAAGTAGTGTCATTATTTCCGGGTTCCCCGCGGCTTTGCACAGCACCCCCTCCGTGATCAAGGCCTTTTGATCGTGCTTGAGAAGCACGGCTGTGCTTAAGCGACTGACAGCAGCCGCACGGAAGATGCTTTCCGTGGCGGTAAAGGCTGTCTTCTTTTCGAGAAAGTATTCCAATGAGCGGTGGTTTTTGGCTGCAGAAACCAGGACGGCATCGGAGACCAGGTGATCTGGGAGGCTCCTATCTTCCAACAGTAGCTGCACATGGTCCAGCACAGGTGCCGCTGCCTGCAGTATGGCCTCAGTGATCATAGGTCGGGGGTAGCGATTAAGGAGGACACGTAGCGCGTCCTCGTTCTTCAAAGCCACTTTCCACACAGGTTCGGTGATTGCGGATTCGGGACAGATGGTCACCAGGAGACGCAGGGCATCCACATCACTCGCGGCGATGGCGATAAAGGTCTCCGAGAGGTTGTGGTGCGAGAGTTTTCCGAGAAGCAGTTGCAGGGATTCGATGTCGGTCAGAGCATACACGAGGAGGTCACCGGTGTTAGAGAGGTCAGGTACGCAGTCAAGGAGTGACTGCATCACCCTTGGGTGCGCGACCAGTGCCCCAACGCTGCTTACCAATGCTTGCGGGTCTGGCGGTGGGTGGCGGCCGTTGCGATAGAGGTTGATGATCTGCTGCTTGCCGTTTTTGACTGCAGTCGCCCATGCCCCGGTGGTAACAGTGGCGCCGCACTCAAGCAACGCTTCGGTCACTTCGACCGCATAAAGTGGATTTTTGGCGGCCGCTGCCAGCCAGTCAACGATGCAGCGCCTGTCCTGGTGTTCATTTTCAAACAACAAGCGTGCAATTTTGCCGTCTCCGAAGCGCACCATCCAGCCGATCGATTCGCACGCAAGACGAACAGTCGCCTTGTTTTCAGTCTCCACAAGCCTTCGCAGTACTGACATAGCGGGTGGCTCGATTTCTTTCCCGTCACCACCAGTGACGTATAACATCAACCCCGGCGTCTGAGTCAGTGCGGTGACCGTGTCCACTTCAAGCCGTTGGAGTGTTTCAGCTTCAACGCAAATTGCACCAGGTGTGACTCTTCCTAAAATGGCGGACAAGGCTTCATCGAGCAGGGCAGGTTGGCTTTGACTGCCTGCCACCAGCAAATCCTTGCATATCGACACAAGTTCAGCCTTGGATTGCTCTGCGATCAGTGCCTCGAACATCTCAAAGCCGCAGATAGCGTTCTTGATGGACGCATGAACCATGCGCCTTGTGACACGCTTCAGGGGCTCGCAACGGCCCAGTATCTCTGCAACCATGCGGCGGCCGTGCCGCGGATTGGCGCATGCAGAAATCCATACCGACTCGGGCAGCGGTCTGTCCGCGGTGTCGTTAAGAAGCTCCAGCACTGCATCGCCGCATCCTGTGTTTGACGCAGCTGCGTTCAGGGCAGCGGGTCCGATTGCGGAGGGTCCATAGCAGTCCAGAAGGAGCTTCACCACAGCATCGCCAGATCGCCAGTTGGCAGCGCCAGCTTCCATGACAGCGGCAGCGTCATCAGGAAGTAGCACGGAAGCGGTACCCATGGCTTTCAGTAGTAAATCCATCAGCTCTGGCCCGTGTGCTGTGTTGGAAGCGGCGGCAGACAGCACGGAAACAGGGAACCCCATAGTCGGCTCAGTACGCGGCAGCAGCCACGCGGTGATGGTCGGCCCACTGCGCTCATTTGCAACGGCGGCTTCAATCAAGCGATGGCTCGCTATGGACGGAGCTGCGTTTGGAAGCAATAAGCGCAGAAGTTCCTCGGCGTGCTGCGGGTTCCGTGCGGCTGCTACCAACGCTCCATCCGGAACCACGTCGAGAGAGATGCGCTGCCAGACCATTTGGCATATGCTAAGCGCTGATGGGCCACTGTTTCTAGCAGCGGCTTCGATTAGGTCGACCTCTGAGAGCTGTGAGGGATAGCGACTCAAGAGTAAATCTGCCATTTCGTAGCCGCTCACACCGTTGCGCACGGCGGCCACCGCCTTGGACACGATGCCATCGCCAGGACCATTGCTGCTTTGTCCGCGCTGTGAAGCTGTGAGGAGAATGTCAAAGCATAAGTAGTCAATCCACGTGCTGTCTAACGCAGTCTCCATCACATTCGGAGTCACGCGGATGCTCAGGTCGTGCCGGAGGAGAAGCTGTAGTACGGCACCACCGCACTGGGGATTTTTCGCGGCGAGTAACAGTAGGTCGGGCGTAACCTCCAAGTTCAAGTTCTCGCGGAGCACCCCGGCCGTGACGTCGAAACCGAATTTTTCGTTCTGTACAGCAGCAGCCAGGATGTCTTGGCTGGCGGCTATGCCATTGTTGAAAAATATCCGAACCATGTCCAGACTGCTGAACTGAGCGACTTTAGCGGCGATGCTTTGGCACAAAAGCTCCTTATTGTACCGCAGTAGAAACCGTAGCATCGAGCACCCATCGTGCCACGTCCATTCGCGCTCCACGCGCGCCGTCACTTCGTTGTAGACCGTGCCGTCACGCCGCTTCCACAACAATGTTGTTCTGTATGGAGCCTCCTCTACTCTCGGACCGCTTCGAAAAACAGGCCCGCCGCTTTTGTTGAACAGAAAGGGTGGCTCGAGGAGCGCAGGGAAGCTCTTCTCGGGAATTGGCACTGCTGATGGGATAGCCTCTTCTCTACCCCTATCAAGGGGCACCACCATGAGAATGCTGCCTGCCGTGTAGTTTAGGGCTGCTGATCGTAGCACAATCTCGTCTGCTCTTGCGCTGTTGCTGTGCTCAAGGAGCTCTTTCAGCACTTCGGGATCAACACATCCACTCCCAGCGACAGCCTTGAGAACGCTTGTGGTCACCACGTTTGCTTCTGTCTTGGGTAGAAGAAGCCGCACCAACTGTAGAGAACACCCTAAGTTCGTTGCTGCTGCTTTCAGAACATTAGGGGTAATCTCGGCGGCCGCGCCGGGCCTCTTCAGCAATATCCTGGTCAACTGTACGCCGGAGACGGGGTTTTGCGCCGCGGCGCAAAGCACGCTACTGGTGACTTCCAAATTCATCTGCCTCTTTCTGAAGATTTGCAAAATCTTGGGCGCGCAACTCCAGTTTGCCAATGTTTCTCTCAAGATGCGTTTTGGGACGCATTTTGAGCTGGCGAAATGCTCGCCCATCTTCTCCAGGAGCAGTTCGACCATGGCGGGCCCGTGGTGCCAATTGCTCGCAGCAGCTTCCAGAAGCCTTTCAGAGGGGTTAAGATGGAAGGGCTCTTCTAGCAATTTGGCCAATGTTCCCTTGTCCTTGTGGCGGGCTATCTCCATGGCCTCTTCTTCTGCGGGCATGAGTACGAGCCCGCCTGTCTCACACTTCCTAAAGAGCTCAACAAGCGGGGCTGCCATCTCCCAGTTCCGAAGAGCCGTTGTAAGCACTCTGCGTGTCAATCGCTGCGAGATGAAAGTGCAATCGAATTCTTTTTTGAGCTCCGAGACCATTTCCGAGGCGCACATGGGGTTGCTGGCGACGACTTCGAGAACCTCGGCCGTAATGATAGACATTCCGTACTTGCGAACAAGCTGCATAAGCGCTTTCGTCCCATTTCGGGTGTCTCTCGCCACCGCAACAATGGCAGCATGCTCGATGAAGTTCCCGCTTTTCTCGTTGGAGACGGTTTTATCGAGCAACGCGGAGAGGAGCCGTAGCGGGGAGGACCGACTCGAAAGTACCGCTTCAATGGCGTCTTTTTTCAGTTCCAGCCTTGTATCTGAGTTTTCGAGCATTCCTTTGGCCTGTTTCACGTTCAAGACGCTGATAGCGACGAGCATGTCCTCCGAACCCAGCGGATCCTTGATTATCTGCCGCATCAGCGCTTGGGCATGCTCTTGCTGTGCCATCTCGTTCACGAGGCCGGGGATATCCGTGCTCTTGAGGCCGGTCGTATCCCTGAACCAGGAGTGGACTGCCGGGGCGCACCGCTGGTTACTGATCAAAGCAAAAGCAATTCGGTGAAGCTCCCTCGGCTTGAAAGATTCCAGCCGCAGGTTCTTTGCGTCGACCAAGTGAAGGATGATCCCGAAACCGAAGCTTCGAATCACCTCGACAAATGCTTCCAGGGGGAACTCGGTGCTTGGGTTGTCGATGAGCGCCCGCATTGCCTGTTCGCCAAGCAAGTGGTTTGCCGCACACCTTCTGACGAGCCTTGCGGATATGGGCTGATTGGCTTTTCCTGCTCGTTCTATCAGGATACCGAGGATCTGAGGGGCCCAACGGCTGTTTCCCATAGCTTCGTCCCAGGTGAGGTCCGATATCTTGATCTCAGATCTACTCAAGAGCATAGTGACGAGGTCCTTGCCAAACATTTCGTTCGATGCAGCCATGCTGAGAACTTCCGAAGTCGGTTCCGCCCCTTCGCCTGCCAAGCCCAGAAGCATCTCCATCATCTCAAGGCCGTCCACCACATTCGTCGCGGCTGCTGCGATCAGCTCCAGACTGGGTGAAATTGAAATGCCCTTCATGACAAGTGCCTCGAGTACTACATCATGATCTGATCGCAAGACGAGGTTCTGGAGCAAATGCCGATCGACTTTTTCCAGCTTTACTGCGAGATGCATCAAAAGCCATTCTGCCTTCAATATGCCGTCGCGCCTGCTGAGACTTGCTTTCAGAAGCTCCAATCCATCATCAATGGATTGCGCTTCCAGAAGCAGGCTCATGATCTCGGGTGACGCTCGCGGATTCTTCGCAGCTGCCTTCAGAATGTTCAGCGTCACTTGAGCGCCGCGTGTCATGAACAGTTCTGCCATTTCCTTATCGTCGGCTCTCGCTGCGGCGATTTGGAAAGGAAGTCCGTTTTTGCCGCCCCGCACATCTATGTCCGCTCCTTGACCCAGAAGAAATCGGATGGTTTCAGTTCTGCGTTCAAAGACGGCAAGTTGAAGCGGGGTATCTCCATGTCTGTCAGTGGCTTCCATGTCAGCACCATGCTCCAGAAGCATCTCCGCAGCTGACAGATCCCCAGACCTCACAGCCAAATGGAGAATCCTCTTTTTGTTTTTCAAAAAGATTTTCTCTTCCTCTTTCGTGCGGTCGGATTGAGGCATCAAAAATGATGCATTTGAGGTGAGGAAGTGCCTGATGACTCCAGTGTAGCCTTTCCTCACGGCCCACTGAAAGGCCGTGAGGCCTTCGACTTGCTTGTCAAGGTAATCTGCCTGGTGTTTCACCAGCAACAGTGCAACATCGGTGTGGCGTTTCATAGTAGCAACATCGATGGGATGATGTTTCATAGAAGCAACGCCGGTGTGCTCTTTCACAGGAGCGACCTCGATGTGGCGCTTCATGAGAGTAAGGTGCAAAGCAGGATAGTGACGTTTGTCTTCGGCATTGGCGCTAATTCCGAGCGAAAGCAGTTTCTCCACCACTTCAGCATGACCATACGACGCGGCGGTGCATAGACAAAGCTCCAGCTGTCGCCGGTGTTGACTATCGAGTTTGGGCGTGCTTTGGCGCGTCATTTCGAAGAGACGTAGTTGGCCAGTCTCAGCTGCGGCCTGTAATGCTTCAAAGTAGCCTTCCACATGCTTTTTTTCGGTCTCGGAATCGGCGTCAAGGAGAATGCGAAGGGTCTCTTCGTGGTCGCTGGCACTGGTGGACTGTCCGACGATAGCTTTGCGTAGTGCGCGACTGCGGAGCTCGGGGGCGTTTTCTAAGCCGAGGAAGCTCATGTGTTGAACAAGTCGTGCGACCACGGCAGGGAAGCCACCGAACGCGGCAAAGTCCAGAGGATTGTAGCCAAGCGAAGTTGGGTGTTGAAACCACTTCCCATCCTTGTCTGCGCTGGCCAGCAAATCGACCGCTTCGAGATCCCCCTTCCGTGCGGCGACATGGAGTGGAGTCCACAGACCTTTGTCAACAACGAAGGGCTGCACAACCTCGTCCAGGAGCAGCTTCAAGATGGTGGCACCACGCTCTGCAGCAAGGTTCAGCAAAGTGCCCGTCTCGGCATCCGCTTTCCATTGTGCCCAAGCTTCTCTGATCTTCTGTTTCAGAAAGGCTCTGATGTCGCGCGTGCCTTCTTTGGACGCCCTGGCTGCTTTGATCTTGGCCTTCAGCAGCAGTATTGTATCGTGCCTGCCTCCCTCGACTGATTTCCGCAAAGAGATGAAGAGCGACCTTGTGTCCAGGTCATCCGCCTCAAGTAAAGCCTGTAGGCAAGAAGTGTGGCCCCAGAACGCAAGAGATCCCAGAATCTGCGATACAGGCGGAAGCTCTGGATGATTTTGGTGAGGGAGGATGGACAAGGTGTGTTCTTCGGCCGGGAAATCGGCAACGGGTGGTGGTGGTGGTGGTGGTGGTGGTGTGACGTCATCCCCTGTAGAATTCCAGGCCTGGAATTCCACATGTGCCATCATCTCTTGCTTCCTCTCGCTGTACCGCATCACCAAGCTGGCCTTCAGGCTCGACCGGATGCTGGAGGCCAACTCCACAATACCCTCGTTGACCGACATGACGATAGACACCAGTATCCCGCAAAGACGACCGGTGTCCGCCTCAATGACCCATGCTCCGGAATCTCCCTTCTCTGTGAGTAGTCAGTACGAGGCTCCTATGAGCAAGATGTGTCGAGCTTTCACATACCGAAGTTTCTTTCCAGCAGCTGGATAGCTCCCTTCTTCGGATCAAAAACAGCCCCCAAGCTCTCTGCCCTCAGCACCCCGCGGCCCGTTATGACGTACAAGGGATGGCCAACTCGGCCGAGGGGGTCACCTTCAACGCTTTGCTCGGTATCTCTATCGTCCAACACGTCCGAGAATCCTGTTACAAAATGCTGGCCGGGCCCGCAAGTTCCGAACTTGGGAACCTCAACTGCGTTGATAAGCTTTGTGCCTTCTGACTTGGGCGCAACGTCGATCCAACCCAATTCTCGGTGGCGAAGAGCCGTGACCCTGGCCAGGGCCCAGTCGCAATCCTGGATGGATTTCAAAGTTGGTGAAATCTTCAGCTCGCTTACCGATGCAGCAAAGCGCGGTTCCTGCGGCTTGCCCTTCCAGAAGCCGCCTGAGGTTTGTAAGTCGTGAACTTGCGGATTGGCGAAGTCCTCAGTCTGTGACTTGCTGGCCTGCTGTGTGTCCATTCCGTATCTCTCGAACCATTCGTTGTCCCACGCCTCATCACCAACGTCGCTGTCAGACTCCGAATCCCAGTCATAGCCGCGTTTGTCAGAAAAGACTTCATCGCGATCGGAATCCTGGTAGGAGGAATCTTCTGGATCTTCTGGGTCTTCTGGGTCTTCTGGGTCTTCTGGGTCTTCTGGGTCTTCTGTTTCGTTCGGGAGGACATTGTGAGCCGCAATCAAGATGTAGTAGAGGCCGTCGATCAGGAAGACGCCTCCTGCCGTTCCCCTCCGACCATACAGTTCGTATTGCGCCCCGCATACACTGAGAGGATAGTCGACGTCGCCGACCTGTTGATGTTCACCGACTGTGTTGGCCTCCGGAGGGCCCGACCCTGGATCCAAACGCTCGCACTTCAACTCGATGTGCATGTCCTGCTGAGAATAAGTATCACGATCGCGAATACGTTCTTGTCCTAATGAAAGGACGGGGGTGAACTCACAATGAGGCCTTGCCGGTAATCATCCGGGTCCAATGTGTTGTGGAGCAGGGCTTTCGCATCATTGAAACTTTTCTTGTTGAGTTCCAGTGTGACATGGAATTCGTAGCTCCGGATACGCACTTTGCCAGACTTCTTCCGCCCTATGGCAAACAGTCTTTGTAGTTTGGGCTCGCAGCCCCCCAATATTGGACTGTGCTCTAGACGTCTTGTGACTTCATCCCTGAGGCGGCGCTCAACCTGGATCTCATTGTGTCCCAGAAGACCCCATTTGTGGCTTCCCATTAAGGCCTTTACCATTAGACGCCTGCTGTTGATTGCTGAAGATGAAGCAGATGGGATTGCGACAGGTCCAATATCGTGCGGAGGTGTGGGATCTCGAGGAAGAGCCTGGTTTTCAGGGATGGCAACCACAGTCATAGCACCCGTTTCGTTCAGCGCCTCTCGGCTAGGTGTTTCGTTGGATTCAGGCGGCTCAGATAACGTTGGTGCCACCACGGTCGCTACCTCCTCATCTGCGGGTGACCCAGTTTCTACGGTGGGGGGTTCGCTGGTCGTGAGGAGACCATCAGTTGCAGGTGGCAGCTCGACGCGCTCGTTGGCTTCAGGGAGTCGAGTCTCGTGGTCGGCTCCACTGTCATTGGCGTCTGTGTCTAATCCCACGGCTCCGCAGGCTTCTTGGTGGGCATCCTCGGCAGATTGCGAAGTGTGATGTTTTGCCACATCCTTGCTCGAGTCCGGAGATTCAGATCGTGGGTGTTCAGCCGAGTTCTCGGCTGACGTTGGTAGCGTATCTTGATCTTTGTGACTGGCAGAAGAGCCATCAGTCTCGTTGGAGCTCGATACGGACGCTGTGTTGCCGGCTTGGGCAGGTGAACGTTGTACGTCATGATCGGGGGGCCTGCGCAACTGGCCTGGAAAGAGTGGTTGATCTCCTTCCGTACGCCGAGTCCAGTCCTGTCCATCGGCTTGCGTTTGACCCTTTCCAAAGGCTAGGTTTCCGCCGATGAGACCCTTCCGACTCTCCTCTCCGCTGTGGTTGGCATCCTGCCGATCAGCCTGCCTTTTGCTCTGTCCAAGGGCCAGGGCTTCGCTGAATAGGTCTTTCGAACTTCCTTCTCCCCCAGTGTCAATGTGACTCTCATCTTCGTTTCGGCTGGCAGTTGCTCTGGCGTTGCGCGGCGGGGAGGGCTCTCTAAAGTTTCCACCCTCTCGGTGTGCAGCGGCTTCAGCCTTTAGCGTTGCCAGAACATCGGTTCCTTCTTCCATGTTGCTTGAGGACAAGAAAACTGATGGGGTGGAGAAAGTGGGTGGGTTGGTTGCTGCTGCTGCTGGTCTGAAGGGAGAATCACTGCGTTGCATGGATCCATGAGGCGCGAGAACTCAGTGAGGAGGCTTATCAACTCGCATCGGGTCCCTAGCCTACCAAATCACTGTTTTCGTCTCTGACGTGTTCCGGTGTCATGCACGCCGTAAGCAGCTGTGGCTTTTGAAGCGCCTCTGAATACACCAATACATTTCCAAGTTCTAGGGCGCCTATCTCCGGCTTACGAGGGGCAGCAGCCGACAGGCATTCTTGTGGAATTATCCACTGAGCCACATTCATCGCGTGTTACGCTTCCGAGTCTGCCTTGCCATTATATCTCTGGTCGATCGCGAGGCAGTGTCGTTCACACGTTTTGTGTGTCAGCTCAGAGACACTGTGACAGTTACCCGCCGTCACGATTCCTTCTCATGTTACTCCCTTTCCGCTCTAACCTCGATCACATTATCTAATTAAATATACGGAGGCGAATAGCAGGTAGAAAGATGGCTTCCCAATCTACCAGCAGCCAAGAGATGGACCCTATGACAGTGAACAAGTTATGGCGTTGCGAACGAGAAGGCTGCGCGGAAGGGAGTCACACTGAGGCCTTTTCCCGGTAGGCAAGGAGTGGCAAGCAGATATAAGTTCTCGTTGCTGACTTAGCTATGAAGTGTCTACCAGGAGTCCAAATCGCGGATCGGCTTGCCGGAGAACCTGAGTGACAGCAAGATTTGCAGCATCGTTGAGCACCTGTACGAGAAAAGGGACTGTACCCTCAAACAGATCATCACGACAATTACAGACAGCGGCATCCTTGGTGCTGGCACGTGTTCAGACGTGGAAACGGAGCAAAAGAAAATACTACGGGGATGCGTTTTGCTCTGGCTCCGGGTCAATCTGACAAAGCACTATGACGCTGACCAGTGTGCAACAAAAGGCCCGTTCTGGGAAAACGATCAATCTCTGAGGGAAGCAATCGCTGTCCAATTCCCTAAGTCTGAACCAGTCCGCCCTGAAGTTGACACACATGTAACGGATCGCTGGGATAGGCTTAACACTGCGCAAAGGTTCACTTCCTGGGGATATTTCAGGATACGTTGGACAAACGACTTGCAGGATCATTTGATTCTGAATGACATGGATGACTTGGAGACACCAGTCATCCACATATTCCATCTCGCATCATACCTAAAATCTTCCCGTGCCACCCAAGACCTCTTTCCAGAGGGGCTGATCAGAGAGACGATATGTTCTCTTGGTCTTCTTATGTGGCGAAACAGAAAGGGTTTGACGGACTGGCTTGAAATGCAAGATAAAAATGGTAAGCGCAAAGCCCTTTTTTATGTTCACTATAAAACAGCTAATATTCGATCAGAAACCAGAGTCTGGGCTGGTCCGCTGGACAAGCTGGTCATCCAGCAGGATTTCGATGAACTGGGGCGCGACCTTTCTCAGTACAAATTTTGGGGAAACCGCCTTAAGCGGATCGACCAAGCCTTCAAACACGCGAGACCCACGAGTATGCGGCAGTGGTGGGTCGATAGGCGCGATGGAACGGCGCGTTCCCCGGTATTGATTGCAGTAGCAGCGCTTGTCCTCAGCTCTCTGCTTAGCCTGACGCAGGTCATTATTCAGCTAGTAAAATGAAGGGATATCCGCGGAAACACAGCCGCTTACAGACAAAAAGTTGCTTTTGCCGGCAAGTCTCAAAGCTGGTGCATTTGAGAGAGCCCAAGGCACAGTAATCAACGCCGCGTGATTAAGACGTTGGCTGCAGCGGGGCTGAAAGTTGCCTGATGCTGCTCACCCGCTGCCTGCAAGGCGCACTCTGCCCGCAACGGCTCTACGTGTCCAGTGCAGGGTTGGAGACACGACGCGTATGGCGCACAGTGGCTGGAACCGCCCATTACCCCGCCGTGGTGATCCGAGGTCACGCTGTCGTTGCGCTCCGCGAGGCTGAGTCTTTGCTTCATGCCGAATCCGGTGCATCCACACGACGGTGCCTCTTGGGGTCTCTTGCATACTGATAGCCCCCACGCTCCCTCCCGACGGGCTCTGCATCCGCCTGGCTAACGATGCAGAGTGGCTGCTCCGTTTTAACGACATCAGCCACCTCTTGCATCCAGTGACCAATAGACGATACCATCCTTCAATCAAGCGTCTCGGGTGAGTTCTGTCGATCTGGTTCGTCGGATGCGCATTGTTACACAAGAAAACAAGGCTTTGCACAGGCCATCGGGTAGGTCTGGGCCGCATCGTGCTGCTGTATACTGTGAAGGTTCAACTGCCTCGAGAAAGCTGCAATGATGTAGCTTGATATTCCATTGATGACTCTCTGTTTGTGCAATGGAAGCCATGCTTAATAGCTTTCACTGATAACAAAACTCCTCCATTCAACAACATTCCGGGCCCTGTGCTCAATATCTGATTCCGACAACATCAGCATTTCATCCCAGTACTCCAGAAGACCCTAAGCTTTTAACCCTTGTTAATGTAATCACCTTGAGTAGATCCAACCCATTCCAATCACCGCCAGCAATCTGCTTATTAATCTTCTTCCCGCGATACGCGGCGTCAGCTCCGGCGTACATCTCGATCCCTTCTCCAGCACAGCCTAAAGCTCCCACTACATCATAACACAACCTGCCACGTGCATGTACCGAATTTGCCTGTGGACAGCCGGGTGACTGCTTGTAGACTGGGGATCATAAGTGCAATTAACAGCTGTTCCTTTCACGTACGACCATAGGTCGCAGAATGCAGGGCTTCCCGTCCGCTCAGCCGTACTTAAGCTGCGAACCGGCCGATTAGTACTCAAGTGGGTGACCATTGGGGAATCCCGGCTGTTGTACGTTTTGCAATTCTTTTTTGCTAGTGTGTAGTAGGTCAGTACTAACGCTTTGCGGGTTAGTGCTCTAAACGAGATTACCAATTACGAGGGTCAATACGAACAAATTGAACTCTGCAGCTATCGGAGATTGTGTAGAAAAATGCGAGTCGAGGAATAATCATTTGTGAGTACACGTGTGTAAAAGCGCTAGCGGCACTTGTTGGGCCATGTGTAACAGCTTCAGTGCTTGAGAGAAATATCGTTTCTATTTCTGATTTTCCCCCACTACGCCCTCCTACTTGGAACTTGTATGCTTGGACGATATCACCGGGTTGGACAACAGCAACGCATGCCAGTTCATTGATCGTATAAGTTAATCACTTAAAAGTGTTTCAGCTCTCGCCACTCAGACTATTTAGTTGTGCACATATCTCTGAAGTATGACATGCTTGCTACTGCCGGATGCAAGGCGAGTGGGCCGCCCCACTAGCTATCCTCAGCGATGCAACAATCACAACACTCCCAACCTATATCGTATGAAGCTCATATGTCATTAGCGTCCCAAGCTACTAGCCAGATTAGATTCAAAGTACTTGGGGGGCTGCAAAAGTACACCACGTTAATCGATCAACCTATCATGGCAGCTAGCTGCCTCAGGCAGTATTAATGCCTTAGGCATTAATGCCAAGATGCTCGCGACTTGCAACCAGCCGGCGCATCGCGTCGCGTTATGACGCGTCATGACGCGCTCAATCACTCAACGAGATAGAGGCATAGAGCGCGCAACCCACGACAAGCTTACCGCCTTGCAAGGAGGTCGTGAAGGTAAGGAACGGTGCTAACGATCTTCTTTTGTAGAGGGCAAAGCGTGTTATTTGATTTCATCTATCTACGTTGTCTACCTAATCGCGACCATAATTCCAATCCTGAATAATCCCCAAAATCCCAATTCGAAACACACCCATTTGCTCACAGGCCTTTACATGCTGCAGAAGCAGACACGCTCGCTGTGAGGCAGCTCGCTTTTGGCTTGTGGCCTCAGCAGGAGAAAATCAACAAAAGGCACGCTGGCGTGTCTTCCTCTGCAGCTGGTCTCCATGAGCCAGAGACAACACCGCTACTGTTCCGTGAACCCCATCCCAATGTCCTATCCCAATGCTCCATCCCAATGTTCTATTCCAGTGTCCTATCCCAATGCCCACTCCACTTGTCCCAACTTATGGGGACTCGGGCAACAGCGGCCTCATCGGCTGCTGATCCATTCTCGGGGCGTGTTGGTTGTTGTGTATGTTGAAACCGAAGAAGAGTCTGGCGGTAGGAGCGAAGACGTTGACTTGCATGTTCTGGAGACGATCGACGTTCTCGGGAGTGTCGGCTCCAAAGACTAGTTTTCGGTTAGCAAGAATAAGGCATTTCAAGAGGCTCAAAAATTAGCTACTCACCGAGGAACTTCTTGAACAGGTTGTAGAGAAAGAGAATGAAAAAAACACAGACGACAGCAACGACAACAACGACAGCAACGACAGCAATAAGGAAGGTGTCGCTAAGAACGCGCGGAGGAACGTGCCAAACTTCCATTGTTGGATGTTTGAGGTGAACGTGATTGTCAAGTTCCCGGTGGTTGTCGGCAGCGATTGAACAGCAGAGGCGGGGAAGCGATTGTGAATTCCACAGAGAACGAGTAGAGCAGAGGCAGTGAATGTGGTGGTTAGAAGGAAAAAGAAGAAGACGCCGCTGGTCCACGAGCGGTTTGTTTATATCCTCCCCAAGAGCGCTAACCAACGCGCAAGGCTCTCGCACGACCCGTCCAGCACTGACCGCAAGAGTAGCTATACTGCCTGAAAACACGGGCAAACATGGCACGTGCAAGTCGCGGAAGCAAGAGAAAGAGCGAAGCGATAGGCTTTGAGAGGACCAGGCTGAGGGAGGGGCTGTGTAATCGTGCATCTGCACTGGGACTTCGAGAAGCTTCTATGGCCGCCAAACCCTACTTTCGCGCAATGCGAAACAGCTCCAGGCATTGCAGCCTCACAGCTGCTTCCGAGTTCTGCAACGTAGTAGTGGCAACACCATTATGGCGGGCTGCCATTGGAAGAGAGTGGACGTGGAGGTGGGGCAGGCGCACTGCGGTCAGCGGGGGCAGTTTGTCTCGCCGTGCTGCTCATGGTACATACGTCATTGGCGGTGGGCTGAGCCAGGCTGGTGAGCGATTTTGCGCGACTGGTTGTGAGTGATTGTTTGGCAGGCTGCAGTTTTGCCAGGGCGACCCGCTGGTCGAGCGAGCCCTGCGTCGAAGGCAAGGCTGAGTTAGTGAGTTGGCATTCTCAGGCGGCAGCCGTTTCAGTTTCCACACGTCAGGCTTAGGGGATTGGTTGTGGTTTGTCGGTTGGAGATGGCTGCAGCGATTGGTTGTTGTGGGTCGGCTGGAAGGCGGTGACGCAGACAAGGGTAGTGGCAGTGTTTTGCGGTTGTGCGCGAGCGCGCGAGTGCGCAATCTTTGACCTGCGTGAAGTGAATACACTCAACCAAAGGTGGTAGCCGCGGAGGAAATTATCTGAGCTGGACGCTGCCGCATGTTGAAAGTCGATGCCGGCGGACGGTATTCGAGAATACGTATTGCTGTAACAGAAAATGTTATGATGTCTTGCGATGAGGAAATCATTTGCGGCGGAAGAATGCCATCGTAGAGGGAAAACTGATGAGTATGAGAGAGAAGTGAAGAACAGCGATGGGTAAAAGAGAGAATTGAAGAGCAGCTTGAGGGATCGGGGCTGAATTTATATCATTCGGGGGCGCTAATATTGAGGTACCACTTAGTGCCCACCTACGAGTTTTTGATTGGACAACTCGCACGCGCTGTCCAACCTCCACCCCGTTGGCATGATTCGCTTCACCCACGCGCCTCACTTCAGCGATGTGCCACGCAATCAAAGGCTGACATGTACCCAGCCGTCAAGCGGTTGCAGGGTTCAGGGGACATTCAGCTCGGCACACAAAGTTAGCACATCGTCATCGGGACCTTGAAACCGTGACAAGGACTGCTTGAGTCACCATCTTACCAAGTTGCAGCGTCAGACTTGGCAGCTGCTGCCTGCGTCTCGACTCAACATTGCGCCTATGTCACTGTCGAGTGTAAATATCAGCAGAGGTTCCACGACTGCTTTGCAACTTGCCGTCTTTACCCAGCCGTTCACCCTGGACAGATTTTGCTAGCGTCTGTCAGATATTGAATAATCACGACCGCGAACATAGCAATAATTGAGACAGAAACCCAGGGCTTTATCCTGCCCTAGGGGATCTACGGGCAAAAGTCCACGATATGAGTCTTGGGTGATCTCGAAAATCGGGATCGCCCAGCAACAGGGCGTTCCTAAAGTAACTACCAATCCAGATACTTCCGCCTCTCCATCTAGCACACGATCCTGTCACGCCGTGCGAAAGCTGTCAGGACTAAGCCTCCTTTGATTGTGTGCAATGCCTATGTTCTAAGGCTGCTTTCAGGGTGACTCATTCTGGACCATGCCCATTGTGCGCCTGTCGCAGATTGGTCGAATAGCCAGCTTTGCCAGATGACGGACTCTAAAACTGTCTTCCTCCGACAAAGCAACGCTCGCAATGGTATTTGTAAATTACAATTAGCGTCATAGCTTAAAAATTAAAGGTAGGTAGCTAACTGCTTCCACCGCTTTTTATACACATCAACCCCATACGCTTAGGAAAGGTATACTCGAGCGAATCCATAGGCTGGGACTATTAAGAAGAGCAGTAACATCGCTATATACTAAATTACAAAGAGCTTCATACAGTCCTCAAGCGTAAGAGGGCGCTAAGGAACGGAGCGCGAGTAATTGTTTCAGTGTGTACGGTCATTGCCAGCTTTACAACCCTCGATTTTGACACTCTAGTTGGCTATAATTTTACTTTGCTTGTATTCGCAATCTAATTAGTCCTTCGAAGAATAGATCATGTGGTTGGCTATTTAAATCGAGGCTGCTACCACCTGTCCACTCACCTACGCGCCCGCCTACCTACCAACCTACCTCATTACTCAATCTCCGCTACTCCTTACTATCTTCTACTACCTACCGCGCAGTCCGTTGCAGAGTGCTGCTTATTTTGTCTACAAATATACCCGCCTAACTCATTCATTCGTCGCGGCTATACTTAGAAGACCTGTAAAAGCTACTCCGATTTTACGTGTATAAATAGAACAATTGAACTGATAGAACTAACCGGTTTTCTCTCTAATACGTAGGATTGATTAAAGAAAGAGGCTGCTCGAGTAATTAAGAGGAGAAACGTGTGGGAGTACCATGTCCGCATTGGTGTTTTTAGCTATCAGCGGCCATCACATACGGAGATTGCCGATGTAAGAAGCACCCGCTCTAAAACGAATAATGAACAGCCACAATTTAGTTGTGTATGTACATATTTCCAAAGTATGACATTTTTTACTGTTTCTGAGTGCATTCAACTCTTGTTGAAGCTAATTTCTGCGACGCCAGAATCCACAGCTTGCACCTTTCATTCGCTGCCGGAACGTCCACCATTTCAAACTTGTTCATAGCTTTTGCTCTCTTTATCACGCAGCTTTCAAACTTCGGCAGCCCATCTCCACCGCTCTTCGGCATGCCGCTCGCCGCAAAGCTTACTATACAGTCCTACAGCACCTCTGCCACAGTTGCGTTCAATCCACACTCAGCCGATTTGACCTGGAACGTAGAAGGTATACGGCAGATCCCGACCATGCGACGCCGGCGGCACATCAAAAAGATAAGCGTATGACAGCTCATCATCTGCATCCTTCGCAGAAGCAAACGCATCATTCAATGCCGCGTACGCATTGCAATCGATGAGCACCTCACGACTCAGGAGCAGTGCCGCCTGTTCCCGAATATACGCATCCAGTGCGTTGGAGCCATTGTAAACAGGCGGACATATCTCGTCGGCAACCAAGTCAACGAGACCAGTGTCGTTGCCGCCGCCGCCCCCCTTTTCCTTCCCCTCCTCCTCACCATCACTTCCGAACGCCGCCTTCAAATACCCCACCCCCACAAACTGCTCCTCCTCCGTCTCCAGCTTCGGCGGCACGAACCCTCCGCCAAGAGCGGGACGCGCGGGCTCGTCGTCGGGAGGCCGTGGGAGATGGGGTAGGCGCCTTGGGCGTGGGAGGAGGGGTTGGTGTATGATGCGGTGATCTGCTGTATGATTGGGCCGCTGCCGCCGCCGCCGGCGACGACGACGACGACGACGAGGTGGATGTGCGATTGTTTCCAGCGCAGGGGCGAGGTGCTGGTTGTGGAGGCCGCCGGCGTTGGCGGTGGAGTTCTCAGCAAGGAGGAAGCCGAAGGCGGCGAGGCAGTAGATGAGGGTGATGAAGATGATGCCGCGGGTGGAGATGATGGATTTGGTGGGGGTGTTGTTGCTGTTGTTGGAACTGTGTTTGAGCAAGCCGGCGAGGTTGCCGCCGAACCAGGTCGTTCTGGCTTGAGGGCATGGCGGGCATGGCGGGCAAAGGGTGCCATTGTTCATCCTCCTGCGATTTGTTACAAGGGCCCGGAAGCGTGAGTTTCCGAGAGGCGGGGCAGCATACCTGATGTTGGAGAAGGTGTAATCATCTCCAGCTTTCTAAGGGGAGTCGAGAAACTGTCAGAGACAACTGCTTTTCTCGATTTTAGAAACAATTATCGTGACTACCGCCTTACATTGTATTGGACTGCGCGGTAAAGCTCATAGCCTGGGTCGACGACGGGCAGCAAGTTTGGTTCATCGGCCAGAGCTACGGGAGCGAGCGCCGCAAAGGCCACGGCTCTGATGCCAATCGCGCCAAAAAGCATCTCGAAGGACGGCCGTCAGAGGGTTAAAATCATAATACTGGAGAGCAGAGGCAAATATTGAGAACATATAGGCGTCACTCACGGTCAAGGTTTAAATAGTCAAATTGTTGATTGGGCTAAAATCATCCAGTGGTACTGTCTGAATTTATGGGGCTACCGGGCCTGATTGAACGCTGAACAAGCTTCAATAGCGCGGCGCCATGAGGCGGTGGGGCTCCCTCGATCGCCGGAGACAATGTGAGCTGAGCTGTGGTATACGTGTGCAGTCTTTAATGCGGGATGATGCAGCTTGAGCTAAGGTGGCACAGAGGGAGGGGGCGGGAAGCTACATTCTATGCCAACTTTCCCAGTCCGGTTGTTGCACCCGTCCATGCATCACACACATAGCTACTGAGTGAATAAAACTGGTAGAATTGAATTATCACCATACAGCCACCACCCCGTCTTGTGCGTGGGAAATAGAATGAGCCTACAAACAAGGCCGAAAGGGACACTGAATCCAACGTTTTTTTTTTCTTTTGAGAGCTTTGGTACCCTACACAGTAGATCAATACCCAACAAGGATCTTCAGACTAGAACGCACAATTTTCCAGAAGTTTTGTAGCAGTACTTGTGTTGCGGCTGAGAAAATCATCATTCTGTTGCTTCATTCGATCTCTCTTTTTCGAGAGAGAGAAAGCGCAACTTCCGGGCCAAACTATTCCTGCCTTCCCCCCAAATTCCTACCATGCATACCCGACCCTTCCTAAGCATTAAACCAAAATAAAAAAAAAATTCCGCAATACGTTTCTCCTTGGTATATCCCATGTGCCCACCCACTCCCCAACCAACCCCCATAGAAAAAGTACCCCAACGCCCAATCCAATCTTCAATCAATCATTAACTCCCTTCCCTCCCTTCCCTCCCTTCCCTCCCTTCCCCTCCTCTCCCCTCACTCACTCACTCACTCTCTCACTCACTCACAAAACCTCCCCCACCACCGGCCCAAACGGCACCGACGCCTTCCTCCCCAGCTGCCCCTGCCCCGCCACCATCCCCACGGGCCCCACCCCATCCTCCTGCACCACGACGACCGCGCCGCCCTCCCTCCCCTCTCCCACGCCCCCATTCGCAACCCAATTATCCAGCAACCGGCCCACCTCGCGGAAGCTGACGGGCTTGGTCATATATAGATCAAACCCACTCGTAAACGCCTCGCTCTGATCGCGACCGCTCGCCAGCCCCGTCAACGCGACGATCAAGCTCGGCGGCGGGCGCAGGTGCGGCTGCGACGAGCACTGCGCCGCAAACTCCGCTTCCAGCGCGCGGATGCGCCGGGTCGCCTCGAAGCCGTTCATGATGGGCATGCTGATGTCCATGAAGATGATGTCGGGTGGGGCGGGGACGTGTTGATACTTGTGGTCGCCGTTTTGACCGTTCGTGTTCGTGTTCGTGTTGTCGTTACCGAACAGCAGCGACTCGAACACAGCCACCGCCTCCGCGCCATCCGCCGCCGAGTGCACGGCCGTGTACGCGCGCTTGCGCATGAACGTTTGAAGTAGACGCAGGTTGACGGCGTTGTCGTCGACGAGCAGCAGGCGCGGCGTGCGTGCGCCGCCGCCGCCGGGGTGGCCGTGAGGCGTGGGCGTCTTGGAGCTGCGGCGGCTGCTGATGCTCTTGTGGCGGTTGGGCGTGACGGTGCCGGCCGTGTCGACGGAGGAGGGTCTGTTGATGACAGTAGTGACCGTGGCAGGGTCAGCGAAAGGGCTGGGAGCGAGTGAGGGTTTGCGGACGAGGTCGGACAAGGAGTGGTTCTTGTCGTTGCTCGTCACCGCGACGCCTTGGGAGCTCATAGGAGAGGCCGGGGGCGCTTCATTCTGCAGTCTTTCCTGCGGTGTCCAGGACATTGTGCGGCTATGCTCGAAGTGGGGTCGCTCTTCATGTGGTGGTGGTGGTGGGGCGAAGGATGGAGATGTTGTTCCGTCGCCTCGGGGTGGTACGGGTGCTGGGTCTGGGAATGGGAACTCTCCGTTCAGCTCTACCGGCGGGATGGCGTTGGGAGAAGGCAGTGTGTCCATGGCCATGTGGGCGTTCATGCTCTCGTCGTTACCAAGGATGTCGCCTTGATGGAGGACGCTCAAGGTTTCTGGTGCGCCGTTGTGGTTCGTCTTCAACGTTATTTGCTCGACGCGAGTCACCACCTCATCAACAAAAATGTCCTCCGTGGTCTCCGGTGAGACGACAGAATCCGCGATGCTGCTAGGGCTGATCTTTTTGGCTCGCTTGTCCATGACGTTCTGCAGTGCCTTGGCTAGCTTGTATGGACCAACAGGCCTGGGCAAGTACTCCAGGTTTACGTGCTTCATCAGTTCGTCTGTGGCAGAGCATTTGCCAGTACCGGCGCGAATGACGAGGAGCATAGGGCCACTTGACAAGTTACCCCTCAAGCATGGGCAGAGCTCGAGAAGATACGGCAGGTCAACTTCGTCGACCGTGATGAGGTCGGGTTGAGTCTCAGGACACCAATTGAAGACATCCGAAAAGCCGTACCAGTCCTTGAGGAAGCATTCAAGCGAGGCCTTCTCGAGTTCCAACGCACGGGTGGTAAGAGGGCTCGTAAGTTTCTCGTAATCTGGTGGCCTGAACATCGCCGCCGTCATTCCGGATGCGGCCAGCCTAACGGAGTTCAGACAAGACTGGATGGGTCGGTTGGTGCCACTAGTTCCGGTGGTCGCCGTGCCCGCAGACGAGGCGGGAACTGACGCTGGCGTCGTGGTCGAGTTGGTGCTACTGCTGCCACCACCACCCTTGACCATTGGTAGCGTCACCACCACGTCGGTACCAACGCCAAGCGCGCTTCTGATGTTGATCTCGCCGTTGAGCATATCAACGATGGACCGCACAAGAGACAAACCAAGCCCAGTTCCTGGGTTAATGGGATTCTCCTGCGCGAAGGGCGTGAAGAGCTTGGTCCTGAGATATTCAGGTGAGATACCTTGCCCCGAATCCGATATCGTAAGGGTAACGATACTGGTGGCGGGAAGATCTTGAGCGCCGTTGGTGTTTTGAGATGGCGCATCCTTGATATCCTTGGCGCTGAGGCTCACCCGGATGAAACCATTCCTGGTGTATTTGATTGCGTTTCCGAAAAGGTTCATGACAATACGCCGGACAGCTCCTGGCTGCGTAATAAAATCCCACCTGCGCGCCTCGATGTTCATGATAATCTCCACAGCTGGTCGTGTTGCCTTGTATGATACCCCATCTTCCAGTGTACCCAGGTTCCGATTGGGCGCCCCTTGGAGTTTGTCATCCGCATTCTCAAAGGTTGTGATGTCCCGGAAAACGTGGCCTAACGCCACGCCTGCAACGACTTCCTCCGTTATGGCTGCGAGGTCCACGGCGTCATAGATGTTGAGAGTCGGTTGCTGCATTATCGGATGCAACGCATTTTGAGCACCCCCATCCTTGCGCGATTTCCTTGCTTTCCGAATATTCCTTTCAAACGAGTTGATCTTGGAGTAGTCCAGAACCATGTTGATGGTATCCAAAAGTGTCCGCGCACAGCTATCGGCTGTCGATACCAGTGATTTCTGGTACGAAGAACATTCCGTGTCTTCCAGGAATTCGCAGGATGCCAAGATGCCGTGCAGGGGCGAGCGGAGTTCGTGCGAAATGGATCCGATGAAATCGCTCTTCTGCTGGTCCGAAGCCATAGTCGCAAGTCGGGCAACTTCGGTCATAACGCAGCTGCAGAAAGCTATACAGTGGAGAAAATCGGGGTTGTGGCCAAAAGTCCGGAAATCCGAGGTGTTGTAAACGAAGCAAGCGACCCATGATTCAATCTGGACGTCCCAGAGGGGAACGAAAATGACCTGGCGAGCTCCTGGGAAGTGTCGGGCAATAATGACGGCTTCGCTCCTCGATGGCAGCCTCCGTCTTGTCCCGGTCGAAGTCGGCGAGTATTCTGTCGTGAGTGATTCTTCTCCTGAGGAGCCCTGGCTTAGACCATCATCTCCAAAACTGTAGAGTTTTCCTCGAGGATGACGCCGGATCATCTTTGCTAAATCTTCAGGCGAAAGTGGCGTGAATTCTTCCGGGTTCCCATCTTGGTCATCTTCATGTATTGCGGGCGAAGCCGTATGGGCCAGGATGTCCACGGAATGGCTGGAATCCCCCCAAGACGGTGCGTTATCCATAGAATGGTCGGTTAAATGACTGCCGAATGACACGCGATGCTGCGCAGCACTTTCTTTCAAATCATCCACGGAAGGATTCACCGAGTGATGGGGAGCACCCTCGGGACGAAGGCCTGCCGTGGTGCTCATGAAAACGACACCTCCACCACCTTTCAACGACAAGGAATCCATCAAGCCTTTCGAAGCCCGCTCAAACGTTTCCGGGTGGTCATTATCACAAACTCTGGAGCTCGTCTCGGTCTCGGACTCGTCACTGGAATTGGCGGGATCTGCGTTTCTGGAACCAATGCTTCGACGGCTACTCCTAGTGGATTTTGGTGTCCCGGGTAATTTCGGACTCGCAATGGATTCGCTATGTTCCTCTCCCTTAACACTCCGTGCGGCCTTGTACTCGGCGAAGGTGGTATGCTTGAGACTCCGGTTCCTGTGGTGGTTGACTGGGCGTTTGCGTTTGCGAAGCGGATGCTCGGGGTCCACGAAGGCTGCGAGGCACATGTTCATGTTGACGGCGCGTTTCCGGTCCTCCTTCTCCTTCATGAGCTCGAGATGCTCCATTACGTTACTTGCCATGATTGTAAGAACTGTCAAAAGAAGTTAGTACCATAATACAAGCATGCTGGCAGCGCCGGCATTGCCAAGCGGCATCTGAGAAAGGGCGCTAGCCCTCTTAGGAATACTGTGCGGAGCCGTCTCCGACGCAAGCCGAACGGAAAACTCAGCCCCACCGCACTGGTAGCGCGTTCCACTCCGGCCGAAAGGTCAACGTACAAAAAAGCGAAGATTGATGGCGAACCTACATTTCCTGGCAGAAGCACTGAGCGGCTCACGCGGTTTGATGTCCATGGCGAAGAGAGAGCCAATTGCAATGCCCTTCTTGGTCCTCAACGGCACACCCACGTAGTATCTGTAACAAAATTTGTCAGTGGTCAAGACTCAGCTCGGATCCAACGCATGTGTTCACCTGAAGTGCGGCTCGCCCGCCACGAATGGCAACGAACTGTACTGGGCATCTTTGGACAGATCTGTCACCTCAAAGCACGCAGGCGTGCCATCAGAGCTTGGGGTCTGCTCCAGCGTCTGCTCGCATAAGCGACCTCGCTTGGGTACGCTCTTGCACTGAGGGTTCCACAACAGGTCAGCCAGGTACAATACGGAAAACATGGAAGAGCCGGAAGCATACAACGGCCCAGACTGCATCGTCCGGATGCTCGGATTCATCGCTGTTGGCGAGGTCGAGTGTTTTGGTGCTCTCGGCGACAAAGTACTGCGTCTCGCGGTCAATTAGGCTGATGATGGCGCGCTGGATGTCCAATCGCCAGGCGATGAGCTGGCAATGCGCAGTGAGGACCGTGTCCGGGGTGGCGGAGCGCGCGACTGAGACGGTGTTTGGCGGCTGGAAGTACTTGTACAGCTCTCTCGCACGGCTGCTGTCGGTGCAGACGGCGACGGGCTGGGCAGCGGGCTCGGGCTGCTGGTACCCCATGTTTTAGGGGTGTTTGTACGAGTTGGACAGCAGCACGGCGGCGACAGAACCGTGGCCGGGGGAGGGCATGGAGCGTTTTGTTTTTGCAGAGAACGGTGATGGAGCAGCACTGCAGCGCCACAGCGGTCGGGCTCGCACATATCTGTCGTTGGGGCCTAGGCTGGTGGCCGGGGCGGTTGGCGAGGGAGGCCGTTCGCTGCGGACTTCCGGCTGGCCGCCAAGCAGCACCGCAGCGCCATCGCGCCGTCGCCCGCACTACGGCTCGCCGTGGGCGTGGCTTGGAACGTCTCTGTTCGCATGCGGGCCCAGGCCACTGCAGAGCATCCGACTGCTGAACCCTGATCCATGCCCAACCGAGCATGGCCGCCGCTGAGCCCGAGCCGCACTGCTGCTGCCAGCTATTGCAATATCTCTCACGGCTCCCGCGGAGCCCCCCTGTGGTGGCGACTCGCAACAAAGTTTATCAGCTCAACGGTCGGGCCTGCCGGGCCTACCGGCCCTCCCTCCTCGGAAATGATCATTGACTGCCGTTATTCGTTTGTGTGCTACTCTGCCCTCCAAACCCTCGACTATGCGAGTCATCCGCCCGCTCGTGTAATCTGGCCAAGCGCTGACATGAGGCGCCCTGGCTGACGGGCCCTGACTCTCTAAGCGTGCACACTCCACCTCCTCGCCTTAAGCCGTGCCCGCTGACTCCGCGCGCTGCTGCTGACACTCACGACACTCGAGATACAGCGCCGCGCAGAACTCGCGGATCGGCTGCCAGCCCTCAGGGTCATCCGTCACCACATGATTCGCCGGACACGTCCATTTCCACCGCCCGTCGGCGTCCCTCTTCAGGCAGTTCTCCCCCAGCGTCCAGGACTCGAGCCCAAAAGTGATGGCGGTGAAGCGCGGCTCTGCTAGGTCTTTGAACTGTTGCGACACCTGACTCCACAGCCATAGCGGGTTCCACATGCGGTCTGGCACCGCGTGCACATGGAGCCTGAGCTTCTCGACTCGTTTCATTGCGCTCAGACTCCTGGACACGCGGTCTCTCAATCCCCAGTCGCGAGGCATCGAGCGCGGATCTCGCGAGCCGAGCATGTTGGATGTTGCAATGATGCGGATCTCGCAGCTGCGCACCTTAGTGACACTGTCGCGACTCAGCGGCCACAAATTCGCGCTCTGCTCATTCGAACGATCGACATTCAGGGTGAAGGTTGCGCTTTTGCAGAGCACGTCCATGAACTCCTGGTGAAGCTGGCGGCTGGCCAGTAGGATGCCATATTTCGGGTAGTTGGGCTTCTTGCGGTGCGGGATCCAGGACGCCATGCTCAAGGGGCGCGGCGCGCGCATGGCCTCTGTTGGAAAGGAGGGGTTGCAGTCAGGATCCACCATCTCCTCGTAGACCATGTTGCGGATCTCAGCCGGCAGGCCGGTGAAGTTGAAAAAGGGCTCTGGCTTTGCGGCGCGACGTTTCTGGAAGTAGAGAAGCAGCGGCAGCGAAAGGGCAACCGCCAAGGCCAGGGTCCACGCCGAAAGGGTCCAGTTAGCGGGCAGGAGCGTGGTTGCCATAGCGAGAGCCATGACAGGCGAAGCGGTGTAGACGCGGTGGACAGCGAACGGAAGCGGCTCTGTGCTGGGCAGTCCGCGTAAATGAGTGCGAGTGAGGGTTACGTGGAGGGTCGTACACGAAGCTGCTGCGCTGGCTTATACTCTCTCCTGTTGCCTTGGGGGATTAGCACAGCCACGCCAGGCACGGACCGACATTGTAGGGCTGAGGCAGCCCCTATGGAAGTCTAGACAGATGCGGCAGCCCGGGAGGCACGGAGGAGACAAGCGGTCGACGGCGAGAGGGCGTTCCCAGAGTTGAGCGCCCTCGTGCTCCAGCGACGAGCGGTTCTGTCGTAACAAATGCGGACGCGCAGGCGGAGCGGCTTCCGGCGAGCGCGGTGGGACGAGGCTGTCACGATGGCCAGGGTGCAGTCATACGCCGGCGGACCCAGAGTTGGCCGACAAGCTTTTGCGGGGTGAAGGAGGAGCTGCTGTGCCGTCCTGTTGAACAGCAGATCTGCCGCTGAGTAAGGATGCAAGCGAAAGGCCCAGGCACGCCGTGCAGCGGTGGATCTTCCGACGAACACCCTAATCACGACCACACCCCTCAGGCGCGCTCCAGTGCTCTGTCAGCACGCCCGCGTGCGCCGTCAGCATCCAAACCTCATTAAGCACCCATTGCCTGCGCTGGTCGTGAGACGCGCGCGCGCCCGAGACGTGCCCGAAAGGCCGGGATAACGTGTCTGCCTGCGGATCGTTGCCAAAACCTGCTGCGCTGCTGCGACATCGCCCTGCCACAGCCCGGGGTCTCTGCGACTCTTCCAGCGCCTTCCTCGTCCGCGTGCTCCTTTTGGGGCGCTGCTTAACGCCGAAGCTGCGGTACGGCCCCTCTAGTGCCAGCCAGCGCGATGTGATTCTTCACTTTCATCGATCTGGAGCGGGGATCATCCCTTGAATCAGCTGACACAACTTGGAAAAACCAAGTCGTCGTCCTTGCTTGCCCCGGCTTCTGCGCACCACCAATTGTGCCGTCTGGTTCATTTCCGCGCCGGCCAATTGCCGCTGTGCCGCGCTCCCGTGTGAGGTCATCCCGAGCTTGTCTGCGCCTTGGGCGACGTGTGTCACCGACGTCGACGCGCCTGGAGCTCTACCCAGATGCTTGTTTACGTGTGCTGCCCTGTGACGAGCCTTGACGCTGGTGACGTTCGTTTCCAAGGCGCATATAAGATCACCTCGCTGCTCCTCCAATTGTTCGCCATCTCTCAGCTCACAGCTGTTGCTCATCTTCCAAATCCCCAGCTACCTCGTCAGACGTGACACCATGATTCTCTCCCGTCTGGTCTCCATCTTCCTTCGCTTCGGCCAGTTCGTCTGCGCTGCCGTATGTCACTTGCCATCCTAGCCTAACTGCGCCTCTTGCTGACGTCCATCAAGGTCTGTTTGGGCTTGTCGGCCTGGTTCCTCCATGAGATTCGTCATGGTAGCGGCGGCCCCCGTGGACGCACCATCTACATCATTGTCATCGCCTGCGTCTCCGTCATCACCTCGCTGATCTGGATGATTCCCTTTACTTTCACCTTTTTCCATGTGAGTGACGCGTCGACCAACCTAATCATCCTCACATCACCCTTCTAACCAGCTATCAGTATCCGTTTGACTTCATCCTCAGCCTGGCTTGGTTCGCCGCATTCGGTGCTCTGGTCGAATACATCCACGACGCCAATTGCGGCGGTGTCTTCCACTGGGGCGGCCTTTACCGCGGCGGCTGGTGCGACAAGTGGAAGGCTAACGAGGCCTTTGCCTTCATCGCCGCGTGCTTCTGGCTTGCCAGCACCCTGCTTGGCGCCTGGGTCTTCCACAAGAAGACGCGCCCTGACAGCACTTCGCGCAGCCGCTTTGGCCGCCGTTCCTACGTCTAAGCGCCTGAGACTACTGCCGCCTCTCGGAACTCGGCACGGCGAAGCTCTGATGAGACAATGACGTCTTTCTACGCGACGCGTGGACGAATTCTAGGGAACGCTACCAATACGAGACGGAAAAAGGAAAGGGTGGGGCCAAGACGGCCTCTCCTTCCGAACGACCATGACCTCATCCCTTCCCTCCCATGATGACTGATACCCTTTCTACTATTTTCACATTGGCGAAGGACTTCGATACCCCGGCGCTGGCTCTTAACTATGCACTTCTCTCAATAGTCTTAACCTAGGCATTTAATCATCTTTTTTTGCATTATCATTTCATTCCTTCTGCATTAACGATCATGAGGAGTCTTGGTTCTTTTGCTGTACACTGCATCACTTAACCAACTTCGGTGTGAATCTTTGAATATACCATATTTGCGACATGTCTGAGACTTCATTCTTCGCCGTGATATCATAAGTAAGAACCCCCGTAACACGCCATATCCCTTCGTCTGTCCGAAGGACATCATACACAACCCCCATAAATGGCAAAGCCCTGTCCCAATAAGGTAATGCGAAAGAAAAATATGGGAACAGAAAGATGGGACAGAAAAGAAAAAAAAGGTCCCATCAGCAAGGAGAAAAGAAACCACATGGACCGCAAACCTAACCCAGTCCATCTCCACCCTGGAGCCCTTTCCCGGCATTAACGCCAGCCTCGTCGTGCATGTGCTCCGAACCGTAACACCAAACCTGCCATCTAACCATTCAAGCCTTTTTCTTTCTCAACCCCCCTCACTTTCCTTTTTCTCCCCCGTCATCTTCCAACTCAAACTCCTACCACGACCCTCTAGTACCTCGGCGGCGGCGGCGTGATCGACCCGGCCGAGTGGACACTGACGGGCAGCTCCTTGTCGTGGTGGCTGCCGTTCATCTCGACGCTGCCGTCGTCGAGCTTGCCCTGCTTGCGCTGCTTGCGCGCGTACCACTTCTCGATGCACCAGCCGAAGACGGCGACGACGAGCATGAAGCCCTGCAGCAGGAAGACGACGAGCGTCGTGTACAAGGCGAATTTCTATAACCAACGTCTCACATCAGCCCAACTGCTCTTCTTAAGGAGGACGGTAAGGGGAAACAGGAGTATACTCACGCTCTCAGCGCACAGCCGGCCGAACTCGTGGTTCGAGATGCTGCTGGGCACGCTGGTGCTGGTGCTGGCGGGGCGCTTGCCCTTGAACTTGCACGTCCACGTCTGGATCGTCTCGACCTCGGGCGAGTTCTTGTTCAGCACCGCGGCGTAGATGAAGCAGCCGAACGCCACGACCATGGTCGGGAAGATCAGGCCGAGCGTGATGAATGCGCGCGCGGTGGTGCGTTCGGTGAGGTTGAGCTATGAAAGTGATCCCGTTAGCCCTCCTGTTCCTAGATGTGTTTCTTTTCTTGGGCTTACCTTGGGGAGGAAGCAGAGGACGAGGAAGAGGAGGTTGAAGAAGGTGATGACCGCGCCGGCGCCGACGAGCGTGTTGGTGCCGCGCACGTCGAAGTGTCCGTTCCAGAGCGGTAGCCACCACGGGTTCGTCGAGTACTGGTCGTTGTAGACGGCGAGGGCGTGGCCGGCGGTGCCCATAATGCAGACGCCGAAGATGAAGCTCAGGCCCGCGAGGGACAGCTGTGCTATTCTGATGTGCGTGGGCAACATTTTGGTGTATGGGAATGCGAAAGCACAGGAAGAAAGGTACTGTGGAAAATGGGGTATAATAGAAGGGTATCAATTAAAATCCACGGGAACCCGTCGTCGCGATGAGGTGTTTGGTCGAAGTCCAGACTCCAGACGGGAAAGGGAAATAGAAACACGGGTTAAGGGAGAGGACCTCTCGTTGCTCCACGTTGAGAATGGGAGGGCAGCTCGCTGAACCAACGGGGCAGCGCGGCCATCGACGTTTAATAGAAGGGCGATGATTTGGGCGAATCTGATCTTAGCAACACACCCCGCCTACTCGGGTGCATGCACCACACGGCGCCTATTCCGGGAGTCGGCATGGCCGGGATGGAGGGCTAGCACCTGCATTTGCGCCAACCATAGAGACGAACGGAAGCCAGCCCTGCGACCGGGCCAGGCTGCTATTTCTGGGTTGGTGGAGGGGAGATCCACAGCGACAAGCTTCGCACTGGGCGGGCGGGCGCCAAAAGGTTCATCTAGGGCGTTCTGGTCAAGCTTCAATCAAAACTCGCGCATGGGTGTTCTTAGCGAGAGGCAGGGGGGAAACGACTGTGATTCGCCTGGAGGTGCCTGGGTAGTGCAGCATGAGCTATTCGTAGCCTGTGGTGTGGTCGGCTGGCTGAAGGCAGGGCGCTTGTGAGATTGCTGCTGCAGGAGGCCCCGGCTTGTGATTCGCTGGATGCATTTGTTGTGGAGTCCGGCGCTTAACGGTCAACGGCTGTAGAAGGAGGTCTGTGCACTGGGCTGCTCGAAGGGTTAACATGCCAAGCGATTGCTAAAGTGAACCGAAGCGGTCATTTATGGGATGCTGAAGGGCTTGGGCAGATCGCAACTATGAGGAGAAGGGCCGCGCAATGCGTCATTGCTCACGGATGTTCTGATTCGCATAGTTTGAGGGGAGCTCACCTACTACACAGTAAGCTCCCCTCAGTTGCTTAGCGCTGATAACATCTTACACTGTACGTTTCCATGCTATTGTCGAAGCGCCAAACGCCATCCTGCTCCATGTGATGATATGCAGCTCTGAAACGCACCCCAGATTGTCGCTTCCGTCCTCTGGACAACCTACAGTTGGCCCGTCAGACTCCCGCCAGCCGACCACCTGCTGCGTCCAATCCGCGATTTGGTCTTCCCGGATGAGCTGCCCTCTAAGGGATGTTCTTGCTCCCACCGCTCGTCATCCTTATACGCCTCTATGGCGGCGTCTAAATCGTAGTCGGCTTGCTTGAGGTACAGTAGCGCGATATCGTACCTGTTGATCCGAGCGAATCAGCTGTACCGTGCTTTCACATGCTCATGTTTGGAGTCGCAACTGGAAGGCTTACTCGGCCACTTTGCAAGTAACCATCCACTTGCGCACCTTGACCTTCCGGGCCTCCTCCTCTTCGCCTTCTACCGGCCGGGGACTCAAGCTCACGCCTCCCTTATAGTATTCACCGGGAATCAAGATTGTTCGCCTGCCATGTAAGAGGTGGTCGGAAAAAACGTTGTTGGTTTTCCTGAGGGCGGCGGCGGGCACGCCATATCTCAGCGATAAGTTCGTGATGGTATCAGTATCGGGATCGACAAAGTGGAGCACGTCTGGCGCCGGCTCGTCCTTAGCCTTCCCCGCAGGCGGCTGGACCGGCTGGTGGCCTTCATATGGCGGCGGTCGCTCATGAGTATCTACGCGGGCTAAGGTGGCGTGGCGAGGTCTCGGCGACGGTGGCGGTGAGTATGCCGGAGGATCGCGCAACCCTTGGGGCAGAGGAGACGGCGTCGTGGAGATCTGGCAGAAAGGACAATAGGTGGCGAACCGCGTGTTGTCCGTTATGCATCGTGCACATATGGCGCGGCCGCAGCATTCAAGCCGGCGCTCATACTGAGACGGCTTCTCAGTCTTCTCGTCATACGTGGGAGGAATGGAAGAGAGGAGCGCGGCGCAGGTACAGCAAGCTTCTGTAGACATGGTGCTAATCCAAAGTAAGAGACGTAGCAATGAGCAAAGGTGTTTGGAATGTAACAGGAGACCGGATCACCTCCGCAGCTGCCGCTTCTGACATCACCAAGGGTGCCGCGGACCGACGGCACGCGATTCGGCAGAGCCTCGATAAGATAAGAAGGCGGGCGCGTCGAAGCCCTGAGGCGCTATCCGCTTTGGGAAGCGTAGACGAGCCGCACCGAGAAATTCCAGCAACACCTCAGCCAACTTCGCGACGCGACCTCCGACCACCAGCTACGACACGACACCGACGCCCCGCCCTCCTCGAGGTATGTCATGACGAACGAATTCTGCCGAGTGCCCTTCAGGTAGCCTGGAGGAGGCAATCATCGCGGTCCGCCAACACCATGTGCAGCGGTCGCGCGGTGATACGCTTCCTCCTTCGCGACGCGAGCTGAAGAACCCTCTTGGTCCTGCTACCTGAGGGCACTCTTTGCGCTCTATGGCTCTTGAAGGCTAACTTCATCCCCGGTTGCAGATACCTCAGTCCGCCCCGTAGCCACTTGAGAATCTCGTACCAATCGCCAAAATGGTCAAGACCTCCGTCCTCAACGATGCGCTCAACGCCATCAACAACGCCGAGAAGGCCGGCAAGCGCCAGGTCCTGATCAGGCCCAGCTCCAAGGTCATCATCAAGTTCCTGCACGTCATGCAGAAGCACGGTACGTCGCGGCTTTCCTCCGTCGGTCTTCGCAGTTTACAACCCCCTCCCCTGCTCGGGCATATAACTACCTAATGGTTGGCATTGCACCACAACCTTTGGGCTTTAAGTGTCCGAAAGATCAAACTCTGCGAAGATCTTACACGTTTTCTGATTTTTCTGTGATTTCCAACGTTTAATCTTCCGCAACATGCTGATTGAATTGTGTTTTAGGCTACATTGGCGAGTTCGAGGAGGTCGATGACCACCGCAACGGCAAGATCGTTGTCCAGCTCAACGGCCGTCTCAACAAGACCGGTGTCATCTCTCCCCGCTACAACGTCCAGCTCAAGGACCTCGAGAAGTGGGTCGTCAAGCTCCTCCCCTCGCGTCAGTTCGGCTGCATCGTCCTCACCACCTCCGCTGGTATCATGGACCGTAAGTTATCCAACTCCAATTTTCTTTGCCCAATTACTGATTGGTCTGCAGACGAGGAGGCCAGGAGGAAGCACGTCGCTGGCAAGATCCTTGGTTTCTTCTACTAGAAAGCGGGCTCTGTCAGGGCACTGTCGGGGTTTGGAAATATCCACGGAGGTTGCAATATAAAAGTTTTCATGACATGTACGGCGCGTGACATTGCAGTTGCATTTGCGGAGTAGACTACGCTCTGCCACTAAGGTGCAGAAAAAAATGCAACGAACTTTTCGCCGAACATCGGTCCCACTTTAAAATGATCTTCGTGAAGTGTTCCTCCTAAAGTGACGTCAAGGCTAGAGATAAACTCGTTCAAGGCAGAATCTGTGCGGGTGTCTAAGCTTGGGGCGATTTATCATCGTGCAGCCTCGTGTTGTCTCAAGACATTCCCATTCTCTCGACGTCAGTTGACTGTTCTTGAACCGAGGCAGGAGCAGCCCTGTGCGCAACCTATTCCGACAGCATCCCGCTCCAGCTCTCGCCATTGTCACGAACTTACCTCCTTTGTACGGTACACACACAACACAATGGTTCTCGAGACGATATACGTGGTCAGGCATGGCGTAAGTTTTAGTGCGACAAATTCGAAAGCGCATACCTCGATTACATTCCCTGCATCCCATCTGAGATCTTACCCCGCGCGCGAGCGATGCGCAAGTTAATCGGGGAGCCTCGTTCATGACTCCCCTCCTTCACCACGCTTCACGGAGATCCCGCAGCACCTCACCGCTCCACAAGATGCTGCCGCACGCATACACGAATGGCGACGAGAGTAGTACAAGAACCAACCATGGCTAACGCGACGCTCCTCTTCTTTCGGCGCGCATTGTAGTTCCGCATGAACTGGGTGGTGGACCCGAACACGGGAGAGTACAAGAGCACGACGCTGTCGTCAACCCCGACGGGCATCCCTTCGGACCCGGCCCTGGCCAGCTACGGCGAGCAGCAGGCAGCGCAACTGGCGGACAAACTGCTCTCGCTCGATCCGCCCATCGATGTCGTCTACTCCAGCCCCTTCTACCGCTGCCTGCAGACTCTCAAACCCGCGAGTGAGCGACTGTTCGCGCCCGATGGCAGGCTGAGCGGCCAGAAGATCCGCGTCGAGAATGGTCTTGGGTAAGTGGTGTAGTCGTGGCCCTTTCGCGACAGAGGGAAAGAGAAGAACACCTTCCCGCATACTCCCACCACCTTCTCCGTCCCTGTATAACAGACAATGGCCGATCGCTAACACCTCGCGCTTTTTTACCGCAACACAGCGAATTCTACGGCCTCGCCCGCTTCGACCACCCCTCGCCGGCGCCGCTGGCCGTGCTGCACACGCACTTCCCCGGCCAGCTCGACGACGACTACGCGCCGGTGCTGGTGCCTTCAACCAACGGCGAGTCGATCCCAGACCTGCACGACCGCATCGCCTACACGCTGTCGCGCGTCGTCGCCGCGCTCGACGCCGACCCGCGCGCGCCGCGCGCGCTGCTCATCTGCACCCACGCCGCCAGCATGATCGCCATCGGCCGCGCGCTGACCGGCCGCATGCCGCCCGACGAGGGCGAGGAGGACTTCAAGTGCTTCACCTGCGCGCTGACGCGGTTCGACCGCCGCATAACGAAGGAGGAGGACGGCGAGCGGGTGCGCAAGGAGGAGAAGGAGGCCGGCGAGTGGAGCGCGGAGCGTCCGCACGATATCCCGCGCGTCAGTTGGAGGGAGGGCAGGGGCGTGGCCGGCGGCTGGGATTGCGTCATCAATGGCGATTGCAGCTTCTTGACTAACGGCGAGGAGAGAGGATGGTGAGTACTCTTCTTTCCGGGAAAGGGGGGGAGGGGCGGGAACGGTCCTGGTTATTATCCGGAGTGGCGCGTGCTAATCTTTTGTCGTTGCACAGGAAATTCTCTGGCGATGAGGCGTTCTTGACGGATCCCAATGCCTTCAACGATAAGCTGAACACTGGCGAGCCGGTGCCTACGACCAGCGCGGCTGCTGATTCTTCGAAACTGTGAGATTTTTTCGGATATTGAAGTTTTCCAGTGCCAGAAGAGAGGATAAATACGAGAACAAAAATGTTCAAGGCAATAGATAACCTCGGGATCCAGGGAGGAAAGCGTTGTGTTGGGATATTCAAGCGACGGGAGGATACCTTGTTTGGACCAAAATGGATAGACCACTTTTTAGAGAGCTTGCCGATCTGGATCGATTCCATCTCCTTCGGTCAATCTATAGCATCCAGGGAACTTATAGGCCAGGGCCGAGATCATGTGAACTATGGCACCATCAGGGAAGCGCAAGTTTGATCAAACAAAAGAGATGTCGCATTGTAGTAGTTTTGGAGTGCTCAGGCTGAACGCAAAGAAAGACACGATTGAAATCACACACAGTGTGACGTCACATCGCGGTGCATGCTTGTCTACACGCCTGTGGGAGCCTCATCGGTCGAATCGATTTTTTAGACAACATGATATCGTGTGTGTTAAGAGACCCGATCTGGGGGTTTTAGAAACTGAGCAGAATGTCGCCCACGCATCCATCCGACCTCTCAAAAGCAGTCCTGTCGAAACACCGGCAAGGCCCCCATAAAACCCCCATTTTTTCTCCGTCAGAAGCCAGTTATCCCCCAAGCGTCGAAATTCCCATTTAAGCGGAAGTGATGGCCTGGCGGACACGCTGGCCACGCTGCCTCGAGTTCAGCCTCGCGACCTCACGGTCAGCGACCTGGGGACCCTTCTGGACGACCTCCTCGCCCTCGGTGAGGATGAGCTCGATGTGGCAGGGGTTGGACATGTAAGGGTTGATCTGTTGTCGTTGTTAGCTGACACCCTGTTGGGCAGGCCGTTGGGCAACATACGCGACCGTGCGCACGGTAGGTGCGTCTCCGCTGCTTGGGAGCCTGGTTGACCTGGATGTGCTTGACGACGAGGTTGCTGGTGTCAAGGCCCTTGGTGTCGGCGTTGGCCTCGGCGTTCTTGAGGAGGTCGAGGAGGAACTTGGCGGACTTGACGGGCCAGCGGGCCTTGGAGACACCGAACTGCTTGCCTGTAGAATCGCACGTCTCAGCCAATGCTACACGTTTGTGCCTTCCGAGAATTGCAGATCCGCCCATTCATGTCCATCTCAAAATGACGACAATCCAAGCATCCGTTTCTCCAAAGGCGACGAGGCAACTCACCCTGTGCGCAGCGGCCGGTGGAACCGGCGTACCGCCTCATGGGAACGGCCTCGGACTTCTCCTGGACGTTCTCGAGGTACTTGAGGGCGCGCTCAAGCTTCCAGCCGTTGATGGCCTGGGCGGTCTCCCGGGTGTTCTTGAAGGAGACGCGGAGGTAGGAGCCGCGAGCGCGAGCGCTCTTAGCGGACTCAATGTCGGTGGCAGCGTAGCGGACCTAGATGCAGCAGGCGTGCGTCAGCCAGCTGTGCCTTCGAAATTTTGGCAGCACCGGGGGTGCGCTGCAACAAGGAGCTCGGCGGGCGGGCAGCGGCTGCAATGGCAGCGCATCGGGGGCAGTCGGCGTGCTCGTACCATCGTGAGGGAGATTGACGGAGGGTCCTGGTGTGTTGTCGGGGTGGTCGTGTCGTCTCGCTGGGCGGAAGAGGAGTGAGGTTCGACCTTCGCATCGCATTTTCGCCCGCCGCGCGTGGGCGGCGCACGGGCCACCACCCGGCCGTAAGCGAGCGCGCGGCCGGCCATTGGCAGTGCAGCTTCTGCAGACGAACTTTTTTCGAACCCGAAGCTCGCCCACCGCAGCGTCGACTGTCACCCAGCAACAACCCAGCGTCGCTGCTCGTCGCTCATTCCAGACTCCCCCGAACGTCCTCTTTCAACAGCAACATATACAATGGCCTTCACTCCTCGCGGTGGTCGTGGCGGTGGCGGTGGTCGTGGTGCGCCCAGAGGCGGCGGCCGCGGTGGTCGTGGTAATTCTCACTTCCTTCCTCTTTCCCAATCGCGCTGCGCGAAACGCAAGAACGTCTGCTGCGCTTCCTCTGCGCCCCAGATGATGTCTTGTGCTTCGCGCGCATTTTTCGCAGGGCGGGGTCCTTCATCTCCAGCACATCGCTGACTTTGATTTTCAACAGGCGGCTTCGGTGGTGGTGACCGTGGCGGTTTCGGCGGTAGGGGCGGTGGCCGTGGCGGCCGCGGTGGTGCCCCGAGGGGTCGTGGTGCTCCCCGCGGTGGTGCTCCCCGCGGAGGCCGTGGTGGTGGCAGGGGCGGCAGGCCCGGTGCGGCTGGTGAGTTTTCCTGTTTCTGTACGCCTCTGAGCTTCGTACGGGTAGCTGACTATCTTGTGTGATACCACAGGCGGTGCCAAGGTCATCATCGAGCCCCACAGGCACGCCGGTGTCTTCGTTGCTCGCGGCAAGGAGGATCTTTTGGTCACCAAGAACCTGACGCCTGGCGAGAGCGTCTATGGCGAGAAGCGCATTCAGGTCCCCAACGCCGGCGCTGCCGCTCCCACCGAGGACGGCGAGCCCGCCCCCGCTACCACTACCGAGTACCGTGTCTGGAACCCCTTCCGTTCGAAGTTGGCTGCCGGTATCCTTGGTGGCATGGAGAGTAAGCTTCCTCACAGAAATTGGAGACAAACGCAGCGGCTGATCAGAAACAGACATCTACATGAAGCCTGGTAGCAAGGTTCTCTACCTCGGTGCCGCCTCCGGTACCTCCGTTTCTCACGTCGCTGATATCGTTGGCCCTACCGGTAGGCTCTTCTCGCAACCCGACATTCTTTTCGGCAATGCTGACATTTCTAGGCACTGTCTACGCCGTCGAGTTCTCCCACCGTTCGGGTCGTGACCTTGTCAACATGGCCACCCACCGCACCAACGTCATCCCCATTGTCGAGGACGCCCGTCACCCGCTCAAGTACCGCATGCTTGTCTCGATGGTTGACTGCATCTTTGCCGATGTTGCCCAGCCCGACCAGGCCCGTATTGTCGGCATGAACGCCCACCTGTTCCTCAAGAACGGCGGTGGTGTTGTCATCTCGGTCAAGGCCAACTGTATCGATTCCACGGCCGCTCCCGAGGCCGTCTTCGCCCGTGAGGTGCAGAAGATGCGTGAGGAGAGGATGAAGCCCAAGGAGCAGCTCACCCTCGAGCCTTTCGAGAGAGACCACGCCATGGTCTGCGCTGTCTACGCGCGCAGTGACTAAGTTTTTCGTGATTTCCAAAAAGAAAAAGGTTCTTGATTTTGTGGGTTCATAATTGGGTGGAATCTCCATGAGCGGTTGGCTTTGTAAGAGGGAACTTGGCTCAATCTGCCTGTGCTGAGGTTCTTTCGATACTTGAGGGGCTTCACTTTTCCTCGTTTCGCGGTGTACATTCGGCTTTGGGAGTTGCGGCGTTAAAACACTGGTTGATGAGCTACGTGGCCCTCCTCTAAATCACATCCAAAAAGCCGATTTTTCTCTGTTCAAACTTGTGCTGTGCAAGAATGATTAAAACTTGGTGACAAGACGAGTCCGCTGACTGCTGACTACTTGACATATCGTGCGCTCTCTTGCCACTTTCTTATCAAAGCTGACATTCCACTTTTTTCCGAAGGCCAAGAAGAAAGGAAAAGAAATCTCGTAACGCAACTCCTCTTAGCTTCAACTACAAGTGCATCATAGTCAATCCTACAGCGTAAACCGTCTACTTTCTCGTCTAAATTAGAGTTTCCAAACTACTTCAGCAACGCTAACGCAGCCCGCACCCTCATAATCCGCCCCACTTTCTTCATCTACGCAACTATTTTTTCACCCTCCTCCCGGCGGCACTAGAGGATCATATTGGCCATCAACAGTACTGTCGCTGTCGATGCTTTCTCGTTCTCTCCCACGCCGATAGCGGGAGAAGCGTATTGGAGAACTTAGAGGTGATAAAGAGATGGGAAGAGCTGATATTCCTAACAGGGTACATATCTAAGCTAAGAGGGTGGCTGAGAATACGGTCGTCCGGTTCATGTTTGAAAGAAATGACAAAGGTTAATGGCGAAGTGCCTGCCTGTGTGAGTGTTCCAACGTCTCCGCTTTCGGGCTCATTCTCCACCTCGTCACCAAGATCGTCGTCCTCAACGCCGTACATAAAATCGGCCATAAGCATACTACCGTCCTCCAAGCCTCTTTTTTTTTTCTCCGGAGCCGCAGTGCTATTTGCCCCTGCGTCTCTTGTCCGTCCCACAAGAATGAAGAGAAGTCTGTAAGTGCCTAAACTCTCCTGCGTGTAACTGCAGCCTCCCGTCTGCGAAGTAATGCCCCATATATTGATCGATTGTGTTTTAAATTTCTCAGAAATTACTACCTGTCAAATTTCCGTTTCCAAAACTTCTCTAAATACGCCTGATAAATTAAAATCAAGGGGGAGTAGGAGATTTCTAAAATCGCCTGGAAAGCTGGAAAGATAAATCGAAAATGCCTCGTAGAATCAAAAATGTCTTCTAAAACATCTTCTCCGGAAATAACTCAGGAATGATCAAAGAGGAAAATACAGGGACATGAAAATGGCGCCCAAAATGGTACTTGCTGCCGACATGCACTGTACCGGGAAGCATTCCACGGACCGATGTGAGAGACTGAGAAGCCTACTTGCGGCCACCACCCGTCTTACGGCGCTTTGGCTGAACTTCCTCGTCGTCGTCGGACTCAACGACAACCGCCTTTCCTCGCTTCGACGTTCCCTGGCGCGTGTTCCGAGTGCTCGTCGTCGTCTCTTTAGCCTTGGTAGTAGACTTTGTAGTCTTTTTGGCAGTCGACTTGCTACTTTTGGCGGCAGTCTTCGGCTTCTTCTTAGCAGCCGGAGCCTTTTTGGAAGCCGGAGCCTTTTTAGCAGGCGGCCTCCTATTATCAGCAGTCTTGCGATCATCATCCCCACCGTACTCGCTATCGTCCGTCTCCTGCCCCTCCTCCCCCTCCTCCCCCTCCTCATCCTCCTCCTCCTCCTCCTCCTCCTCCTCATGTTCATCCCCAGAAGGGCAGGTGCTCCTCGGCCGCGTGTAGTCAAAGAGGTGCGGATAATTCTCCTCCGCCGCATCCCTCGCCTCCTCCCACTCCTCCCGCCACTCATCCGACGGCACGACCGACACACCACGCCTGTCGTAGTCGCGCGGGAAGCGGTACGGGCGCGGCTTGACGGCGCGGTGCGTGTGGAAGTAGTAGGCGATGTCGTGGTTGGGTTCGTTCCAGTCCAGCGGCAGCCAGTAGGGCCGCGGCCACCTGTCGCGGCCGGTGAAGAGGAGGAGGACTTCGAAGTCAGCGGTAGAAGTTGTGGTTGCGGTGTTAGTGGTGCCGTAGAGGGTGGGGGTTTTGCGCACGCCGAGGCAGAATTCGACGGACCAGTAGCCGTCGTCGCCGTTGGTGTAGCCGCGGTAGCGCTTGGAGGGGACGAGGCTGGGGTCGTATGTCCGATTGTTGTTGTTGTTGTTGGGGCTGCTGGAGTGGTGCTGGTGGTTGGGTTGGGGATGGGGAGCAGCAGTAGTCGTCGTCTTCTTCTTCTTCTTCTTCTTCTTCTTCTTCTTCTTGGGGCTGCGGGACGCGAGGGCGGCGCGGGTTTTGTCCTTGAGGCGCCTGGTGTTGTGCGTTTCCTCTTCTTCCGTCTCCTCTGGTTCCGAGGTGTCGCTTTCAGTCTCTGGTACTTCTTCGTCATCTTCGGCCTCAAGTCCTGTTTAATGAAATATCAGTGGGTGTTGGCGGCCAACGAGGTGAAAGAGGCACTGACTATGAATTCTTTCACGGAGGCGTCGGATCTGTTCTTCCTTTGTATCCTTAGCTCCAGAAACTCCTTCGTGAACAGATGTGTGGTCTTGATCGCTTTCGTTGTGATCTTCTTCGGGTGCATCCTCTCCGGGAGCATCCTCTTCGGCCGCATCATCTTCAGCCCCATCCTCTTCAGCTGCATTCTCGAGGGTATTGGCAGCATTGGCAGCCATGTCTTCAGCCTGTGTCTCCTCATCGTCTGCGTCATCGTCTTCATTCGTGTCTGGATCCGCGACGCCTGAAGCAGAAGTAGGCTGAATGTCGGCTGGACCACCAGTGGTAGGAACCGCGGAGCCTTGGCCGTGCCTGCGAGGGTTCTTGTCAACTATTTTAGCGGCGGCTTTGGGCATAGAGTTAGCATGCATTGCGGCCCTTATGTGATTGTATACTTGCCTCCTGGAGTTATTGGCCTAATTACAATTTGACTTGCTATCGCATCATCGTCCTCGGACGACGGGCCAGGATCACGGCGGGAATTGCGGGTGCGGTTGCTGCCGCGGTTACTGCTGTAGTTCTTTCCACGGGTGGGTTTGTTGGTTCCCCTAGGCATGGTGGATGTATTGCTGGGCTAGAAATCTTTAGAAGCGATGGAGAGGATGGCGTCGTGGTGTGGGGTGTAAGTCCTGTCGACTGTGGATCGAATACGTGCGGGCGCTTGAGGTGGCGTGTGGCACGGTAAAATCAAGAATCAGCGGGACGACTTGTAGAGTATCATGTTTTAGGTATGTCGAGAGGAAAAGAGTGAAGTGTTGAGGTCAGCAGGACGGATAACAATGAAAGTTGAAAGAACGGGTATGGAGGGCTCTGGAGGATGCTCAAAGCTACAGTCAGAGCACAAAGAAAGATGCCTCACAAACCATCGCCAACCCTTTCAGAGGCTTTGTTAGTCCATCTGAGACACGGAAGTGTGGTTGTGGGGGGTTGATTCGGCGTGCTGCCAAGAGGTGCTTTTTCACACGCCACGGCACAGATATTCCTCGCATTGCTCGCAACCACTGCATCCCGAAATCTCCAAAGAGCCGGAAGGACACATTTTCCAGAGCTACTCAGACAGTCTTGGATGAGCTATAAGACTGCTGCATTGGCCTCCGGTCCTTGTATCACTAACCAGTGGTGGCTTGGCGAGTCCTGTGTGTGCCTGATATGTAATCTTGCTCCGGTAATAATGGAATACAAAGCTTATGGGCTTGTGTCGTAGCGGCTTACTGGCAACTTTTACTACACCTGCATCAACTTATTCTTTCGGAGTATGGTGGACTTACACATGCCCAAAAGAGGTTGTCCAGTTATCCGATTATACATCTATAATCTTCTGGAATTTCCGCACGGTGCTTTGGTTGCTAAAACAACGATGGCAGTATATGATAATATTTTACTGTAAGAATAATAGAAGTAGTGTTTGGGTGGGTGTGGATATGGTTCTAGATTCATCCGGAATGTGGCAGCAGATGCAAGTCATATTGGTATCAAAGAGATAGAGAGAATGTGAAAGGGGCAAGCAGCTCTCATAGTCAGAACGATGTGAGCAAACGAAACAAAGCAGTACTGACAGATGAGGCAGGCCATGGTCTCTATTACCTCCAGACTCACCGTAGATTGCCTCATAGTTAGTGGCGATGAGATTCCATTCCTCTCGACCTGTATTGTCGGAGATATCGCACCACGCCTCAGGTAGACATTTGGAGAACTACGTCAGAATATACTTGTGTAACTCTAAGCCCAGAGATTCAGACGTATATCCAGATATTGGATCCAACTGCCTATGCAAGAAGCAGTGTCTTTCGCGTGGCATGGAAGTGCAAAGCCTCCTATAACCCATTATGCCCCACCATCGTACTCCTCAGCACGGTCATCATCTCATAGCACCTACCTAAAATCGCTCACACCCGGATTTTCCCCTTGCCCGTCTTTTTATCTGGTGAGCCTCGAGTTTCAGGCACCTAATGCCAAGCGGAGAAAAAGAGGATACATAATCCCAACGCAGTGGTCAGTAACCATGCTTGCACCGCCACACCTCGCCCCTCTCCAAATCGTCCCACCGGGACGGAACCGGATGGGGGCCATAAATTTCAAACGCCCAACTCGCCATGTTTCTCACGTTCTCGGTTTTAAGCTTTCGTCCCTGTTCCCCCGCCAAGGGATGTCTGCCCCCCTTCGGCAGTTCTTGCACCACAACTCCCCGTCTCGACTTACCTTGTCGCAACTAAACCCTTTTCTTCGAACATTTCGGGTTTCTTGAGATCGAAGGGGGAAAAGGGTTTAGTGTTTGAACACATCGAAACAGAAGATGATGGTCGTGCCAAGAGGCGTCCTCATGCGGCTCGCGTCTCGCTGCAGCAATAAGCGAAGCAGCAATAAGGCCCACCCGCATCGGATTTGGGAAGAAACGCGGGGGTTGCAAAGAGGCGGATTTGACTAACGTCACTAAGTAAAAAAATAGAACATGGAAACTCGAAAAAGGAAGGCAGCGAAGAGTGTTCGCCGATCACCGGTCAGGAGATAATGGCTGATGATCTTGCCGAGCAGCTATTGCGCGAACCTGTATGTTCCTTGTAGAGCTGAAGGATGGAACGGCGGGCGGGCGCGGGAAGGGGTGGGCCGTGCGAGGAAGGGCTTTCTCCAAAACACACCGATAAGTGATGATGAGGGCTGGTAGTGTGGATTTAATGGTACGTGTCCGCTGTAGGCGATGTCCTACGCAGGCTGCCTGACTGGTAACCGTTCATCCGCCTGCGGAAGCGCCGGCCGGTGAGCGAATGAGGTGCTCGACGTTGCGTCGTGCAGTGCAGTGGCTCGGATTGTATCCGTTCACCAAACCCAGCACACACAACAAGGCAGGGCCCTGGGCGGTGTAAGGTGGCGGAGCATCGACACGACGCGCTTGCTGTTGCGGCTTGGAGAAAGGCGGGCTGCGGCTTGCTGATCCCTAGCGTTTGTGCGAGATACGGCAAGTGCAGCGGCTTTCCTTCGACGAGAAGAGAAGTCGACCATCAACGCTACGGAAACCGGTCCGCCCGATGGCACGACGAGGCTGAGAATCCGCTGCAGGGACAGCGTTAGCTCGCCCGACCGGTTGCTTCGGCAGTCTCGGCGCCGAACTATCGCGGCTTTTTTTTTTCTTTCTTCATCGCAAAGCCGAATTTCCCGGTAGTGATAGCTTAAGCGCCTTGGGAAGTGGCCAAGATACAATATCGGCGGTGCCGAGAGGTGTCTACGTATGCAGTCAATACTGCCGCCTGGCTGTGGCGAAAAACACCTTGCCCTGTAAATGCCTCGTCATGCTGTATGATAGCGTACACGTACCCTGTTTGCTCGACATAGCACCCTCGGCCACCGGCTCGTGATCTCGGGGCAGCTTTCACATTTTTGCAGCAAAGGCCGAGCGGAGATCCCATGCGAGTCATTCGAGAGTGGCACGGAAGAAAGTTGGCGGTGGGGAAGAGAGAATCCGAGCAAGGGTGCAACGGCAAGCTGACGATGAGATGACCTGTGCCTTGCATGCATGCGGCTGTGGACAACGCTTTGGCGCGCGTGGGGACGCTATGTATCTCGTATATCGCCTGAAGATAGTGGAGTCACATCCTGGCTCCCCGAAGATTTTCCTCTGCAGATTCGAGAAGGAAACAGCGTGGCATGCATGCTACAGCTCAGCTGAAAGTGCCTTCAGCTCGGGTGCGTACGTTGAAATGAAAGGCAGTCTCTTGGGCTGCACGTCCCCAGAGTGGAGATTGACTGCGGCCCGATGTGCTTTGACATTTTTGGCTAACACAAGAAAAAGGAAAAAACCTACACCCGTGGCGGGGTCAAGCAGCAAAGAGTGTGGGGAACATTCTAGAGGTTTCAGCTAGTGCTTAACCGCGATGCGTTGTCTGGCACGTATTCGTGGAGATCCAACAGACGCGAAACGGTGAAGAAGCTGCATATGTGCGTGTGCCTTGCGCTCGGACGCCCCCGACAATTCCTGCCTGTGCTCTGATGGTGCGGCAAAGAAGCCCAGGCGAAGTGCGACGGATTGCAGACAGTGCTGGTTGAGAGTCAAACAGTTGAATTCTTTGGGCCTGATCGCCCAATAGGATTATTCTTGAGATAATCTACAGTTCATCTTTTAGATGACATTGTTACAGCGGCATTGCGGTCCTTGACATGCCATGTATTTTCATAAGCCCAATAAGCGCCCGCCCTGACCGCCTCTATAAGCCCGTTTCCCCAAGCGTGATCCAGCACTGCCAACCCAGGAAACAGCCAGATCCCATATGCCAAATCATAATCCGTAAAACGCCCTCGCTTCATGTACGTACATGTAGGAAAAAGATACCGGTTGCGCACTGACTGTACAGCGGTCGCGGAATGATAAATGCATTCCAGAAAACCCATATCTGTGAAATGAGCAATTAAGCGCCAGTAGACCATTCGACAGTCTCCAGCGCAAGCATGACGAGCACTAGCGTAGACGGGAGAATCCAAACCACGTAGCTCTGGAAAAGGAGGTTGCTCATTGCGCCCATGTAAACGTTGTTGAGCTGGCAGATCTGAGCCAACTGCAGCGCGCTGGGAGCACCGCTGAGCAAGAAGCAAACGATCATGAAGATAGGGTCGCCAATGATGCTGACGGGAGCGTAGCGGGCAAGCAGCGCCAGGAAGGGCGCCATGATGATGGTCGGCAGGAGCATACGGCTGATGAGCGACGCGTAAAGCAGCTTCTTCTCATCCTTGGCATCCTCGAGATCCTGAGCACTGGCCTCGGGCAGAGTGTTTCGCGCAAGATTGGCGCCAAGGACGACAAGAATCAGAGGAACGGCAACTCCACCCGACTGCTTGACTGCCCGGGTGACCGAGGTATTCACAAAAGTGCCTTCGTCGAAGAAGAGGTGTTGAAGCGCAGGAACCGAAGCGACGATGAGAGCGGCAAGCATGGCCCAGAGCGGCGGGTTCATGAAGTCCCAGACGCCGTCCATGAACCTCCGGATGCCGGAACCAATCTTGGAGAATGCCGTCTGCACAGGCTGGGGAAGAGCGCGGAAAGCCTTGCAAGAAGTAGCACGGATCGACTTGCCAGCGGAGCACAGCTTTTGCTTGATCCAGAGCTTCGAACGCCTTGGCCAACCCTTGTAGCCCTTCGGAATCTCCGGCTCAGGCTCATTTGCGCTTTCGCTTTCTGCGCTGTGGGCGACCAGGTTGCCCGGGCCAGCAGTGACAACGTTGCCGTTCGTGGGGGTGGCACTAAGCTTGCCATTGGCCTCATCCCTGGCATATCTCTTTGTCAGGTTCGACGTAGACGAAGCACGAGAGACATCGCCGCTGGTACGCTGGTTATCGTTCACAGGGGTGATGGCACCCGAGGCGAAGGAAGACTCAGGAACGGGGCTGGCAGAGCGAAGTTCGCTGTCGTCGTCCTCATCCTCGTCTTCGTCGAGAAGGTTGCGGCGCTCAATGGAGCTGGCGTCATCGAAGTCACCCCGCTCCAAGGCGGCGTTCACTCCCGCATCTTCGTCAGGGTATTCGCTGGCGGGCTTGAGGAGGACCTGATAGCCCCAACTCCAACGAACGAGCTGTCCCAGCTGCTGGAAGATCAAAAGGTACAAAATACCACGCGCGCCAACCTCGTCGTCATTGTCTCCGGGAACCTCGCTCCAGTGGAGGCCTGAAATTGTCTTGGAAAGCGAAAGGACAAGTGAAATAGGCAGCGAGTTGGAGTTGCCGAAGACAGCCATGGCGGTAATAAAGTTCTTCGGCCTTTGTTTCTTGAAGCCAAACAGGCGGGCGACGATGAGGGCGGAGGCCCATGACACGAGTGTCTGGACGACGAAGATGGCGGGAATGATAGCAAGGTCGATGAGCTTCTCAGCGGTCAGCTGCGAGGCGAGCTTGGTGAAGACTAGCGAGTATTAGCGAACCGGTTGCAGGGCGGGATGCGGGGACGCGAGACACATACTAAGACACGGCGTGAAGAGCTGGACGTTGAGATTGGCGATGAACTTCTGGGCATTGGCGTCGAACATGCCCTGGCGGGCGATAATGTAGCCCGGTAAACTGACGCAGACGACTTCCAGGACGGCCTCAAAGACCAGCAGAATGAGGTGACCGAAGTCGGGGTGCGAGGAGTGATTGTTCATGGCGTCAAACAAGGCCGAGGACATGGAAGAGTCGGAGGGATTGGCCATCGAGGTGAGATCCGGGGAGCTGCGGAGCAGCAGGCGATAGGACTTGAAAAGCATTTTGGGGACGCGCGCTCCGGCGCGGAGGCGTCTGGGGCTGGGAGCTAGAGCAGGCGGAACAGCGCGGGCGGTCGGTCTTGTTACAAGTCTTGTCTGAGAGACAAGACGAGCAGGAGGCAAGCGCAGTCGAGGGAAGGCAGGGCTGGGGAAGCGGCAGCGCGGCGGCGCAAAAGAGTTTATAGGCGCGATAAGACGAGAGGGCGCAGCGCGCGCGCAAGCAAGAATGACGGTGTCGGGCAGGGTGAGCTGTGCAGGCTTGGCGGCGTGCGATGGCGACGCTATCGCGTCAAAGCTGGCCTGGGCGAGCCGCGCTGGGTCCGCCCAGCTTGGCACGGGCAGCAGCGCCACCCTGAGCCCATGGCCTCTCGCATCCGCACATGCAGCGCCCCGGCGCACAGGCGCGCGCGTCACGTGCCCGCCATCTTCGATTGTCGCAGCCTGCTGCGCGCGCGGCGATCAGTCAGTGGTGAGGCCGGGCAGCGCGACTCTTTGACGCGGCGTCCAACAAGGCACGCCCCGGCGTGAGACGAGACACGGCTGCGCTCGTCCGTCCGCGCGCGAAACCTGCTGCTGCCCGGCTCCAGCGTCGTCGCTGCATCTCCACCCTGTAACACCACCACCCACCGGCTACGTCACGCCTAGCGAACTCCTTCGCCCTCCCCCTTCGCACCGCCACACTCCAGACTCTCTCCTCCTCCCTCCTCCCCTCCCTCTCCCCGCGCACCCCCGGCGAATCTCTTACCCGCTGCGCGTCGCATCTTCTTTTTCCGCGAAACAGCGCCCCGCCAATTGCTGCCACTCGTTCACCATGCCCTCCACGCCCGACGAGGACAACCTGTCCGATGTCTCCTCCCCGCTCGAGTCGCCCACGAGCCCCGACATTCCCTCGCCCTCGTCGCCACTGGCACAGCCGCCGCTCAACCGCGCCGCCTCAGCTGCGCCCTCCACCTCCGGCATGACGGTTTCGTCGACACCATTGGGCAATCTCAACGCGCTCCGCAACCCGCAAAAGCCCAACCCGCCCAAGCCCAGCGGCACCAACCTGCCCCAGGATATCCTCGAGCGCATGAAGGCCGTCCACATGGGGAGGCAACGCGCCCCGCCGCCCAACCCGCGCGCGCCCCCTACGAGCGCTCAGAGTCCCCTGCCGCAGTCGCCGGGCGGCGCCTTTGTCGGTGGCGTCCCGCCGAACTTCCGTCTGCCTGGCCAGCCCGGGAAGCCGGGCATCAGTCACTTCCCCTCCGCTCCCGCTGTGCCTAACCTGCAGAAGAGGTCGTTGGCAGAGAAGCGCGGCATGGTTCTGCCTGGAGGCCTTCCCGGCGCGGCACCCAATGGGAGCCCTGCGCCTGGCGGCAGGAAGAAGCCCGGCTTCACCCTGAAGGATATCAATGGCGGTGTTGACGCGAAGCCCATTGTCGGCTCGAAGATTGACGAGTATAACAAGTACTTGGACAAGGAAACCGGCAACCTGAACTTTGCCGGCAAAGCCACGCTGACCGGAGAGGGCGTCAAGTTCGCAAACGGCTCCACCTTCAGCATATCTCTGGATGAGGTGGAAACTCTGGACGAGTTGGGCAAAGGCAACTACGGCACTGTGTACAAGGTCAGGCACGCCCGGCCGCAGATGAGAAGACCAGGACTCGGTCTGGCTGGAAACAAAGCCTATTCCATGCCCGCAGTCCCTGGCTCGCCGGTGAACAAAAGCGAGTCGTCGGCCGAGTCGAGTCCGACGACCGCCAAGTCTAGTGCCGCCACGTCGGGCAAGGTCATGGCCATGAAGGAGATTCGCCTGGAGTTGGATGATGCCAAGTTCGCCGCCATCATTATGGAGCTCGACATCCTCCACCGTTGCGTCTCGCCTTACATCATCGACTTTTACGGTGCCTTTTTCCAGGACGGAGCAGTGTACATCTGCATAGAGTTCATGGATGGCGGGTCGATAGACAAGCTGTACGGCGAAGGTATTCCCGAGAATGTGCTGAGGAAGATCACGCTTGCGACGACCATGGGTCTGAAGTCTCTGAAGGACGAACACAACATCATTCACCGCGATGTTAAGCCAACCAACATCCTCATCAACACCAGGGGCCAGGTCAAGATTTGCGATTTTGGTGTCAGTGGTAATTTGGTCGCCAGTATCGCCAAGACGAACATTGGTTGTCAGAGCTACATGGCTCCGGAGAGGATATCGAGTGGAGGTGTTGCACAAGCTGGTGCCAATCCTGGTGGCGGTACCTACAGCGTGCAGAGCGACATCTGGAGTCTGGGATTAACCATCATCGAGTGCGCCATGGGCAGATACCCCTACCCGCCTGAGACGTACAACAACATCTTCAGTCAGCTCAGCGTAAGTCATGTGCGACCCCCTTCGTGCTTCACGTTAACTAATGACGCCAACAGGCAATCGTCGATGGCGAACCCCCGGACCTCCCCGCTGAAGGTTTCTCCGAGGCAGCAAAGAACTTTGTTCGTGGCTGTCTGAACAAGATTCCTAACCTCCGGCCCACCTATGCCATGCTGCTTCAACACGCGTGGCTGGCACCTCTCCTAAAGCCCGCCACCATTTCCGAGGAGGAGGAAGAAAACGGTGAAGGAGACGATGCCGCAGCCGGTCCTCACGTCGATTATACTGGGACAGAAGCACCGGAGGACCCAGAGGTCGCTCAATGGGTTAATGACGCCCTGGAGAAGAAGAGGGCCGGCACGCTGGCGCAAAGCCAGAAGCCCGCGCTGCATGCTGCCCCTCTGGATGCAGTATCAAGCCCCCAAGGAACCCCATCGGCTACACCCGACGTTCCACCGGTCCCTCCTGCCGAGGAGGAGTAAACAACTTTGTACGATTTTCTGTTTGTGTTACGACGGGAAAAGCGAAGACGATCGTTTTGCACGAAATGCGCATGTTCCAATTCATCTATTCGCCTGGGGCGAAATAGGGTCTCTTCTGATCACGAAGCAACAATGAATTTTCTTATCTTCTCCTGTAAGGCATAAGAGAGTTGGGATGTTTGATCGGTTTTTCTCACAACGGCGAAATGCTTGCAGACTATGTGGGTTTGATGGGATGGCGAGGGAATGGGAATGGGAAGATTCACGTTCGTAAAGGGATTATCGGACGCGGGCAATGGGAAAGTTGAAGAGAAGAACGGGTCTTTGTCGGGCGTCTCTTGTTTCATACCGGAACCGAAGCTACCCTTATTCCTCCCTTTTTACTATACACATGGGGGTTCTTATTTTCCTTTCCTCTCTACAATTCCTGTCTTCCATAATTCACACATTTTCATCCAAAAATTTTCTTTTTTTTTTCTCCGACTTCCTATGGAAGGTTTTTGCTTAAGTGCAGAGTAAATCCCTCAATGGCTAATTCGTTCGTACACTCGGCCCAATGTTTCGTTGCATTTGTTTGTTCCTGTTGCCTTGCGCCACAGCAGATTTTCAAAACATTTGAGCCATAAGAGCCCAGTTCTGAGACAGTACAACACAAAGTTGTGGGCAGCCAGAACAACTGCCCAGTCGTAGATGTAGAATTGATAACCGTACAAGAACGCCTAGACTATAGGTCTCATTACTCATCGTAAGTAAAGTGCGAATCTCCCTGCGAGCATGATTACGAATGATCAACTGTTTTTGAACCTGTAGTGGCATGTGGGGTTCGTTTGTCTGGGTGCACTGAGAGATGCCGCACTCTTCTTCCGTGAGCAGTTGGAGTAAACGACCGGATATATATGTGAGCCTTTGAACTAGTCGGGTATATTCGGATTGTTGAGAGCCAAAAGGTGAGGCTAGAATAATCTTTAAATGCATTTATGTTTGGAATACGGATATCAAGCTTAATTCCTAGCTCGTGATCGTACCCGGTGGGAGAGTTTTGAGAAGATTTTATTTTTTTAACCTTTTGCAACCAGCTGTCACGCGGGTCTCCATTTTTTTTTCTTTGATTGAGTGAACGAAAAATCTAACACTCGTGATAGCTTTTACCTCGATACTAGGTAACCTAGCACATGGTCAGGATGAGTGAGAAGGGAAACAAGAGTATGGTGTCAAGCAGGGGGAGTATGTCTAAATGGAAAATGGCGCAGTGGGTTGCAATGGTGTAAGTCCTCTGTGCCTCGCGAAGGATGCTACACTTTCTCAACACGGGAAGCCGAAGCAAAGGTCTTCATGCATGCGGTATCGTCTGGAAAATTAGGTTGACTCCTAGATATCTGCTTCGGATTTCTACTTTAAAAAACGTAATATAATCGTTTTTACTACCGCTCCAATGCTCAAATATATTGCAACACAATGATGGTGTTGTCTCCTGATCGTATAAACACACCCTTCACTCCTGGAATGCATTCTCATCTGCTCTTCTCTCTTATCTGCTTGAGAATATGTGAAGTGAGGAGCCGGGAATCTGAACATGAAGCTCGAGGAACAGGGTCGGGTGACGTCTACCCCATGCATTCCATCCCCCCCTCTCCCTTGACAACTCTAACCTTAAAGCACGCAAGCCGCGTCTATCTCTCCCACATTCCCGTCTTTCCTCTTCTTTTCACGCTTGTTCCCGCACGCTTGGTGATCTCCACACAGACACGCCGTAGGAAGTCACCCGACCGGCCAATACAACGCGTCCTTTCGTCCGGCGCGGCGCGCGCCGGCCCCCCCTCCCCTCCCCCTCAGCACGCCATGGTGAGATCTCCCCATTCGATCAGCAGAGGGGGTAGAGAGAGGATTGAGGGGGTGCGTGCGCTTGGACCTTCGCTTTTCCATTCTCTCTCTTTTTTGTTTCCCCCTCTGCAAAATGCTCGAACCACCTTCGTGTCGATCGGATTTACTTACGATATTACCGGCCGACGAGCCCCTCTCCCCCCGCCTAAAAGGGCAAGAAATCGATCCTTCCTACTTTTGCTGTCTTCTCCTTCTTTGTAGTAGTTTTTTTTGCTTGCTCTCCCCATCTCCGCATGATCACCGTCCCATGTATATGCGCTTTCTTTATTTGGGGTTGGGGTATCCACTTGTTTCTTGCCTGTTTTGTTTATGATTGGCGCGCGCGTCGGTGGGGACCCTCGCAACAACTCACGCTTACACGACAGAGAGATGTGCTGGAAAGTTGTTTCTAGTAGTCGCCGGTGTTCACCTCCTGGATGATGCTTGCTTTTACGTGCACGCGCGACACCGTCGTGTACGAACCTCCTACTGGGCTTTTCCTTCTTTTTTTTTTTTCTCTTCGCTTTTGTTCCCTTTTCTGGCAGAGAGCACTGCCTCGCAAAAATTCCGCTCGTGTGCACGTACGATGTGGTCTGTACTCGCCTTCCTTGTTCAGCCTTCTGGATTCCTTTCGCCGAATTTTTGATCGTTGTTATAGGATGTCCGTTTTCTTAATGAAACCGTCTTCGCGGGTTTTTCCTTGCTGTCGAGACGGCATTCGCCTTCAGACGTTTGATGTTCTGCTCAGCATGAACGGCTCGGTGGGGAGCATGGGTGACGTGGTGTGAGTGCCGTCTTTTGGTTTACTTTTTTGCTCAGACCTTTGGCAGGGAAGGATGCCTTCATCTCGATGGTCAATGGAATTTGAGAGATGTTATGCAGGGGGAGTGTAGCTGTATGGTGACGAAACATAAAAATAACTAAAAGGTACTTTTCCGATATGTGGGATGATCCTGGGAGCCACGTTGGGAGTCGGGACGTCTGGGGGAAAGGATTGACGGGGTGGTGGAAAGATGATGTGTGCTGTGCAATACGGAAGAGAGCAAGATCTGCCCCATCCAGACGTTCGAACGTCGTTCGGGAGATCCCAACGAGACGTTCGACGTTCGGCACGCTCCGTCTGACTGTAATGTTGGCCAACGACGAAGAGTCAGCGGCGGACATAGCCGCCAGACGTTCGAAGATGGGGCACGGGGTATGTACACGAAAGCAAATAATAATAAGGCTGCATCGCGATCCCGCGGAAGTGCCCGCAGGGAAAACGGTTGGCGGATGCACCCGATGGCGATCTCCGCCACTCCGACGGCGGAAGCGGCCTTCAGACGTTCGATGTTGGGCGGAACGCGCCTATAGGTGAGCTTTTTTGTCAAAGGGTGTGTCGAATTAGACATTCGAGGATCGCCGCGAAAACCCGGAAGCGCCCGAGTAAATTGAGCGTGCAGGGGTTCGGCCGCGTCGGATTTGCTGTCTGTGTTCTGATGAATTGTTTTATTTCTTTTGCGCACAACCCATGCCCAACAACGCACGTTTCGCCTTTCACACACATCACAGGGAAGATGGTGGTGGTAGCGGGGCGGAGATAGCCATCAGACGTTCGAGGGAAAAGCAGAGAGATGGTAGTTGCGGACGGAGTAGGCCGAAGAGAGGGTGCAGGGAAAACAACGAGCGTTTCCACGATGGTGGTCGGTGCACGGAGGTTCTGTTCGGGGCTCTAGACTGAGTACATGGGTCCGGTATTCTTCGGAATGGCCCGAGAGAAACAGGAATCGGTATTTCCATGGGAGCGCTGCAATTAGGGGGTGTTTTGAACCCCCGAAATTTTCTCTTGGGAATTAGGGGAAGGAATGGTCAGGACGGCTGAGCCCGAAGGGGTCATCGCTGGAGGTTGGACCAGCGGGTTACTCGATTCGGAAAGGTGATCCTGGGGACTGAACCGCAGGCATTCCTGAAGGCTTTGAAGGAAGAGCAGGATGGAGACTATTCGAATCCCGGCAGTTTTGCTCACGAGTAGGATATCGCGGACGTGTGGGAGAAGGTGCGTCTAGACGTAGGGCTTTTCAATCGGCAAACCGCATCTCTGGTTCACGTCTTCTCCGGACCACGTGGTTGGTAGCGCCGTCGACGAACATACGAAAGAGCCTGAGGGGCCGACGGTCTTTCTCACGGGGTGAGAACCGCCGAGAACGGATTCCGACGTTCGATGTTGCTCGATTATGACCGAGTAACGGCAGGTCTGGTCCATTCTTTTTGTGGAGGACTTTCGATAGTCGTGGTGCGGAGTCAAATGTCTCGGTCGTTGAGAGCGCGGGGTGGGCGTATTTTGTGGTAGGCTACGAACCCTTGGTTCCGCACGTCATTCCTTCGCTCTGCTGGCCAGCCTAACGGAATCGCTTCCACTTCAGTGTAGGATGGGCTTTCGGGATCTCCGGGGCGATGCTCCAGCGAGCTGAGAGACGGACAGCTGTGGCGTAGCTGATGTTCAGTCAATTATGACCGAGTCTTATCCGCGGCTCACTCTGCAGATCATCTACCACTACTGCACTGCTGATCTGAGGCGTGCATAAGTACGTCCCGCCGTTGTGGCTCAGCCTTTGAGGTGGAACATCATGCTTTTGAGGCATTTTTTCGTAATGCCTCAGTTGGAATCAGAATTCTCTGACCATACATACAGCTTTTACGGTGTGTTTGGACCGGATATTGTTATGTCTGTGGCGAGCATCCACAACGATCTTTTTTTCCCCCAAGGTTCTCGGGGGTGGAGAGGTAATAAATGTCTATAAATGAAAGATGATGATGATCACTCCGGATTTTAAAGGTGGCTTGTATGTCCGCCGCTACACGTGCTCGGCGGCTTCCCCGGAAGGATCTCTTAGCTGCTCAAATCTGGGGCACCGGCCTCGTGTCTCGTATCTCGGGTTCTGATCAGCTAGCAAACAGACAGACACCCAATAATGGTAGCGTGGCGGCGGCAGTTGTCTTCGGTGTGCAGTAGAGTGACGATGCTAAAGGAAATGGCATGGGCTCCAGCTTTGTTCATGATCATCGGAAGGATCATTTTAGACGGGTGGGAGCAATCTATAGCGCAGAAGTTAAAATGGAAGATTAAAAAGTAGGTGGCTTGGCAGAGTTGAAGCAGATGT